CATTTATGGAGAAATCTTGACTTTTCCGGTAACATTTTAAAGGATTAGCATAACTATAATCTCGAGATTGATTGCGTAAAAAGAAAAAGAAAAAGAAAAGTCAAAATTACTTTCCTTTAATATATTTTGTTATATGAACAAATGATACTAGCGCTTAATCATCCATTGAGCCGTAATTTGAATGCCGATTTTTCTGCTCGACCAAGCAGAAAGTACTTGCGATATATTAGAAATACAATAAGTTTATCAGGAAATCGAAAGTTTCTTTTATGAAAATACAGGGGAATACAAGAGAAATATCAATCTCACATTCGATTTCATGCTGCTCTTAACTTTTTGAAGAGCAAAGTATCAGTAGAGTCAACTTTTAAAAGTGAACACCATTTAAATCACAAGAAATAGTCACAAGAATTTGTGCACAAACAATGCACAAGCAAGCCCTAAATGTAAGGAAGCAAAAAGAAAGAAAAAAACACAAAAAAAAAATAGAAAAACAAGCCAAAACCCAGCCGGGATTGAACCCTTGAGGTCCCGACTAAGACCGCCCGATCAAGATACAGGCCTCTTAACCACTTTGCCATGGCTATCAGCAGGTAGCTCCGAATAAAATTCTTTTAAAACATCCCTATCACTTTTAGATACTTGGTTGTTTTTATCACAATAACGATAAAAATAGCTTTTTACTTAAAAATTTCATTCCGGGCGCCAAAATTGGCTCTCTTTCCAGCCATTTCATCGAATATTTAACGTGTAGCCGGTACCTTTTAAACAACACCATTTAAAACAACAACAAACAACAACACCATTTAAATCTACATTTAGTGACAAGAATTTGTGTACAAACAATGCACAAGCAATCCCTAAATGTAAGGAAGCAAAAAAGAAGAAAAAAAGCACAAAGAAAAGCAAGCCGGGATTGAACCGTTGAGGTCCCGACTAAGACCTCCCGATTAAGATACAAGGCTCTTAGCCATTGGTGTGGCTGTCCGCTATGGCTGTCAGCAGGTAGCTCCGAAAAAAATCCTTCTAAAACATCGCTATCATTTTTAGATACTGGTTGTTTTTCTCACTTGCTCACGATAAAGAAAAGCTTTTTACTTTAAAATTTCATTCCGGGAGCTAAAATTGGCTCTCTTTCCAGCCATTTCATCGAATATTTAACGTGTAGCCGGCAAATTTTCAACAAAAATACCAAAATTTATCCTTCTTAGCTTTCTTGATCATTTTTTTGCAAAAAACTTCTTTTAGCTATAAGCAAATTTCTTTCAAAAGTAATCTGCCAGATTCGTGTCAGATCAGAATGTTCAATCATTTACAATATCCTTGAAATTCAAATTCAAAGATCTTTGATGTTTTTCAAATAAAGCAGACATTTTCTTTAAGAAATTCACTTCATTTCCTTTCACTTCACCGTTCAAAGAGTGTTATGGGCGTGGCGTTTTTCAGTCTTTTTCAGCCTTTTCAGCCTTTTTCAACCTTTTCAGCTTCAAATTCATCCACCCACTTTTTGGCCAAAATATTCCCTAAAGAAGAAAATTTAGGCGAAATTCGAAAAAAATTGGCATCTCCTCCCATCGAATTGACTTTGAAATGAAAATCGCTTCCGAAAGCTTTTTGTCTTCTTCGATTCTTTTTCTTCTCACCAAAATGAATTCTCTTTTTTTGCTTCTTCTTTTTTTGTCGTAGGTCTTCTTCTGGACTCAATCGAAAAAGGCAAAAAAAAAGATTGGTCTATTAACTGAGAAAAGAAGGGATTTGATGAGGAACTCTTCTCCTTTGGAAACCCTTGTGTTTCACCTCATGTGGAAACGCATGACTCCTGGGGTTATCATTTTTTATTTGTCTGCTCTAATCGTAGACTTAATCTTGATCAATCCTTTCTTCAGCTTTTTTTCAAACAAATTTACAATGATATGACGGACTTCGTCCGGTCAAGTCCGTCCGGTCAAGTCCGTCCGGTCAAGTCCGTCCGGTCAAGTCCGTCCGGTCAAGTCCGTCCGGTCAAGTCCGTCCGGTCAAGTCCGTCCGGTCAAGTCCGTCCGGTCAAGTCCGTCCGGTCAAGTCCGTCCGGTCAAGTCCGTCCGGTCAAGTCCGTCCGGTCAAGTCCGTCCGGTCAAGTCCGTCCGGTCAAGTCCGTCCGGTCAAGTCCGTCCGGTCAAGTCCGTCCGGTCAAGTCCGTCCGGTCAAGTCCGTCCGGTCAAGTCCGTCCGGTCAAGTCCGTCCGGTCAAGTCCGGTCAAGTATTAATGACGATTATTTTTCAGTCTCACGTAAAGTCAATTTTTAAAAGATTTTGTTGTTTATTTTGCAGAAAGTTCTCAATATCTTTATGCTAGTTTTCAAGAAGAGATTCAAGGCTATCGAATGACTATAATATTGGATTGGAAAGTTAAAAATGGCGACCCTTTTTCACATCTATCTTTACAATGACCCAGTTCATCTATTCACTCGCGATTTGCTCTATCAAAAAGCTCTATAAATTCTCGGCAAGAAGAAACTATTTGAGAGTTTTGAAGGGTTTTGTTTTTGAGCGCTAGAGAGATTCAAGGCTATCAAATGAGTATAATAAATCAATTTAGTTTATCTTGAAATCTTCACCAAATTATCAGTAAAACAGCGACGACTACGCGGCTGTACGCTCAAAATGATGGCGTTAAAAATGTGTTAAAAGTAGATAGAGATGGACGCCCGTTTACTATCAAAGTTAAAGAGCTTTCTAGAATTTTCCCCAAGTCTATGTAATCCAGAAAAAAGTTTACAGTAATCCTTTTTTTGTAATACCCATAGCCAGTGACTTTTTCGAGGTGTACTTTTGTGCCCGAAGATCTGAAACGCTCCCTTTCTAGCGCACTCAAATTTTTGCTCTTATCGTTTCCTTTTGAAAAAAATATGTGTAATTGACGTTTTTTTAGGTTTTGAACAGACTTTTTGGCCACCTGGCGGATAAAAATTCAATCGAATTGTTCTCTATCTTTCTCAAACTGATCGTATTTCTAAAGTCTCACTAGAAATTGTCAAATCCAAGATTTCCATTCATATTTGCCATCTAATGCGGAAAGGAATTCTCCTAAAGAACCCGAGTTCGTTATTTCTGCAAATATCGCGGAAGTTTCTTCGTTGTGTTTTATTTCAAATTTCCGTTTTCCGCAAAAATATTTGCGATTTGCTTATCGAGAGATTTGAGGATTTTTTTTTACTTTACGAAAATGCTCTTATTTTGGAATATTTTGGGAGCTCAAAATGGGATATTCTGATTTTTGAAAACATTAATCTGATCTGATCAATCTGATCTGATTCAATCTTATTTGCTTTTAACTCTCTCTTCTTTTAAACTCTCTTAAACTAAAAGTGAAGGACAAGCGAATCAGAGATATTCAAGATCAAAGGATTAAGATTTGTGAATAAGATTTCACAGAAAAGAGCTACTTTTCTGCACTGGTATGATGTAATAGATGGAGAAAGTATACTAATACAGTTGAACTTCTCTATAAGGACCTTCTAAAAGGACCTTCTCTATAAGGACTAAAACTAAAAGTCTTTTAAACTTTTAAACTAAAAGTGCTGTGCTCTCTGGAGTGTACTTTGTGCTTAAACAAAGGCACACCTTTTCTAGTGTACCGATTTCTCATCCTCTTCTAGAAAAATAAAGAATCAAGTGCCCCAGGAGAGATGTGTTTAAGCTCAAAGTAACATTGAAGAAGAGGTCTACTCGGGGAAGAGTATGCCTACTGATCTTTAAGGTGCACTTTGTACACAAAAAATGTAAAAACATTCCTTCTGCAACACAAAATCAACTCAATTTTGAAGAAAAAGAATTCAATGCGAATTTGTTGTTTGGTGAGTACCAAGTACACTTTCGAAGGTCGTTACCGTACTTTTAACAAATTCACGACGAAGGGACGGTGAGTTTCTCGCTTTTTTGCTAGCCTGAGTCATCAGATCGACCCGTAAATTTGTGAGAATACCAAATCGATAGTGGGGAATCCAAATCCGGTGCTAGATTTTAAAAAATGTCTCCCTGGCAAGATTTTGTGCCTTTTTCGATTGGGTGACATGGCGCAGACATCCCAGACGTCCCGTCTCTCTCGACTCTCGTCCCAGCCGGCAGTTTTGTGAAAAACGGCCTCATCGTGAATGTGTTAAGCTACGTAATCTGATTTATATGCACAAAATTGTTAGTGCACCCTGAGCGTCGCCTAAATTGCTCGAAATCTCGAGAAGCGCTTATCAGAACCTATCGATGTGCGGTCGGAAAATGTAGCTGACGACGAGATCTTGTGGGGATCTTGTGATGAGATCTTGTGGGAAATTTGAGTGTTGAGCTTCTGCAAAAGCTTGGAAACCGTAAAATCGTCACCAACTCGGCTCGCCTGGGTGCACTACTATTAGAGAAGATACGGTATATGCACAAAATTCTTAGTTTACTAGAATTCTATTCAAAATATCCCATTTATAGCAGAGAAATTCGACACTTTCCCTTTCAAAGTCCATCAAAATCCCAAAATTCATATTTTGCTTACTTTTCCTTCCAAGAAACCACACAAAAATGAATAGAGAGATTCAGTTCATTACACTGATTCAATTAAGAAATCTCTTTTTTTTTCTGAGAAATTTTCATCAGGGTACAAATTGGGATAATCTCCTGCAATAATCGGCGGCTTTCATCCCCAATTCTCTCAAAATTCCCCATTTTTCCACATTTTTCGACATTTTTCTTGCTGATTTCTATTTTATAACCTTCAAATGACACTAAAATTAGAATTTTAATCTATTTTATAAATGTAAATGTTTTTTTTGAAGGATTTAGACGCGCACTGAGGTCATTTGCTTTGTTGGATTTCGATTTATCCAAAAAATTTCTCCCCAAAATTTCTCTCAACTTTCTTTGAACTTTGCATATAAATTTAAATGCTTTTTATCTATTTTTATCTTTTTTTATCTCTTTTTTTTGATCTTTTATTTGTATAAATGAATATTTCAATGTTCAATTTTTCAGCCAAAATGTGCTCTCTTGACGAGGATTTCCTGGTCGACTCCGAGCACCCGACAGTCCAACGGATCATCACCGGTTTAGAGGAGTTTCAGAGGTGAAAAATGATTGCTATTTTTAAAATACCGACTGGGGCTACCAGTGGTGAATTTATCGCATACACGAAATATATCAATCACAATACAACGACACACACAATACTAGGCTATATCTTAACTTAACCCACGTCATGACAGACGGCTCCCTAACCCTAAGCTCAATGGGGAACTAAATAGCTTTTTTGGTGGTGAAGGGAAGATGACGATGAAGGAGAAATAGAATTATTGTAATAGAATTATTGACATTGTAATCGTAAAACAATTTTTAACGTCAACGTCAAAGCGTACAACCACGTAGTCGTTACTCTTTCACTGAAAATTTTGTGTAAATCCAAAAATCAAAAATCAAAAGCCAAAAATAATCGTCATATTTTAAAATGACTACCGTAACCATTGTCTATAGTTATCCAATCATATACTTTGATATCTTTCAATATTCTCCATAAATCCTGTCTCAGTCAAAAGATTTAATAAAAATTCAAGGTTACAGTAGTTCTTTTTTTGCTAACTTTAAGTTGACTACAGGCTTACGGTAGTTTTCAAAAGTTGGACATCTTTTAGAAAACACATCTTTAGCCCTGTCTGCGAGCTAGACTTTGTTTACGATCTAGTTCTAAAGCGCAGAAAAACTCACTATAGCCCGGCCCATCATCTGGGCCACCACTAACTAACAAGATAAAACGTTTACATTACATGTTCAGTCTAAATACAGTCGAACTTCACTATAATGGTATTGAAGGGTTCAAAAATCTCTATATAACTATTCTAAAACGTGCCCTGTGCGGGCAACGATTTTATCTAATTAAGCACCTTTTAGAATTTCAAAATCGTTAGATAGAAAGTCATTATAGTACTTACACTGTACTGACAAGCAGATTTTTTTGAGTTAAGTCCAGCTAAAACTAGCTGAATTTCTTTGCCCAAAAGATCTTTGACCCATTCCTTTGCAAGATTCAATTAGATTTCCAAAGAAAACTTTCTAAATTTCTAGATCTTCCTAAAAATATTCCGACAAAATTTCTTTTTTCAAAAAAGAGCTTCGATCTCTTCACTCAATTTTTCGACCCTAATTGGTCAGTGGAGCGGCTTACGGCTTTTTTTTGACATGACTAAAGTGAATGAAAAGCTTTCAAAGATCTTTGAATTAAAAATGAAATAAAGTTTGATTGTAAAATTAGAAAAATTAGAATTGTTTTAGAATCTACACAGTTTTAAATAAAAACAAAAGTTGAAACTAGGGCAGTTCGAAAAGTCGAAGCCGGGACTCAAACCCGCGATCCTTCGCTTAGCGTGCAACTGTGCTAACCAGTACACTACAAGGCACTCGATCTGCCTTACTCCAGAGGGAGTTAAGTAACATCGAAAACAATAAAATCGAAATTCTAGCTAGAAAAGCTTCTTTGAAGATTGTTTAGCTATATAAAAAGAACTGAATGCTCATAATTATTGAGCACCATAGGAGTAGATCTAAAGTTGAAAAGCCAAAAATTTCAATTTTGTCTTTAAAATTTCTATCTTTTACAAATTGATTAAAATTCTTGGAAATAAATTCAAATGAATTAGCTTAACCCAAGCTTGTTACAAGCTTAATCCAAGCTTTTCGTAAGCTTAACTCAAGTTTCTTGTAAGCTTAACCCAAGCTTGTTTTAAGCTTAATCCAAGCTTGTTGTAAGCTTAATCGAAGCTTCATAGGAATAGATCTAAAGCTTGCTCTAAAGCTTTCTAGCTAGAAAAGATTCTTTGAAGATTGGTTAGCTATATAAAAAGAACTGAGTGCGCATAATTATTGAGCGCCATAGGAATTGTGAATGAAAAGTGATTGCAAAGTGAATGAAAAGCTTTCAAAGATCTTAGAATTAAAAATGAAATAAAGATTGATTGTAAAATTAGAAAAATTAGAATTGTTTCAAACTTCAAACAAAATTCTTTCAGAATCTACACAGTTTTCCACCGATACGCCTCGATTTTTATTTGTGTGGCCGGCGTGCTCGTGAATGTCGTTCACATTTTGGTTCTCTCAAGGCCAAGGTCGGAGTTTTTTTTCGATTTCTAAGCAATTCAGATATTTTTATAACTAATTTAGTATCTATTTGAGTCAATTATCGCAGTAAATTTGATATCTTTATGCCAAAATTGAAACCTCATTTCCTTACTGGACTGTTGTCTTTCAAGAGGGTACTTTGCGCTTTTATAATTAGATAAACACACCCTTTCTGGTGCATTTAATTCTTCATTTCTCTTAGAAAGCATTCTTCTATTGAACCAGTGCGCCAGGAAGAGCGGGTTTACACTTTTTGAACACAAATTACGCCGAACAATAACGTAACTAGACTTGCTTATCGATATTATCAATACAAAAGGCAAGCTCTTCTTTGACCGTTCAGATCTCGCTTTCTAGAACAGCTATCAATCTGTAAATTGTTTCATTGAAAAGCCAAGAATGTCAGCTTTTGATTGCTATCACATACATAGCAAATTCTCATAGTTGAGTGCTTTAAAAAGCTGATCAATCCTCATCGATACTTTTGATATTGATAAGTATCGATAAGGTTTATGAGGTGGATCATTAAAAGGTGATCATTCAAAGAAAGTCGCTATGTATAAAATAGCAATCAAAAGCTGACATTCTTGGCTTTCTAATGAAACAATTTTCAGATTGATAGCTGTTCTAGAAAGCGAGATCTGAATGGTCAAACATGAGCTTACCGTTTGTATTGAAAATATCGATAAGCAAGTCTACTCGGAACTGTACCTAGCTCAGTTTCTTCAATTTTAGCATAAACATACGTCTTCTAGTGCACTTGAATATCTTGGTGTTAATTTGTTAATTTTGTTGATCAATCTTTTTCAGATTACGTCGTTGTGCAGTGAACGCAGTGCTGACCGCAGTCGCCGTTTGCGATGTGGTGATCATGACCTCGTACACCATTTATCTCTTTCGTTTTCGCATTTTTCAGGTAAATTTTGAAAAATATTGTTACTATAATAGGTGGTCGTGTCTAGAACTTTGCATTAGTATAATCTAGCGTTTAGTTTGTGTATTCTCACCGTATTACTATAATAGATTACTATAATGTCCAGAGCGTACAGTACCCAGTACCAGGCCAGTACCCAACCAGTACCAGTACCAGACCAGTACCCAACCAGTACCAGGCCGGGCCGGGCCGGTACCCAACCAGTACCAGGCCAGGCCAGTACCCAACCAGTACCAGTACCAGGCCAGTACCCAACCAACACCAGGCCAGGCCAGTACCCAGCCAGTCCCAAGCCAGGCCAGTACCCAACCAGTACCAGGCCAGGCCAGTACTAATTTAAAAATATTTACCTAACAATACGGATGAAAGATATTGAGCTAAGTGAACTGTAGATTGTCTAGAGCTCACTTGTTTTAAAAGCGAACTTTCTTGATTGAATTTGGGTATCGAAAAATTGTCGACAATTCCAACGTTGTCCAACTTTAGACAATCTGTAGATTGTCTGTAGTTCACTTAGCTCAATATCTTTCATCAGTATTCTTCATTTTCTCTCTAAAAACTCTTTGAATCTATTTTGTAAACAAAAATCCCCCCCAAAAAAAAAGAAACAAAAACTATCAAGATCACAAAGAAATTCTTTTACAGACATTTCCATTCAACAACATTCAGAGAATAAGGAAAATATTTGGTAATTAGGGGGGAAAACAAGTGAAAGTTTCCAATTAAAGGCAGCTGTTTGTAGAAAATTCTCGTTTTCTTTTTTTTGAGAACAATTTTTACATCCAGTGATTACATTGATTCTTCATTTTCTCTCTAAAAACTGTTTGAATTTATTTTGTAACCAAAAATCCCCCAAAAAAAAAACAAAAACTGTCAAGAACATGAATTCCCATTTAGGGAATTTAGGTTAAAAAAAAGAAAAATAAAAAAAATAAATGAAAATTGCGGAAATTCTCTGTGAAAAGATGAGTGAATTATTGAGGGTTTTCCAGCAAACAAATCTATATCAAATTAGAAGAAAATAGTTTCAAATTAGAAAGTTTGTGTAAAAATTTTAAATCTCATTCGTTTCATATAAGTTCTTAAAGTGAAAAAATGAAAAATCATCAAAAATGTGCCTATTTTTGTTAGTCAATCTAAGCAATAGCCAATAATGAAGCTTAATAAAGCCCTATTTTTATAGAAATTAACTTTCAAAAAGGTATTAAAGCAGAAAAAGACAGAAAAAAGACATTTTTAAAGACTCCAAACTCGAATTTAACGGTTTTCCCATTTTTTTTTTCTACTGCTCGACTAGGGTTGTTAAAGTCATTCAAAAATGTTACGGTTCCTCTATTCTATGTAAAATTACGCATAGATTCTTGTTTTTCTTGATTAATTCTTGTTTTTCATCTTAGATTAAAGTATTTTCTTAGAAAGTCAAAAAAAAAGATGCATTAAACGCCACACTATATATGCGGCACTCTGTAAAACAACGACTACGCGCGTGTACGCTCAAAATACGCCTCAAGCATTTGCTAACGATAAATTTGCAGACAGAAGGCGGGTATTCGTATGCGTGGATGGTTTTCCTGAAATCCCATGTCTCTGTCTCTGTCGCTCTTCATGCAATCACTCTCTACATGGGCGCTGCTTTGGCGTTCATTCGATGGCGAGCGTTGGGCAATATTCAAAGCAGATGGTTGTTGCCGGTGACTGCTTGGTGGGATTTTCGATAGAGCTCTTAATACTGTAGATTAGTGTACTGCAGCTGTTACTGTACTGTACTGTAGCTGTTACTGTAGCTGTTTTTGTAGGGGATGTACCCTAAGTACTGTAGCTTTACTCAGCTTAGCTCCTACTAGGTCTCCTATGCACTATAAGATTTCTATAGCTTCCTCCTACTCTTCTAGTTTAAATATTATAGAAAAAAAGGAATTCAGTGTACTAAAAAGAGAATTTTTACAAATTTCAGCACACCTTTTTTTGAGTTATTTTGCAAAAAGTTCACCAAGATCACGAAAACCAAGAAAACGGCCAAACAGGGCTCAAAATTTTCTGGAATTTGGACAAAAGAAAAGAGTTGAGTCCTTTCCCCTTTTCCCGGTTGAAATTCATTGAGAAAAACTGAGAAAAAGTGAAAAATTCAAATTCATTGCACGAAATTTCTCTTTTTCACAAATTCGCTCAAGTGTGGAGAAAAATTTAGTCTTAAGGAATTTCTTTGAAAGAGTATTTTACGCAAAAACAGGAAGTACGCAAATTTCGGGAGCTAAAAAGCTAAAAATTTCTCTTTTCTTCAGCACCTACACTTTATAGAAATAGAAGAAATGGGGAAATATGCAAAAAAAAAATTGAAAAGTGATTTCATAATAAAGGAAAGATCGAAAATCGGGAAAGCAGCTGAAAAAAGTTGAGTTTTGTTTTAGTTGAATATCTACAGTACACCGGCTCAGTGAGGCTTTCATTTGACTTTTGGGGATTCAGTTATCTGTATTCTCTCTAATAGTAGTGCACCCCGGCGAGCCGAGTTGGTGACGATTTTACGGTTTCCAAGCTTTTACAGAAGCTCAACACTCAAATTTCCCACAAGATCTCATCACAAGATCCCCACAAGATCTCGTCGTCAGCTACATTTTCCGATCCCACATCGATAGGTTCTGATAAGCGCTTTTCGAGATTTCGAGCAATTTAGACAAAGCTTAGGGTGCTACTATTAGAGAGAATACGGTATCTGTATTTGGGTTGAGGCTGTAGAATTATCAGTACTTGTTCATAGAAACGGTAACGATTTCATTTGACTTTTGGAATTCAGTTAACTGAATAACTGAATCCCGAAAAGTCAAATGAAATCGTTACCGTTTCTATAAACAAGATAGAATTATCGGCACTTGTTTATAGAAACAAATTTGACATAGCACCTAATTTCCCTATCTTCTGTGCATTTTAAAATATACATTTATTCACAAGAATAATATGGTACAAACAATACAAAAGCACAACGCTTAACATAATGTAGGAAAGCAAACAAAAAAAGAGCTAATAAGCTAGCCGGGATTGAACCATTGACCTCTCGACTAACGAGGGAAAGGCACGAACTTCCCGTGAGCTTTCGTTTACATACATCTTACTAAATCGAGTATAGAGATTCATAAACTGAAATCTGCCAAATTGAGTTAAAGCTTTAAATGGCGCTTTTCAATCACTGGAGCATGAGCACTGCCTAATGGATTGCAGGATTGGCTCTCGGTAGTAAGGTCGGGGCTTAGCCCCACTCTTCTGCTTTGGTCTAGCCCCACTCTTCTGCTTTTTTTCCCTTAAATGTCATACTCTACATTGTAACTGTAACATATAACAAAGCAAAAGGTTAAAGGTTAAAATCTATGAAACGCGATCATCAACCATCCAAAGCAATAACAATTTTCACAATGCGAACATCTGATAAAAGCAAAGTGCGTGCGTTGTTTTTTCAAATTACGATTGACATCACAATGAGCAATGAACGGTTAAAAACCTGTAAAGAATTCAATTTAAAGAATAAAAACCAAAAACCAAGAGTGGGAGCAAATCCCGATCTTCCTAGCGAAGAGGCCGTCCCATTATCCACTAGGTCACCCGTGCCCATAACCCTGTGATTCAAAAAGCGCGCTTTAAAGCTTATCTTCGAAATTTCAATTGAATGCATTTGCAAGCTTATTTGGCAGATTTAGATTTCAGATTCTGAATCTCCATACTCGATTTAGTAAGATGATCCGGAAACAAAAACTCGCGGGAAAATCATGCCTTTCCCGACTAAGATACAGGGCTCTTAGCCAGTCACCCATGGCGGTCATTAAAAGTTTAAACTTAAAGTTAGTTAAACAGTTAAGTTAGTTAAACATTGTAAAAGTCTCAAGATGAACTTGAACTTTCCAGGAACATGTTCTTCATGGTCTCCGTGGCGATCGCGGTGTTGACGATTCCGACATTCGTCCTTCATCACATCTATTTGGTCGATTCAACAGAGACGAGTACATCAATAGCTGGTCAGTTATAATAGTTAAAGAAATATTGAAAGTATTAAAATCTTATCATTTTCTCACAGGTTAACAAATTAGCATTTACATTAACACAACAAATAACTAAGCTTCAAATAAAATTTGTCTACATAAGGAAAACGCAGATCTTATAAGGAAAAAATCAAAGACTCTTATCCAGTCTTTAACTGAATATCTTTAAGAGAAAGATATGGATCCAAGGTGTATGGAAGAGCCAATTGAAACTGGAGGAGCGAATAACTGAATATCTTTAGAAGGAATGGCTGGACCCAGCGAGGGTTTGTACTCACTCGAGTTCGCTCATTTACCCTGTGCACTTTATCGTTTCAATCTTTGGATTGTGGCCATTGTCATGAAGGTGAGAAATGAAAAAGATCGTATATGAGCTAATTTTATAAATTTTCCGTAATCAACTACAATGTTTGCATACAGTGATCCTAATTTTGACTGAGCCTCGTGATCCCTCATTGAATCCAAACTCATTACGATTACGATGGCTTTGTCTTTTGTCTTAGGTCTTTTTGGGTCTTTATCCACGATATTATCTTATATGCCGTCATGGCCAAGTGGTTAGGAGTCTTGTATCCTAGTCAGGAGATCACGGGTTAGGAGTCTTGTATCCTAGTCAGGAGATCACGGGTTAGGAGTCTTGTATCCTAGTCAGGAGATCACGGGTTAGGAGTCTTGTATCCTAGTCTGGAGATCACGGGTTAGAAGTCTTGTATCCTAGTCAGGGATCTCAGCGGCTAGAAAATAGCTTTTTCCATGCAGATGGGTTTTTTTCACTGCTCATCTTTATGGTATTAGGGTTCTGTGTCTGTATTTGTTTTTGTTACATTATTCATGTTCACTTACTTACTTATTATCTATCTAGTTATCTAGTTAGGGTTTATCTAAAATTTGGTATTCAGGCAGCGCCATGTGCCCTCTTGTTGTGGTTCACGATCGCGTTGGTGTTAAAGTTGAGAGCAACTGATGAGAAAAGGCATCATTTATACTCGAAAAGTTTCCGAAAACACATCAAGAAGACCACTGTGCCTGACAGGTTTTTGCGATCAATGAAATTAGAATTAAAATTAAAATAAACGAATTTCAGAACAACATATATGCTGTTGATTTTGCTGGCCGTTTTCCTCGTCACCGAGCTGCCGCAAGGGATTTTGGCGCTTTTCAATGGTTGGCTTTTGATCGTAATTAGGAAATATTTACAATAAGGAAAGCTGAATATCTTACAGTTTTTAAGATTTAGTTTAAATTGAAAGGGTAAGCTGGGAAGGATAAGCTGGTATCACTTTTTTAATTACTTTCTCAATCGATCATCAAAGGCACTCAACTTATTAGCTTTATTTGTACAAGCTGTGCAGGGTGTGCAGGGTGTAAAAGAGCTGTGTCTGTCTGTTTGTCTGTCTATCTATCTATCTGTCTGTCTGTCTATCTATCTGTCTGGCCGTCTGTCTATCTATCTATCTGTCTGTCTATCTATCTATCTGTCTGTCTGTCTGTCTGTATGTCTGTCTGTATGTCTGTCTGTCTGTCTGTATGTCTGTCTGTCTGTCTGTATGTCTGTCTGTCTGTCTGTCTGTGCGCACTATTCCTCCGCGCCAAGCGGGCCGTTTCAAATATCTTTGTGCAGGGTGTGAGAGGGTACCGATGGGGCAATGATTATTAGATATTTATTCCGAATATAACACAATTACTAACCTAGCGAGAAAATATAATAAAATAGAATCAATCGTTGGTTCAGTGTTTCAAAGTCAAAGAAAAGCAAAGAAAAGCAATACAAAGTGGCCTCCGTCCATTTTTATCACACAAAACAGTCTTTAGAGGAAGGACAGGAGAGTCAAAGATATTCAAAATCAAAACATTCAATAAGATTTCACAGAAAAGAGCTAAAGAGCTAAAGAGAGAAAAGAGCTTTCTGCACACAAGCCAAAAATGAACCTCTTCCAGGTATGTCCACCTCGTATGTCTACAAATCGATCTACGACAATGTAGGCGAATTGTTGGATATGCTTTCGTTGGTGAACTGTTCGATGGATTTCATTCTCTATTGTTGCATGTCATCAAGGTGAGCAAAAAAAGTAAAATAAAATAGCCTATACTTTATTATTGTATCTAGAGTCTAGAGTACCCTGTAGTAGTGTACTGTAGGATTAAGGGATAAGAGATAAGTACATCAGGCATCATCTGGTTGACATTTTTGTTGCCCAAAGTTTGGAGGGTACGTTTTCTAAAGAAAATAATGTCTGTTGATTGAAAAAATCCATAAAATGTACTATGTACTTTCTTCTCTTCACATAGTACAAATTGCATTGAAATGAAAGCTTGCTTGTATCCCAATAATGCGTAGTTGTGTGGTAGTTGAGTCTTCGATGTCATTATCCCAATCCGATGGATGCCTAAATCCACCTGGAACTGTGCCCCATAACTGTGACTAGACTAGACCAAGGGATAAGTACCGTATTAAGCTTTACCTAGAGTCTTCTCTTAACAAGTAAACTGTTTATGACAAAATCGAGGGTCTAAATATGTTGAACTTTATAAAAAGTCCTTGGGGGCTAAAGTTTTGAAAAAAAATCACTTGTAATTAGTAAACAAACGGGAGAACAAATTGTATTACTTGCGAAAAACGAGTCTGATAAGGGAATTGGGGAAAATATTTTGCTTCAAAAGATAGCAAATGATGAGATTCCCATTATTGTAATCAAAATAAAAGTTAAAATTTTATTTTCAGATATCGTCAAACATTCGGTCATATGTTGATCCGAGTGGAGAGTTGGGTGAGAAATCAATGGTATCCAGGGAAAGATGGAGAGCGATGCGCCAGGACGATCAGGAGGGCACATAGGTGAGTGAGGAGGAGAAATCCAAGGTATATGGAAGAGCCAAATGAAACTGGAGGAGCCAAATGAAAGGGTGAAGCAAAAAAGGAACACCTATCTATTGGGAGCATGTGCCAGAAAGCGAGCGATTGTGCGCGCACCCAAAGAACATCTCGCCAGTCATTTACCTAGATTTCCCCTTTGCTTTGATGATCCAAAAAAGAAGATATTCAACTGAGAATTTGTAAGCGAGGGTTTTCAGGGCCGGGGATCGTTTAGAGCTATTCATTTTGTTTAGTCTATCAATTAGAAAAGAGAAACGACCTAAGCCTAAGCCTTCAGCTGTAGATTTGTAGCGTTCTCTTATCCACTGGCAATAATTGAATCAATAAAAGTATATTTATTCGACACGAATAATGAATTACAACACAACGGAGGAAACCTTTATCCCTAATTACCCCTATTACCCAAATGTTGTTAAGAAAAAACCCATAATAATGGGAAAAAGAAGCAATGTTTCTAGCCGCCGGGATCGAACCCTCACCCCCCCGACTAGGAGACAACACTCCTATCAAGTCGGCTACGAAGGCTATCATAAACATAAAATCTATCATAAACATCAATCTATACAGTAATCAGCAAAATCTATTCACTATAAAATAAAGAAAACAAAATCTAGAGTCGAGCTAACCGACGATCCCTCGTTTTCCCGTGTTCATTGTGACGGTTCTTGTCCTCCGGATGCGGTCGATGTCTGAGAAAAGCTCGATTTCACACTTCAAACCCCATTTTGCCTTGCCGTTTTCTCTTTGAAAACAAATTTTTGCCAATGTTTCCATTTCGCTTTTTTTCTCAATCTCCGATTTGATCGATCTCATTTTTCTCAAAAAAATTTTCTTCATTATTTTTCTGTTTTTCTGTTAAAAGGGTGTTTGCGTGCATCATTTTTCACGAAAAAAAACGGGTTCATTTTTCGATTTTTCTTAAGAAAAAAAACAACATAAACGATTTTATCAATTTTGAGTCAAAATTTAGCTATTCAATTCGCAAAAATGAAAAGCAAAACAACTTTTTTTTGAGGTGAAAAAAATCGACTCGTGCATGGGCTTATCTGAAATTTTTTTTTTAGGGAAATTACGTGAAATTCTCTCACAAAAGACACACAAATACAGTCCAGAGACAGAAAAAAAAGTGGAATTGCAAGAAAATGTTCATTTTAAAAACTGAAATTGCAAGAAATGAAAAAATTTGAAAATTTTATCAATTTTCAACTGTTAACCGTTGTTCAATCCAGTTGTGCGTCTAAACGCGTCTAAACGCACCCCCTTCTAGTGCACTAGAATCACAGTTTTTCTTTTCTCTTTTAACAGTACTGTATTCTCAAGAAAATGATGCGGCAAATGGGGTGCGTTTCGGTATTTTTTGAGTACAAAGTACACCTCAGACGTGCAAGAGTTTTTTGATGAAAGAAACTCGAATTTTATTAAAGTTTAAAGAATTTCTACCGTCAATACTGTAATAGTACCCCACCGCCCTCGTACAGTCGCGTATTGTCTTGTTTATAACTCTTTTCCAATAAGAACTGCCAGAATTTGGAATCGACTTCCCAGAGTTTTGAGAGAGTTCAATAGTCTCGAAGACTTTAAATTATCTGTAGATGGCCTTGATCTTGAGCTTGAAGCTCTAGTGGATCCTTGACGTTATCTGTGCTACCCATATATTACATACCGTAAATACTGTAATAGTATCCCACCGCCCTCGTACAGTCGCGTAGTCGCAAAAGGTTTTTCGTATTTCATTTTTTGCAAAGCACCCGTACTTTCAAAAAAATGCGTCTTTGATATCAAAAAATAGCCCTGAATTTCAGCTATTTTTTGATACCTAAGCGCGCATTGTAGCATAAACCAGTGTCGAGAAAAGCGCGTTCAAAGCTAGACTACGCAACGCCCCGCACCGTCATTATGCGGGTGGGGTACTATTACAGTATTTACGGTAACTACTTTTAAAAGCCGATTCATTCACTCAACTTTCGTTTCAGTTCTTTAGAGTAATACGTTTTCTAAAAATGGATAATTTAAAAAGAAAACTACCGTCACCCCTTCCCTCGGGATTTCTTTCCGTTCTATTTTGTCGAGTACTATGTGTTTGTATGGCACGATTCCCCTTGTTTTTATGGCATTTCCATTTCCATTTTTCTCTCTAGAAACAAGTAAAGAGCTCATTTAGTTGCGTTTTTTAGTCAAATAAAAGCTCTTCATTTTACTCATTTGACATCTTTTTGAACAAATTTGAGCAGAAAATTCGTTAAATGGCCAAAAAAAATAGAAATCTTGGCATATTAAGCTGAAATTTTGGTTATAATTTCCCATCTTTTTAAGTTAATTTCGGTTCACTTACAGCTCAAATTCGAGAGTCAAAACCAGTGTTTCTATAAAAAAAAATCTATAAAAACTTCTACGAAGAAATTGGCTGAATCGATTACTCTGAAAATTTGGCTATACACCTAACTTTTTATGCTCGATCTTTCACCCAAAGACATCAAAATAGGTTTCTTGGCTAAAAGCTATCTTTGGCTTAAAAGCTAAAAGCGAAATTTGGCTAAAAGTGCTCAAATTGTATCATTAGACCTTTTTTTGTTTGCTTTTAATCCCTCAACTTCTTGCTCTCTGAAAAATTAGAAAACGAAAGCATTTCCTAATGCGTTAAAAGCTACTTTTAAAAGATCAATAGAGCTACATATTACAGCAAGAAGAAAGCAAGCAAGTGTAGCAAGAAATTCTGAAAAATTTTCCGTTGAGCTGCTCGTTTTTTCGGTTTACATCTATTGACGATTAGAAAATAAACAGCTCTCGTACAAATCCAATTCAATCAGCTAATCCAAATAGCTAATCCAAGCCTACAATTCCAGAGCTGAGCGAGTACAGCGGTGCATTCACGAAGCGTCGCGTCGACGGGCGAGCGTTGTCACAAATGGATCGCACGGCGTTGCACCCAGTTGGGCGTCACGCGGATCGCTCACCGCCAACGCATCGAGCACTCGATTCGACAATTCGTGCAACAACACGACGAATGAACACATTGTAATTACCGTAAATACAGTAACAGTACCCCACCGCCCTCGTACAGTCGCGTAGTCGCAACATTTACATATTGATAAGGAATCAATATGTAAATGAGTCATGTAAATGAGGCGATTTTTTTCTCATTTTTTTTAGATTAAAATAAAGAGCTTGAAAAACTCTACTGTTGTAGAGTTGTTGAAGTGGTTGTTGGATATCCTGCTGGGTGAATAGCTGAACAAATGGGTTTTGATTGTTTTGACAAATAGGAGTGACGATTTGACGATTTCTAAAAGATCAGAATTTAGAAAACACAGTACATATTAGAGCAAGAAGAAAGCAAGCAAGTGTAGCAGGAAATTCTGAAAAAGTTTCCATTGAAGTGCTCGTTTTTTCGGTGTACATCTATTGACGATTAGAAAATAATCAAGTAGAACGAATAAAATCCGAGGTATGGATTACGGTAGTTTTCTAAATTCTTTTAGAAATCTTTTAGAAATCGTATCACTCTTATTTGTCAAAACAATCAAAACCCATTTGTTCAGCTATTCACCCAGCAGGATCTCCAACAACCACTTCAATCTTTCCAAATCTTTCGATAACAAAAATAAATTCATCTTCTTCGGGAAAAAAAAACGAGAAAACTCATCAAAATTGGCTATGAGATGGGAAAGAAAATGAGAGATTTCGTCAAATCGGAACTGAACGAAAGAGGAACTTGAACTTCTTTTAAAAGTGAACGGATCAACAAACAACGAGTAAATGTGAGATTGAGCATTTTGAAAAGTTGAATTACGTCGTGTTTCTAGCTTTGCTAGATTTGCGAGAAGTTTGCTAGAATTATCTGGATACAATATACTTGGGAATTCGCTTTCTAAACCATTTTTTTTTTGTATTTTCCGGTTTTTTTGTATACCCCGGCAACTGTTCTTTCAAATCAAATGACTTATTTTAAAAGTTATTTAGTTGAAAAGCAATTATCATTTTGCTTATAAACTTTAGAATCAATTTGATGATAGAAAATAGCTTTTGAAAAAATAGCTTTACCTATTTGAGGGCCTATTTGACTTACTGAAAAGGAGAGCTGCGAATTAGGGCTGATTCTCACTAAAACCAGATTAACATCGCTTAGTCCGGAATTTCTGGACGAATACAGCCAAATAAATGTAAAAATTGATCCGAAGAATTTGAGGATAGCGACCCGAAAAACGGAAAAGCCGGCTTAGCTAGCGATTGGAAAAAGAAAGTGCCTTATGCTAGAGGAGTTTGCCAGAAAGCGAGGGATTGTGTGCGCGTACAAAGAACAGTCATTTTATTGAGTCTATCAAGTATTGGATCATTCTATCCCTGTTCCTATGACGACAATTCATGCTCATGATGACAACCGAGCCCTAGGGTCTGTAGGCCAAACCAGACCAGATTTTCTTGTAAAACCGGTTCATTGTCATAAGAAATTAATAGTTTCGGTGCGCCAGAAGGGATGTGTTTGCTTTAGACCAGATTTCCCCTTTGCTTTGATGATACAAAAAGAAGATATTCAACTGAGAATTTGTAAGCGAGGGTTTTCAGGGTCGGGGATCGTTTAGAGCTATTCATTTGGTTTCGTCTACCAATTAGAAAAGAGGAACGACCACACTCTAGCCGTGAGTGTGGTCGTTCCTCGTTCCTCTGAAAGCCACTCTATCACATCGTTCTTGTTGTTCTATTTTTCAAGTCTTCATTACTTATGTCCAGCGAGCACATAAGGCGTAAACAAGGGGAATGAATTGCGTGGTGATTGGCTGAAAGCCAGTTCTCTTCTCAGCCCTTATCCAGCTCCCTTCGCAAAAAAAGGGTTCAGAAGGGGGGAAATTGAAAAAGAAAAGAAAAGAAAAGAAAATGAAGATATTTTCACGTGTTTTTTCATTTCTTTTCATTCCGCAGCTCTCCTCATTCCATCCAATATTTTCCGTGTTTACCACGGAAAGCTTTTCACAAAAAAGAAGAAGAAAGAAGGAAAGAAGGAAAGAAGGAAAGAAATAGTGGCTGAAATTGAGTTGTGGAAAAGAAAATGGAGGATTTTTGAAAAGATCAGGTTTCTTTTAGAGAATTGCGGGCTTTTCCCGGTCTGCGCCTCTTCGAATCCCCTCCACTTTTCTTCTCTTATTTTCACTCGAAAATCGATTCTCAACATTTTCACCAAAAGAACTCCCCACCCATTCTCCTTTTTCATCCGTCGATGACACGATGCGAAGAGTTTTCCATCAAAACAACTCAGCTATTCGCCGATTCTTGATAGGCTTTTAGTTGAGGATTTTCATGTCCAATTACCCAATTGCTCAATAACAAATTTTCTCTCATTTTCTCTCATTTTCTTACTCATTTACTTAAAATTCATGCTCATCGAAGCTTTCAAAACGTTTCTTTTATCGATTTGCTTAGAGCATTTAAAGCTTGATTTACATTTCAACACTTGACCATGCTTTTAGCGTAGATTCTTTTTTTGTATCCAGCCATTCTGTGGCCACTTTTTGCTCACTAATCCTCTCTTGGTACGGCTAGTTGAAAAACTTTGCCTAATTTGTTTTGTTTCTTGTGTAAACCGTGCTTTGCTTAAGTGTATTCAATCTACGATTCCATAACTTTATCATAGCAATTCTTTGAATGATAGTGAAACCATTAGTGTCTCTAAAGCTAGGTCTAACTAGGGGAGAGACGAGCTACGTCGATGGCTTGGTCCATTAGACTTGGCCCATTGGCCCAGACTCGCCCACAGGATTAGGGTTTGCACTCCACATCTTTTGTTGTTGTTTTTGTTTTCCTTTAGTGATAGTGACTGATAGTGAGTAGTGCAACCGGTGAGTGTAAAGCCTAAGTTTTACAGTCTAAGCTAACTTCGGCTAAGTCTAAGCTAACTTCGGCTGGCTGAGATAATTTGTGGCCAGACCAGGCTAGCCAGAAAAACAGATCAAGTAAGAAGTGAGGCCTGGCATGGCTTTAGTCGAAAACTGCCTTTGAAGGATTTGAAAATCCCTGCTCCCAGATCAAGAAATCATTGCTTTAGCATCTTTTAACTCTAGTATTAGCTGAATCGATGAAGCTCTCGTACGGCTATGGCACTTGTAGATCCTCCAAAATGTCGACGTTGTTTTTCTAAACTCTCTCATCCACTTCCCAATTTTGGCTCGATATTTTTCTCACTCACTAATCCTAGTTAGTCCACCGAAATCGAAAAAAGGCAAATCTTGTTTTCGCTTTTTATAGGGATAACTTACTAACTTTATAGGGATAACTTTCTAAAGTTTTTTCTAAAAAATGCTATTCAGCTATTTTACAATCTTTTCCCCGATTTTTGCTCTTTCCCAATCACTTAAAAATTTTTGCTAATCGTTCTGAAAAATCTGAAAGCAAAAAAAAACAAAAATCCGGTATAGAGGGCAATATTTTGTTGGGAAAACAATTTTCTTTTTTTCTGAAAAAATTCATTTGAAAGAAGTGAGAAATGATCCGCATTCCCGCGAAAGATCCCATCGGATTTCTCTCGATATCATCACCAAATTCCGTTTCTAATTTAGGAAAACGATTCGAGAAAATCATGTGAGCAATTTTAAGTGTTTTTTAAAGTATTGTTTGGTCTTCAATCTTGTATTTTGTGCTGAAAATGGAAAAAGTGCATTGGCGTAAATTGGCATTGGCATTGGCATTGGCATTGGCATTGGCATTGGCATTGGCATTGGCATTGGCATTGGCCTTGGCATTGGCGAAAGATCCCAATTTCTCAAATTTTGTCCAAAATACCGGATTCTTTAATGTAAAATGAGAGATTGAATGGGTTTAGATTTTGAGATTTTCGAGAACAAAGTACATTAAGAATAACGTGAATATGATACTTAGCTAGTTAAGGAAATAAAGTTTTCCTTTAAGTTCTACTTTGGTGCTTTCCTTTAGGTACCAAAGTAGAACTTTATTTCCTTAACTAGTTTCTACTTTGGTACTTTCCTTTAAGTTCTGCTTTGGTACTTTATGGTAGTTTCAATTTCAGCGCCGCAAGTTTCGCTGTCGTTGTGGCACATGGTGAATCTCATTTTGACTCAATTTTTGACTTCTACCAGACTTCTACTTTCGTACTTTAAGATCGTACTTTAAGGCCGTACTTTAAGTGGTAGTAGTACTTTTTAAAAAATGAAAACCCAGCTACTCAACTAACACTTTTTTTACACATTTATCATTGGAAAAAGAAAAAAATGAAGTATTTGGTTGCAGTAGAACGATGTGCGTTTACAAATGATAGGCAGCTTACTGGAATTGCTTAGAGTGGATTAAGAGTGGATACTTTGATGTGTATTTTGTTGAGCATTGTAAACGCCATGTAACGTAAACGAAGAACGGATGCGTTTACAATGCTCAACAAAATACACATCGAAGAGTCCACTCTAAATCCACTCTAAGCAATTCCAGTAAGCTGCCCAGTAAGCAATCCAGTAATTCGTCTAGTGCATAGTCTTAAAAGTCGTGCCAAATAGTCATGCCAAACGCACATCGCCTAGTGCATAGTCTGAAAAACAAGAGAAAGAAGATCTTGCTTGTTTTTAGGACTTAGAATTTATCTTTTAGCATTTCTTTACAGCAAGTTACTATTTTTTCGACTCAATAGCCTTTTTTTATGGTTTATTACGTGATTTTTGCCCTTTTCATCAAACAAATAACTCAAAACTTCCCATAATTGTTCTTATTCATCCAAATTCAAATATTTCCCTCAATTTTTTTCTTTTGATCTTTCCCTTTTCTCACCTAATTGAGGGTGGTGATGAAGTCTCTTTGCTCCAATCTTTTCTCAGAAATTCCCATGTTTATCCCAATAGTCAAAGGGAAAAGGGAAAAGATTTCCTGATTATTAAAGATTTTAAAAAAAAGATTTTCAAAAAATAAAGAACGTTTCGAATATTTTAAATAACAATTATCAATGAATTTGAACAGATAGAGCTAGCAATAAGCCAAGAATCGATTGGGTTGGTGAATTGAAAACTGCCGGCTATTGTCATATGTGACAGTTTGAGCACTTTTTTCAAAAGAAACCCACTTTGGTGTCAATGGAAAAGTTGTAGAGAATCAAAAATGAGGCTTATATCCAAATTTCCAAAAAGATTCAAAAACTGGTTTTCAAGAAATGCAAAATTTACGAATTTTTTACAAAACTTGCAATTTAAGCGAAACTACTAAGTGTATCTTTTTGGAAATTTGGCTATAAGCCTCATTTTTGATTCTCTACAACTTTTCTATTGACACCAAAATGGGTTTCTTTTGAAGAAAGTTCTTAAACTGGGACATCTCCAGTTCTCCATTTTTGAGTCTCACACTTGTCTCACACACAAACCAAAATATTCTACCACGAAAGAGGAATCCGCAAATTGCCTGTAAAATGGGCAGAAGTCGTCAATAATAATGGAAATTATTTGGAATGAATTCATGGTTTTATTTTGAATAAATTTTAGTTCAAAGTCCGGCAGTTTTCAATTGACCAACCCAATATTTGGTATCGTTTGTTTGTCTGTTTGCCGTGAAATTGGCTCAAAATTTCCTTTTTTTTTCAATTAACTATATTTCTTAGCTTAAAATAGCCTAATATTTTGAAAAATATTCAATTTACATCTCAAACTCTCGTGATCAACACCAGAATTTTGTTATTGCTTTATTGAAAGCACCTGCTTTTCAATAGTCTTCATTTCAATCGTTCAGCTTGAAATTTGATTTTAAATTTGTGAAAAGTTATATTTTGTATTTTATTATGACAGAAATTTGAGATTTTTTGATTTTCTAGATAATTTTCTAGATAATTTTTTTTTCTATTTTAGAGTGACGCCGAATGCCGCCGAGTCTCAATCATTCACAAATCGTTTAATGCTGAACAAATTACGCATATTTGTGAGTTAAATGATAAATGGGATATTAGAAATCTATTTAGATTTAGAAAAACTATTTAGATTTAAAAAATAGTATAGTATAGTATAGTATAGTATATATACTTTATCCGACAAGGAAAAGTGACAATGCAAACAGATTGAACAGCGTAGACGAAGAAAGATAATTGATATACAAACACAACTACAATTAGACACGTGTATATATGACATTAAAAACGAATTTAAAATTGACAGAGCTACAAGATCGAGCTTATATATTGAGGATTTAAAATAGTTCAGAGACGAAAAAATATCACAAGGTAACTTATTCCAAAATCTATTTAGCTTTTAAAAATCTATACAAATTTCTATAATTTTAACTAGTAAACGCATTTTTTTATTGATGCTTCTGAACCCCATTTGCCTTGCTTTCCTTTTCCCCGAAAGAAAGCTGATTTTTAAAGATATTTTTTTAAGATTTTAAAGAGATCTTTTAAAGATAATTGACTATTTTTTTTTTCTATTTAGAATAGTTTAGATATTTAGTTATTTAATAGTAAATGGATTTTGATCAACTAAATGGATGGTTAGGTTAAGAAATTGAGCGAAAATTAGGCTCTAGCCCAACCACCAGAGTTCGATGAGTCAGCAAAGAATAAAGTAAATTCAGTTTTTTAAAAGCAAAAATTTTCTATAAGCTTTATTGCTTGATAATCGTGAACGATAAGCTTTATTCCAGTTACCCCACTCACTCCCGCCGATTCTCTTTTTGCTCTTCTTGTTGTGGAGGTTGAGTGATGGGGATTCGATGGTAATGCCAATTGGACTCCAAGTTTCCTCAGCGTCAGAGGAACTCTATCGAAAATATCTTAGTAGGAAAATTTTTGGTCGTCTCGATATTGTCTAGATAACTTCAAATATTCTTTCAACTTATATTTGTTCAGAGTCAACATGTCGAAAAGGAAGCACCGAGCACAACGATGTCGTCGCACGAGCACACGAGTATCTGAATTGGGAGGAGAACGCTTTTCTGGAACAATTGCGGATAAAGTTAGTGCTTGCAAAGTTTAGAGAGTAAAACTATTAGGGTGGTGCAAAAAAAGTGCCGATTTGACAGTAAATTCTAAAAAAAAAGATGGCGTTCGATGGTGACATGATAACAATGGAATATTTTCGCAAGATCTCGAGCAGATTGGCATGGATTGGCATGGATCGACTTGAATAGCGTCTCTCAGCTTGGCTTCGTTCACGACTTCTGGTCTCGAACCGTGCTCGTAATCTTCCTAAGTCTCGTCTCCTTCTCGGAATCGTTGAAACCAAGTCTGACACTGCCTCAGAGACGAACTGCCATCTCCGAAAGCAGCACAGAGAGAACGATGCGTTCCAGTAATTCAAAGTACACCAAACCCTTGCTGTTCCACCATACAGTCAAGAAGATCTTCTTCCCGTGGATTTCGGGCCTTGAGGTTGAAACATCACGTTCGCCGGCGCTCAGCCACTGTCGTTCTCGCTTAAAGTTGTCGTATGCAATCCATTTCTCATCCGATGTCACGATAGAATCAAGAAATTCGCTATTCTTTGCACGATTCAGGAGAATGCCAGCGATGGAAATGCAGGATGCGAGATTAGCATCACTGAGTTGATGAGGGACCCATCTTCCACAACGACTTTTCTTTCCAATACCGTGAAGATGGCGTTCGATGGTGGCATGATCACAATGGAATATTTTCGCAAGATCTCGAGCAGATTGGCATGGATTGGCATGGATCAGCCTGTATAACGTTCCTCAGCTTGGCTTTGTTCACGACTTCTGGCCTCGAACCGTGCTCGTAATCTTCCAAAGTCTCGCCACCCTCTCGGAATCGTTGAAGCCAAGTCTGACACTGTCTGAGAGACAAACTGCCATCTCCGAAAGCAGCACAGAGAGAACGATGCGATTCGGCAGTAGACTTTCCAATTTTGAAGTTAAACAGTAATGCTGCTCGTAGCACAAACTTTTGCTCGACCATAATCTAAATAAAAAATATAAGCATTTTTAAATAAAATAAAAAAACAACCAAAAATTCAAATGTCGCAAAAGCAAACAAATATGTGAACAAAACATAAAAAAAAATAATGCCGTTAGCATCGCTCATTTCTGATAAATGAGAGCTGACACCCATCGGCAGTTTCTTTTGCACCACCCTAATATTTCAACGTCATCAACAATCAACAATTTCCAGATTGGAACCGAAAACCGCGGAGGGTGACTTGAGCAGTCTCTACGGCCGACCTGAGTTCAAAATCTTCGACTATCGGATATTGTCGGTGAGTGCTGATAAAGTTGCGCAAAGTTTACAAGTACAAATTCTTTTCTGAGCTCTGTTTGATAGTGAGGCAAAAGTCTAATAAGCAAGTAACACATTCTAGTAAGCAAGTTACGATTTAGCATTTCAAAACTCAAAGCTACCGTAGCTCCGATGCTTTTGTGAGCCTGCTACCGTACTCGAGCTGTCTTAAAGTTAAAACTATCCAAACTTTTAAGCTATCCAGAATATCCAGAAAAGCAAAGCTGTTAAACTCTTGCTAGCCTTGGAGCCTTGCTAGCCTTGGAGCCTTGCTAGCCTTGGAGCCTTGCTAGCCTTGGAGCCTTGCTAGCCTTGGAGCCTTGCTAGCCTTGGAGCCTTGCTAGCCTTGGAGCCTTGCTAGCCATTCGGAAATTCTCAGCATTCTAAAATGTGCACCTAGGAAAAGCTACCGTTTTTCTATGTTAGCTATTAAACTTCTATTTCTAGAGCTATTCAAAAAGAATAGTGAAGTAAGAAAGTACTTGTACTTAAGAAAGTACAAGAAAGTATATTTAGGCAAAAGTAACCTCTGAATGCAAGAAGTCCAACGACACCAAGTTGAGCCGAATCGAAGCGATCAAGAAAGAGAGCGCGCTTCTTGAGGACGAGATCGTGAATCGGTTCGTTTTTTTTGGGTTAAAAGAAGCTATTATCTCAGAAGCTATCATCTAACTGTGTTTCTTTTCCCCAAGAAAGTGCTATTGCCTGTATTTTCCCTGCAAAACAAAAACAAGCACTCCTTTTTTTCGGGTGAAACGGTGGTGCATATCCATTTTCTCTGTGTTTCAGTTTGAACTAAACCAATTAAGAGAAAACTAATCGATAATTTATATCTAGTATTCTATAAGTTTTTCTTTCAATTGGCTATACACTTCGCGAGCTTCAATCGCTAATGCTTCCCTGGTGTGTGCGTTCTCGCCGACCTTTGTTTGGTGTTTGTTCTCAAGACAACCAACTCTTGTCTGTATCCATTTTTAAGCGAAAGATGTAGTGTTTATATCTCCAAATCTAAGCAAAATCTAGCGCCAAAATGTAGCCCTTTAGCTATCGTAACTCGTTAACGAATGCTACAGTAGGATTAAGTAGTTTCTGTAGAACGCGTAGATCTACAGTAATCCAGATCTAAGATCTATTTCAACTAGAGATAGACACGATAAAGATCCAGGTACTGTACCTGATTCTTTATCGTGTACTGTACCTGGATCTTTATCATGTACTGTACCTGGATCTTTATCGTGTACTGTACTTGGATCTTTATCGTGTACTGTACCTGGATCTTTATTGTGTACTGTACCTGGATCTTTATCGTGTACTGTACCTGGATCTTTATCGTGTACTGTACCTGGATCTTTATCGTGTCTATCTCTAGTTGAAATAGATCTTAGATCTGGATTACTGTAGGTCTACGCGTAAGCTTTACATCTAGATGTCTGATCAAGAGCTATGCCAAATAAAGCTACATTTAAAGACCTGGATCTAATTCTTGAGCTTTATAGGCTTAAAATGAGGCCTGGAAATGATAAGGAGATTATTTCCAGGCCTGATCAGTCTAGTCATGATCGATCCTGGTACTAGTACAAGATATAGACTACAGCTAGATCTAAAAAGTCACCAAGTGCTAAGACAAGTAAAAAGTAATTGAAGAATAGATGTGCTTCAGTAAGACGCTTGACTTCAGTAAGACTCTGAGCCTGGTGCATTTTGTACTCAACTCTAGAAAAAGCCGAATTCTGGTGTGTTTCGATTTTTGAGCTCAAAGTGCATGAAAGGCAGGAAATTCCCAGTGAACTTACTCAAGTCAAGCGTCTTACTGAAGCACATCTATTCTTCAATTACTCCCAGTGAACACAGACCTTCCATTCATTCCCTTCCATTTTTCAATTCAATTCAATTTCAAAGGTTTTCCTTATTTTATTTTGATGATAAAATAGAAAGAAAAGAAAAAACCATTTTTTTTCATTCTTTATTGTGACGAGATTTGATTGTCGTGGAATGGCGCCATCTCTTTTTTCGTCGTTGACATTTCAATCTAGACATTTCGATCTAGACATTTCGATCTAGACATACGATTTTCCCCAAATATGTCGTGTTGAGAAATTGATCGAAAATTTACTTTCTAAAAAAATTCCCCATCTAGATATTTTAAAGAAATTCATTTTTGATTGATTTGAAAGAGAAAAGCACGAGTGTTTTTTTGCTTGATCAAAGTAGAGAACGTAGAGAACGCTAAAGAATTTCGTGACGATTTTCTTTTCAAGAAATTATTTGGGAAGAGCTTTACGGAAATCCAATTTTATTGATTGGATATTTAAGAGTTACCGTATTCTATATATTACTTTATTTTGAAAGGGATTGAACGGCTACCGTGCCCAACTTCATTTAATAAACGTTACAGTAATCCTAAAGTAGTCACGTAGCACAGGGTAGACAGGGCATGGTGTACTGTAACGCTGGCATACTGTAGCTATTCTTGGGCGATGTACTGTAACGCTGGCCTACTTTAAAGCATGATCCGGCTACCGTAACCCGTTGGTTGATGCTACAGTGAACTCAAGTAGTTTCTAGCGTTACTGTGCAGCTTTAGACTTGGCTACTGTAACCTGTAATCTAACTAATAGGCGTTACAACTAACTAACTAACTAATAACCCTGAAGATCTAGGCCGGACGACGGTAATAAAGGGAAGAGGTAAAGAGAAATTGCCAGAGATAGGATTGAACCCTCGACCCCTCGACTTTTCTGCTTTTCGAGCAAAAGCCCTAACCACTGAGCTATCTGTTATCTGCTTACCAGAGAAGAAAGAGGAAATACAAGAGGGAAAGGAAAGGAAGAAAGAGAAGAAAAACTTTCAGTCTAACTTATCGTAATCATAGACTGAGCTCGAGATTTCACATTCTTGACTGCTTCATTAAACTTTTCCGTAAAGCTCTTTTCCCAAGGTGATGGTCATGAAAATCGACAATAATGGGTGAAACTTTTATTTTTTTTCACAGGGTATTTTACCAACCCGACGGCCATCACGAGATCGATGAAGAGGAGATCAAAGAGAAAGAAGCGAAAACGATAAAAGGATGAATAGTCACCGGTCTACCGAACTCTCAACTTCATCATCGACATTCAACGACAACTCGCACCAACTTTCCCTTTCTAGAATTTCCCCCGCGAATCGTTGAATGAATAGCTTTGTCTTCTCACTTTTCTCCCTAAAATTTTCCAAAAAAATAATCGAAAAAAGCTGAATAATTTTTTGAATGATCAACCTAACCACTTCTATGGCTTTGCTTGAGAAAAATTAAGTGATTACAATGATAACTTATAGATAAAGTACCATTGTAACCGATTACAATGATACCTTATCTATAAAGTATCATTGTAATCGGTTACAATGATACTTTATAGATAAGGTATCATTGTAATCGTGCTTCTACTGATTAACAGATGCAAGTAGAAAAAAAGAAGATATTATTTCCACTGAAAACATATTACATTTAGAATTACAATCACAATTTTGATATTAGTTATTATTAGTTACAATCGAATCTCGTTAGTGAACTATGGAAGAGATCCTAGAAAAACGGTTACTATCAAGGTTCGATTGCCGGTTACTATCAAGGTTCGATTGTGAACCCAAGTAGTTCACTCTCGAGATTTGATTAGTATTAAATCAACTCAGTGGGATCCTAAAAAATCCGGTTATCAAGGTTCGATTGGATCTGGTACAAGATCGAGTAATAAGTAAAGGAATTAGAAAAAGTAGATTTCCGCAGAGGGGATTGAACCCTCGGCCCTTTGCTTTCTGGTAAGCAATTGCCTCTAGTCAAAGTTAGAGAGATAAGGAACCAAACTTTGAGAGATAAGGAACCAAATTTAGAGAGATAAGGAACCAACCACTGAGCTATCTGTAGAAGGAAAGAGAAAGAAGGAAAGATAAGGGAGAGGAGGAAAGGTTGAGAAAGAGCTGAAAGAGTTAGCCTAGATCTTAGAGTAGAGTTCTTAGAGTTAGAGTAGATCCACGACGATCCGACCCATCCGTGGCCTGTACTAATGACGATTATTTTTGGTGTCAACTCTTTTTAAAGACTTCTTGTTATTTATTTTGCAGAAAGCGCTTAGAACTGGACTAGTGTAGGTATCTCGGGTAAGCCATAATGAGAAGTTGGATCAAAATCTTCTAAACATTTCAAAACTCTAAATTCATGTTCAGCTTTTTTCCCCCCACATCATTCTATCTTCCGAATAGAAATGAAAATCTTTTCCCTCTTGAATTTCACCATCACGTTGAGTGAGGATTTCAAAATGAAATATAGTAATGATAATAAAGGAAATATGAAATTTTAAATATTTTGAAACCCTCACAAATCCCAATCGCAAAGGAGAAAAGCATCGGTGTTTGTGGTGGTGTGTTTTCGTGTTTTCGTTTGTTTCTTTTCTCTGTCCGCATGTGTTTCCCCTTTTCGTTTTCCCCCTTATTTCCCCTGAAATTCAATTTTGTTTTCTGTTCAGTTTTTTTAAAAATTCTTACGGCTACTGTAAAGGTTCAGACTTTATCTAACTATAGTATATTGGAATTTGAAGTGTTCAGACAGGATATTCAGTCTTAATAAGTTTGTTTTTTTCTTAGTTAAAGTGTCTTCTAAAAGGTGACCTTCTGGGGAAAGCTAGATGGGATTACGGTAGCTTTCCAACTACCGGGATTACCGTAGCTTTCCAACTACCGGGATTACGGTAGCTTTCCAACTACCGGGATTACCGTAGCTTTCCAAGCTGCCGGGATTACCGTAGCTTTCCAAGCTACCGGGATTACCGTAGCTTTCCAAGCTGCCGGGATTACGGTAGCTTTCCAACTGAGCACAGGATTACGATAGCTTTCCCTAAAGTGCATCTTTTAGAAAAGAGAGCATAGTTTAGTTAAAAGCTGGCTTAAAAGTTACAGTAACCTTTCCAGCAGATCACCTTTTAAATAAATCTTTAACCAAGAAGCAAACAGTCTTTAGTTTCAAAAGAGCTTATCTTGTTGCCTGAATACATTTCCAGCATACTGTAGCGAGCGAAAAGTCTGAAACTTGCAGTCTAACCAAAACGATGGCGCTTCAGAACACTCTATGTTTTAAGCTAAAAAGAAAAAAAAATTCCTCAAACATTTTATAAGTTCAGTGTTTTCAACCATCCATAGTGAGACTGAGACTGAGACTGATGGTCTTCTGGAAACCCCTGTGTGGGGACTGCATCCCACAGTGCTCCCCCCAGTACTCTCCACAGAAATGTCTCCGGCCCTCTCTTCTCTTCTCTTCTCTTCCACTCACCTCCTCCTCTCCCACCTCTTCTCTCACTCATGTATGTAAATATAAAGCTCTGAAATATCCGGATATTGGAAAAGAGAATGATCCAATAGAGAAGCCCTTTGTACCGTATTCTTTTGGTGATGGTGGATAGCTAGCCACAAGGACAAGCTAGACACAAGGACAAGCTAGCCACAAGGGTTAGCTAGCCACAAAGAAAAGCTAGCTACAAGGAAAAGCTAGCCATAAGGAAAAGCTAGCTACAGTATCCAGGCTTAAATATGTGACATATTTCAGCCTGAATACTGTAGATTATGGTATCTAGGTTTTTGATACTAGAACCGGTATCTATACTCTATAGTGTCGGTATTCAGATTCTGAGTACGGTAGCATCAATTACGGTATTCAGGCTCTAGATACCTAGAATCGAATACCGTAACTCTTATTAGGTATAGTTCGATTTAAGGTTTTTGGGTATCATCGCGTGATTCCCAAATTCCAGTCGCAAGTACTCAACGGTACTCAACGTTGACGCCTTAAGCGCAGCCATCAACAAAAGCGCAGCCATCAACACTTGCTGACTATCACCAAAAGAGTACGGTCACCGATCCCATGCAAAACATTTTGTAAAAAATCTTGCTCTCTAAACAGAAGTGCCTCGTCCTCAAGAAAAAAAAATAGCGTGTGCTGAGAACTATTTCCGAAGAGTTACTCATTCCTTTTCATTGATGTGTTTTTCCTTTTTTTTTTTTTTTATTTTGCTGACCTCTTTTTTCTCTCTGATGAACAAGAATCCCCAGATTTCGCTGCTATCCCAAAAAACCTACCTATATTGCGCTATTTTCTACCGTAAACTGTACTTTTAGCTCTTTTAAGCAGTGTGAGGGACAAGCAAAAAAAAACCTCTCAGATAACTGAATAGCTTCAAAGTGATTTCAAGATCTAGAAACTTTTGAGGGTTTTTTTTTCACTAAAGTAATACAGTAAACAGTCTTCTACCCACTGAATATCTTTGAAAGTTTTCAAATAAAATTTAAAATTAAAATTTCAATTTTGCTACCGTAGGCGAGAAGAGACGAGGCTTTTACAGTATCCTAATAATCAAGATTCCTCTTGCCTATCAAGTATACTGTATCTACTGTATCTACTGTATCTCTAATCGCACTACGATAATAAAAACAAAAAATCTCAAACTCGTTTATTACAAGTATTACAGTATTTCTTGATCTGAGAATAGCTTTGTATCCTAGCACTGCTTGAGGTGATCTAACGAGAAGAAAAGTAATCCCAATTCCTTTTCTTCTCGCAAAACTTTTGCTTTTGATGAAGCTTCCATGTACAAGACACTCCTCTTTCCATAAAACGACACAAAAATTTACAATTCTATCTCTTTCTACCATCGATTCTATTGTGCACTATTTGTTACCGTATACAAAAAAAATCGTTTCCTGATTCCGATATTTTGATTGTCGATTGGCCTTTACACGAATATACACACATTTAATGTTGCAAACGAATTGTGATACCGATGTTTTTTTTTTCAAGAAATTTGCTTGTTGTACTTTTTGTTACTCGAAAAAAATGTATATTCTGGAGTAGTGCCTCGAGTGAAAAAACAAATCCCTTTAAAAACTCATCATCATTTTCCCACAAATTCTTATTTTTATGTCCGATTTTTTTGGTGGCCAAAACAATTTTTTGTGCGTCCATGTGAAAAAAAATGTACTTGAATCTGAAATGTATTAACTTATACTTTGGATTAAAAAGGGAAAAAACGGTACCGTAAAGCTTTTTGAAAGTCACAAAAGATTGTACTTTGTGCTCAAAATGGTTAGACGCAACTCTGCATACACTGAATCTATCATTTCCTTGGAGAAACAGTTCGGAATTGAGCGCGCCAGAAGGGGAGTGTTTACACTTTTTGTGCACAAAGTACACCTCATATAGTGGAGCCAGTACTCGAGTTTTAACGTAAAAGGCACATCTTCTAGTGCATTTGCATAGCTTGGGACCAAAGGATATGAAATCTGCTGAAACCTATAAGTTCCCCTTTAAAGCCTTACGGTATCATCAAAAAGACTCCAGCAATTCTCCCCTTCAAAAACCTCATCTCTCCCCGTGTCACTTCGTTTGTATGCTTTGACCCGTTGAAATATTTTTTTGTGCACTAGTGCGAAACAATTACAATGTCTTATTGTGCTATTACATCAATTGTCGGAAAATGTTTTCCGATGTTTGAATAAAAAATAAAGAATAAAAATATTCACGAAATCGCAAAATGACCGATTCCATGGAAACGAACATCTCAAAAGTGTGTATTTCCAAGAAAAGAAAGTCATGGGAAATGAGAAAAAATATTTGAACTCTTTTTATTAGAAAGATTTTCATCCAGACTTATTGAAACTTCAAACATTTATCACGATCCTACTTTCAATTCAAAAACAAACCAAAGAAATCACCAGGGTAAACGAGAAAATTCAAAAACACTAAAAATGAGCAATTGACAAGAACCCTGATACGATGTACCCGTAATGAAAAGAAAGAACGGAAAAGTGAAAAATTCACTCAGATATCAATAAATCGATGAGAATGCGAGAAAAGTTAGTGAAACGCCATAAAGCAGCACACAAATGAATATGATGGCTGGGTAACGAGAGGCGGCGTAGAAGAAACTACAAAAGAGGCAACTCTCAACATTTCTAATCAGATAAAACTAAACAATTGTCTCAAAATCTCCACACACAACACACACAACAAACAAAACAAATATTAACACATGTACACGTAAGTTGAGAAATTTTTCGGATTGTAAATGCAAAATCGAGCTAAATACAAGACGGAAAGCTGGATGGGTGTAAAAAGATTGGGAGTGGTTAATGTACAAAAGCAGGGTAAATCGAAATGAGAAAAACCTATCTACAACAAACGGGAAAGCGTTCATTCCATTAAATGATCGTCTTCTGAAACCATCATCGTGTCCATGTGATAGATTCCGTTGTTGTTGTTGTTGTTGTTCTGTTCAGGAATCGACGAGTAGAGAGCCCTAAGTAGATGCACATACGGACGAGCTCGATCACCCAATCCGCTCTAAACGAAATCAGTTATTTAAATAGATTTCAAAGGTATTTACTTTCAGTCCATTCGAAAGATAGGCGAAAGAGATGTCGTTTTCGCAATCGTATCGTGCATTTTGACCACCAAAGCCCGAATGTCCAATAAGCATTGAAGCACCTTTCTAAATGAAGCAAAATAATTTTTATTCTACAGGGTATCTCATAAAAAAACGTTTTGAAATCGAATTTTCTAAAAGGTTCTAGTGGCTGCAGGTGACCGCACGTTTTTTTTATGAGACACCCTGTAATTAGCCTACAAGTCCATTCAATGTACCAATTTGCTTTTACACATGTTTAGTAATCAATATTGCTACTTCACGAATAACTTTAGAATAAGCAAATTGTGTTGGCTTTTATCCGTAATCTCTATATAAAAAATAGTCTGTCTTTCTGTGCGCGCACTACGGGCGTCCCCTTTGAGCATTTAAAAAAAAACGCTGAAACACGTGTTTAATAAAATTTCATGTAGTTGTGCCTTTTAAAAAACTCTTTCAAAAAGCAAAAAGTCAAAGTAGGTGGTCACTGGCCGGGGTCAAACCCGGGTCATGTGAGGCGTCAGGCGAGCGCGCTATCCACTGCGCCATGGGTGCAACTTCCATTTTACGCTGAAATTGCATGGCGGGGTTTTCCAACACAGAGAATTCGTTCCAGGCAATCATTTTTACAGTTTCTAAAGGAGCCCGCCGTTAGGCGGGCTGTTCTGTTGGTGTATCCTGATAACTCTAAGTACCTTGTGCGGGTAAGTAGAGTGTGTGAAGCCCCATCCACGGTCAGTTATTGCATTCGTCACACAATCTTTCTTCTTGATGATTGTCGGCGTCGAGGTGAGTTCAACAATTGACTAAAATACAAATCAGTTTGGACGAGTGTCAGCGATAACCTTTGAAACAAGATGTCCTCGTGAGTAAAGCAACATTAATCGGGCCAACGATCGAGCGGTTCCAATTCCCAACGCCGCACATTGCTCGAGTCGATAAAGTTCTGGATTGTTCAAAGTGACACGCTAAAAAAGTAAATGACAAACGTATCAACTTATGACTATTTTAAACTTACAAAAATGCTCTGTAGCCAACCCGCATTATCCGCCACCCTCAGCATTAGTCCATTTGTCAAGAAATTCTTGAGGACACTGCCATAGTCAACCGTTTCTGGATCAGCTAACCATTCATCAAGCCTAAAAATTTCCAGAGATTAATTTTAACTCAAATGACAACCTGTTCCACACAGATGGCTTTCGGATTCGACTTACCTAAAAATCAAATGATGCTAGTTAAATAGGTAGGCTAAATACTTACGCGATGTGTCATTTCAATGGGAAGGCCAAAATGAAAGTCGATATCTAAATAGAGGAAACCCTAATAAGAAATTTAAAAGCCATACCGTGGGGAATAGAAATTTCTTCTTTGAAAAACTGCCCAATGCCTCGATGCTGTGGATCGACTTTTCTGATGATCAGATCTACCTAAAAATTAGAAATTAGTTAAACAAATGGAAAAAGAAACCAGCCATCCATATGTTAACGCATGATAACCAACTCGCGTTCCCGGTTTCCAAATTGGTCTCTAAAACGGGAGCTTTAATTTAAGCTAACCCTACTCGTTTTAAGCAGTCATTGATACCTGGGCTTCAAATAAACTGGCCATTGCTTCTGGGTCCATCGCTTCTTCAATAGTGATCTTGTGCTCAATCAACGGAAGACCTGCCTAAAACAAATGCCTTTATTAATATTTAATGTAAACACCTACCGTATGTTCCATAATCATCTTTACCGTTATTTCTTCTTTTCCACTCGTGGCAAACTTAGGCCAGAAAGATTCGACCTAGATAGATACGAATTTCTTCTAAAGTGATGAATGCTAAAACCTTGTCTTCGTAAGTGATGAGCCCACGGTCAACCAACATCGCTACACATATTGCACCAACGGCCTAAAACAAAGATTTAAGGCATCGCTGGAGTATTTTCCATTTTTCCCCAAACATTTTATGTAGAAGCCATACCTTTGAACTGCTGAACGCAATGCTCATTGTATCGCTTCGCCACGGTCTCCAGCTCTCATAGTCGGCGAATCCGCCCCAAACATCAACCACAAGTCGTTCCTAGAAGCAAAAAGTAATTGAAAAATTGAAAATACTTTTCCTGACCTTATAGTAAACTGTAAAAGCAGCTCCGTCTCGTTCCCATCCTTTGTGTAAGTTCTTCCTGAACAAAATGACAATTTGAAAACATAATTAAAGTTACTTGAATGCTTCAAGGACGGGTTTGAAATCGGGATGTACAAAACCTTCCACCTAAAAGAAAATCCGTTATTTCACTAGTGAACTTCAGTTAATCAAAAGCAGAATCTATTCTCTACATTTTTAAGCAGCTACATGCCTCAACTTATTTTACTCACAAATAGTAAACAATTAATAGTTACCTTAATTTGTCTCCTCAATCGTCGTTCTTTCCACATAAAAATGATGAGTGCTGAAAGATGGGTGATCACAGTTCCCATGCACACGACTTTGCCAAGCACCAACAGCAACTCGAACAGTAGCCACATCTAAATGTAAAAATTGTCTCGGTAAGAAAAATATACAAAGCTAGCATAAGGAAATTGCTTCAGTTTTTGTCAAGAATAACAATCGTTCTACTAGTTGTTGGTTGTTTATGTCACAATTTGTTAGGGTAAATGGATGAGTCATTAGAAAATAGGCTGGCAAGTAAGTGAGCTGACTCTTCAATAACTTTGGCAAATTCAAGCGATTAAAAATATCAAAAGTTTATATATTCCCAACGATTCAAATTTCCAGAAATTCAAACTCAAAATCGACTGGAAACGGTGTGCGAATGGGGCAACGCGAGAAGAGGAAGAGAAAGTAAAAAGGAGATGCGGCATGTGACTCACAGCACAAACACACTCATACACAGAGAAAAGGGAAAAGGGAGAGGGCATATCTGTCCAAATATTACGGGTTGAAAGTGAAGGAGAGCCTTTAACGACACGAAAAAAACGACCAGCAAAGGCTAAGCACGAATGAAACTCTAGATTAGAGCCGGCAATCGTTCGTCTCCTCCACAAAAAATCGATACATCTAAACTCACGAAAATAGACTATTTACAAAGAGGTGAATATTTGCGAAAGACGCGTGGAAACAGATAGAGACTCGATGAGAAAAAGGGAAAGATGTTGTTTACACCGGCGAGCACGTGGAATCATCGGTTAAACAACACAAAAGGGGAAACTTGAACAAGTTGGACGGGTTGTCTAATGGCTGAACTTGTACTGGCCTTGACAACAGATATAGTGCAAGGCTAGATCACAATTTTGCAGGGTTGCAAATTGTAAAAGTTCAAAATTTTGACGCTCTACAGCGGTTTTTCACTTGTCGACTTTGATTTTTAAACGAAAAGATGGCACTTTTCACTAGCGGGAACCAAAAGTATCAAAAATCGCAAAATCGCACCTAGCTTGTGCGATCCTAGTAGTTGATCAAAATGAAGAACTCGCCGGCGATTAGGTCGATTCTTATTTTCTAAAATATGCAAAGTTTAGCCAAAATGTAAAATATGACATTAAGAACAAGAAAAATGGGATTTTAGCGTTACAAAGTTAAAATTTTGAAAATACACGAGTTGCGGGGGTGGGACAAATGCGACCCTTTTTTTGCGCACCTTTTTTTTTTTGCTGGAAAAGGCCTTAGGCAAGGCCGTAGAGCTTCGAAAATATTTCGAAAATTTTTCCATATAAGGGAATCGTATGCGTAGATTCCGAATTTCGACAAATCGGACCTCGCTGACACGTCCAATTTGGGTTAAAAGGCAAAAACTGCGGAAAAGTGTTAAGTTACGTAGTTTTTGCCTTTTAACTCAAATTTGACGTGTCAGCGAGGTCCGATTTGTCGAAATTCAGAATCTACGCATACGATTCCCTTATATGGAAAAATTTTCGAAGCTCTACGGCCTTTCCTAAGGCCTTTTCCAGCAAAAAAAAAGGTGCGCAAATGTCCAGGTGCGCAAAAAAAGGTCGCATTTGTCCCACCCCCCCGAGTTGCACAAAAAAAAGCAATTTGAGTCTTTAAATATCCGGCTTCTTTGCTTAAAAAAATTCAGTAGGACAATAGATTTCTTTAGCTGAATATCTTAGGTTCGTTACAATAAATTTGTTCAAGGAGAGAAAAATTTCGCGGAAGTCTTTTGAGTGCTAGCTCGAACTTTAACAATCCCAGCCTATTTAGAAAGTTCTTGAGCTTACTAATCTGTGTGTTGTTAGCTAGCCATCTAGTTACACCAACTTGCCTATTTAACAATCGGTCTCTCTTTACTCTCCATCCAAAATTATTTCGAGTTTTTACTTATCCTTTTTTCCTCGTACATCTTTTAACCAACTAATTGTGGGTTTTTAGATAACTTCAAAAGACAACGAAATCGTGGTGCGAATGGGCACCGATAAAGGTGAGCTTATTAAATCTTTTCGCTAAAGTTGTTTCTTTTTAGAAAGATCCATCGAAGTGGAGCGAGATTGGGACGGAACAAAAAAACCCTACTTGTTCAAGGAGCTCGATAGCCTCAAGTTGGCGTACTTCGTCGAGCGAGAGGTTTTTGAAAAACAAGAAGCCGTGGTTTGTTGCTTAATTTTTGAAGAGTAAAGTTGGAAATTCGGGTTTAATACTTGAGTTGTTAGATTATATTTGCTAGCTGACTGCTTGATAAATAGCCATGGTGCTTCTTATATTTTCAATTTTGGGATGCCGACAAGCAACTTGAGGTGAATCGCGTCAACGATAGAGCCGCGAAATCGACATTCGGGATCCCGGTGATGTCGAAGCTCATGCACAAGGAGGAAATCAACGCTTATCTCAATCAAATGGGTTGATTCCTTTTCCCGATAGACTATAACATTTAAATAAGTAATCACAATTTTATTATCTGCTTTAGTTGAGCCGCTGATCGAGGAAGCCATCCATGCCAAGACGAATAGGAATAAGCGAACCGCCAAGGCGTTGGGTACACGATGTGTCGACATTGTTCTTGCGCTTGGACAAACTCAACGCGCAATTCGGATCAACAAAAAGCTCAACTTCTATCATGACATGCTCGATGTTTGGACTAAAGCAGGTAATTCAAGTATTGCTATTGTTATTATGTGCTTTGCTTTTAGAGACAAAGGGGGGATTCGGAGATGAGGCCGTTGTCGATTGGGCAAGCGTTGGTAAACGGCCGGCAACGCTGTGCTTAGCAAATGTTGCATTTGGCGATTACCTTGGACCCAGAGCTCTTCAAAAACATCTTTCTTACTACGCCGAGATGATCAACGTTCAGTAAGTGTTGATTTATTCATTAGCCTCCTTTAATTTGTTTGTTTGTTGCTAAGTTCAAACTTTAGGGATGCGTTCATCATTGCTACAAGAAGACTTGGCTGGGAACATCCATTAACGTTGAATTTGTTCAATCGCTGGAAGACCGATGGTAAATTTATTTAGCTTGACTTTCATAATTAATTTTAGCTGCTCCCCCCAAAAACGACACGAAGCCAACCCAAATTGTGAACAAGGATTCTGTGGCGCCCAATGATACTGGCAATGCACAACACGAACCGACTTCAAAAGAAGGTAGCTGTTTTTGGCTATCAAAAAATTGCTGGCCCGTATTTTTTGCAATCTTTTTGTCTGTTGATATTTAATTAACTAGCTTACAAGAGAGTTTTAGTAATAATTTGTATGTTAATTTTTAGCACCACCGCTTGAAGAAGTCAGCTCTCAGAAAATGACGCCAGATGTTAAGCCGCCTACGCTTTATGCCGTTTGTGATTCGCAACAGCCAGCATATCATGGGCGTACGTTTTTAATGTTAAAATATTTCATCTTGCTCGATGAGTTGCATATAAGCTAGTGTTATTTAACATATTGTTTTAATCTTTGAAAAGCTGAATTTTTTAGCGCTCATAGACACTTTCAAGGCAAGTCACCCTATCCAAAATGGTTCTGACGATCGATGCTCTCCTCTGTCGATTTTCTCCTCTGATCGAAGTTTTCAAGTCACTTTTTAAGGAGACATTTTCATTTCAGTGATCCCAGTTCCACACCCAGACATCTTTGCAGGGCCCCCACCACCTCTACAATCAAATGATGTCCGTTTGGCCTATGTGAAACCTCGTAAGCATAAATATTCATTTATAGTACATTTTAATTTTTAGAGGTACCATGCACTGTTGTCCCGAATATACAATCGAAAAAACCACTTAAGTATTTTGAGGAGGGACCATTCAATTTGGATTCAAGTAAATCTTAAATCTTTCATTATCTTCATATTTTGCAACTTTAGCTCCGATTCAAAGTTTGACGCATAGATACGGTGAAAAGAGGGAGTTTAGTGTAAGGAATTTCATTAGAAGCGGCTTTGGCATCACAAAATTTGATCAACATCACGAGCCTAGCCGAGATGATCGTAAAGGAAATTATGTTGGGGCGAATGATCACAGAGCTTATCAATCAGACAATCACGGCAGCAGCTTTCGAAAGTCAAAATCTCTCGGCAGTGACGGAACTCATTTGAGGAGCGAAGGGGGTGGTTTTTCGGGCAGGCCAAAGGAGAACTATGGACAATAAGACTTCGTTTGCATGTTGATTACTTAACTATTTGTTGTTTTTCATTTTTTAAATAAATTGTTCACGTATAAAGTTTGAGTGAAGAACATTTGCTTGCAATTAGATTAATTTGCGGGAGTGGAAAGATCTGTCGCGGTGAAGTGTTATGGCGCGCTTTTCTTACCGTAGTCGTTAATTGCACGCGCAAGGAAATTATGGCAGACAACCAGATTGACCACGGCAATTGCACTGGAACTACATAACAGATTTATCTGCTCTCGAAAAAAGCTAAATCTTCATTGTGCTCAATCTTGGCCAGACAACCGGCCGTCTTATTATATGGAGCTTAACGCATGGCCGCACCAGAAGCAGTAGTAGATGACCTCAATGAGGGACCGAGTAAGTTTGATTGGATTTGACTTGGCTTTAAAGTTGTTAGCAACAGTGAATTTGTTTTCGAATGTTTGTTCTTAAATTTGAATTCTTCGTAGTCGGCAGTCTATGTTTCGGCTAAGAAATCAAATCCTCAAAGGTTTATTGGTCGGAAACCGTCTGGCCTAGACTATGAACCAAATTAATCCCTAAAAAAACGATTTTATTGCAATCCATAATAAGGTATCTTCAGGTAATCGTCCCACTTCATTGCCCACCTCGCAAGCACAGTTGATTCAAGAGTTGGCCGGTGTTTATCTACCAAATGATCCAAGTAAGCCTCTAAATAAGCCTTGAAGTTTGAGGATATTTGTAGAACGTTAAGTACTTTTCATTAAATGGAAATTGAATGATGTGGATGCTTTTGACTCTTTTTGAACTTTGCATCCATCACCAACTTTCAGACACCACCGCCCGCATTCAAGAGCCCCGGCAGAATGTGCAAAATGTTAGTGAAAGATTGAATTGAAGAATTGAACAATCTTTTAGCTACAAAACAACAATCACTTTGGTGTGATGAGGGATCGTTTATTTCATGCATTGCTGGTGAAGTTGGCGCTGGGTTATCACCGAAGGGTCAGCCGTTTCTGGAGGAGAACGATCGAGTGTGTCGCGCTATTGGCGGTGGGTTGATTTTGTCAGGAAAGCTTCAAAATATTATCGCTTATGTGCTACAGTATTATTTACAGCAGTTAGGCCGGATAATTTGAAATAAGCCTGACTATAAGCTAAAGTTTTAACTTGACAAAACTTGAACATCAGCTTTCTTTTTATCAAACGATAGGTTTATAGTTTTAAAAAATGCCTAGAGATAATATGAATTTGAACCGAATTTCATATCCAAATTTCTAGGCGGTTTTCTCATTAGCAGTTCTCCTTTTCGTGCATTTGATGTTCAGCCGCTCGTCGACAACGTGTCTTGATCATATAAAAGTGAGTGAAGTTTATGGCATAGTTAAAGTTATCAAGTTTACATCAATTTTTCCAAAGCACTCCCAGCACGCTTGTAAACGGAAAAAACGGAAAATTGAATATCTTTTGATTTTCAAAGCAAAACCCAACGAATGGGGCAGCTACACATTGCGACGAAAAAACCGGAAAAACCTAGCTGCCCCATTTGTTGACTTTTTCTTTGAAAATTAAAAGATATGCTATTTTCCGCTTTTTTTTCCGCCTGCAAGTTTGATTCTCAGGAAATCTGGCCAAAAGACGGAGTACTCCGGGTTGAGATCATTCACAATCTCGACGTTTTGGAGGCGAAAGAGAAATGGATCAATCAGATGCGTGAGTTTTGAAATGATAGAGAGAAAATTCATACGATAAACACTAATATAATTAATTTGAGTATTTGTAAGTACTTTATAAGGACAATGTATTTTCTTAAAATTCGAAAGCTTTAGAAGAATGGCATAAATCGCAAATGGTCGAGCCGAGGAGTTGCGCCTTCAATCCGGCTCACGTTTTTCTTTATGGACCCGATGTGATACCGGCAGAGGTTGGGGAATTTTTGAAATTTTGAGATTTTTAAGGCATTAAGGCATCAAGACAACAATATGATGAGTTCAAATTGAAAATTCAGATCCGAGCACTTGGCTATCATGGTCGATCGTCACAAACCGTTGTTCATGAGCCGCCGCCGAATGAAACTGAAGTGGGTTGAAAATTAAAATAACTACTGCAAAGCCTAAAGAATTTCAATGATAAGAGTTGGTACTTCTTTAGTATCCGGGCGGGCAATTTTGTCAACCTTGTGTCACTGATTTAGTTATCGTAAACTTGTCCAATTTTTGCTTTAAAGCATTATTAGATAGCTTAGGCTTTGCAGATTCTAATAGTTTTAGAGTTTTTCAAAATCTATCACAAAAAATGTTTAAATTATGGGTTGAAGTTTGGCAAAATCGTTCTTTGATTTTAACTCCAAAGCCCTTCTCTAAGATTAGATTTAAAAACAAAAGTAGACTTGATCTAACAACGAAAACTCACAAACATTTATGGTTTCATGATTAATTTTAAAATTTCAGGACTCTTTGTTGAACTATTTCCTTCGACCATACCCAGAAACGATGGAGAAAATGAGAGACGATGTAGATTTGGATGTAGAAGAAGTGAGAGATGATGAGGAACATGAATATGAAATGGGAAGCGATCAATGGTTGGCAATGCTTGAAGAGGAGTACGATAAGAAAATCGGTGAGAGTTTGGAGATGGTGCTGGCACCTTTGCAAGCATTGCAAGTTAGAATTCAAGTTTAAAATCAACTTCTGTAATGTACTTGCTAATATTTCAATTACTTTTCATAAATCAGAATTTGAAAAAAATTTCAGATGAGGAGAAGCGACCGGGTTACGTCTACGTGGCCGAATATTCTCTTCTCTATGGATTGCTACGATTGCCGCCCGACTACCGACTGAAGCACAGCATTCCACAAATGACGATACGGGTAAAGCTAAAAGGATTCTAAAGAAGGTTAAACACAAGCTAAAGCTAGACTATATTAGGTGCTACATTTGAGCTATTCCAAAGCTATTCCAAAACCGTCAAGATCAAAGCAGATACATATCTTTAAGTCTTGCTTAGTGATGTTCCTGCTATCAAAGCTACATATTGTAATCCTTGTATTCTTTCTTCAGTATACACCACGAACAGCATACAATATACTACAGTACATCCCATAAATACTGTAATAGCACCCTACCACCTCGTACAATCGCATCGTCGAGTCGCGTAGTCGCAAAAGTTTTTGAGTATTTCATTTTTTTCAAAGCTTCTGTGCTTTCAAAAAGGCGTCTTTGATATCAAAAAATAGCCCTGAATTTCAGCTATTTTTTGATACCTAAGCGCGCATTGTAGCATAAACCAGTGTCGAGAAAAACGCGTTCAAAGCTAGACTACGCAATACTCCGCACCGTCATTATGTGGGTGGGGTACTATTACAGTATTAATGGTAGATACTTTATCTGTTTACAAGTAGTTTTATTTGTAAATTTTCAGATTGACGCTGATTCAACCTGTTTCGGAACGCAAAATTGGCGAAATTTGTTGCTGTCGACGGTTGGTTACGAGGAGAGTATCATCTCAAGTCTACGGCAATTAGCGAAAAAAGAAAAGGATACAGGTTGGTGGGGAATTGGAGAAGAGAAAAATTGCTCACAACTAGTTTTTCGTTTATTAAATCATAAATGCAATAGTATTAAAAGTGTTTTCAGGTTATTTACACGATCTGCGCACTAACGAGCACTACCATTTCGTGACAATCGTCACCGGGAAACAATCCTACGTGATCGCTTTCTGCATTCTGCTCATCTTTGTGAGTTTTGAAAGAAAATATTGGAAATCAACTCATTGAGAGATCTTGGAATTTAAATTTAACTAAAACTAATAATGAAAACTTTTGAGCAAATCGAATTTGTTCAGACTTTTGCCATCTCGATGCTCCTTCGCTTCTCTCACCATCAAATTTTCCTCTTCATCGTCGAGTTGTTGCACATGTTCGAAGTGAATCAGACGATCGTTTTCCCAGCGGCTCCGCTGTTGACCGTGATCTTGGCGCTTGTCGGTGAGTGACCGATTTCTTGAACTGACTATTAGATTTCAAACACTAACAATAAGACGTAAATAGGTTTTTAGAAGAATTGAAATTTTTAACAAGCAAAGAAAGACAAAAATGTACCCCGTAAATGGTTTGAATCGATCGTAGATCGGCCCGTTCACAGCTAGAGTCTTGTGCAGCAAAATCCGGGATCAACTGTAGAGACTTGTTGAGTTGACCCCGGTCCGTTGCACAAGCAAGTCTTTAAATGTGTTTGGACCGACTTACGAACCGGTCCGTTAACGTGTTTGGCGCCATTTTGGAAACATATGGATGTAAAGGAATTGTAAAGAATATTAAGATCTAAAAATATCGTATACCCACCCTAGTACTTGGATATATGGATATCAAACATTTGCAGGAATGGAGGCAATCATGTCGGAAATGTTCTCGGATACGACCACCGCTTTCTACGTGATTCTCATCGTTTGGGTAACTGAATTTAGATTATTTCGAAATTTTTCATTTAATTCACTATTCACAAACAAAAACACATCCAATCAACGAACACAAAATTACCGAATAGATTTCATAAAAACGTAACATTCTTTTGACAAATCACTGAATTTTTGGCGACAAGTTCTTCGTTTCGTTCAGTCCGGAGAGACGAAACCTGATGGACATGTGCTTTTTGCGCGTTTCCTTGAGTAGACGGAATGGTCGTTGAAGTTGTTGGTGTCACTCGATTGATCTTACTTCAAAATATGCACAAATAATGCTAATGAAACCTTTACCTTCTGTCAATGCTTCTTGTGTCTCATCTCGACGAGTTGTTCGCCCTTCGTTGTCGGCTTAATTGCCCATGGAGAGAGATCCCATCTAAAATCTGATAGGTAATAGAAATAAAACAATTAAATTACATATTGGTTGACCAATGGGGTGTTCATCGAGCGGAGATAGCGAATCGAGCACCCCTCAAGACTTCGTGCCATGAGGCAGTTGTCGTAGCGAGCCGGATGCATCACAAGAACAACGGCAAGCTTCTTATTGTTGCGCAAATTATTTGTATCTTGTTGTGCAAATTCACCTCGGGCAAAAACTAAAGAAATACATTTATAAAAGAAGAATAGACAAACATTTGCTGATCCTGTATCGGGATTCCTTGCAACCTTGAAGTGGGCATTCAGTCGCTCAACAAAACACACCAGCTCTCTAAACACAACAATTATTATTCCGTTTAAGTAACTACAGGGTGCTTATTATTAAAGACAATAACAGAAAAAACAAAAACAAACCTGAACGAAGAAGTCTTTGGTGAGGATCCTCAGCTTCTTTCCGTCGCAGCTTCCCTCCTCATCTGTTCGCTGTTCGCTTTGGCGCCATTCTTCTGGCTGAAAAATAAAAATTAGCGTCAGAAATAAGAAAACAAAAAGAGAAACGAAGAAGAAGACAAAGTGTCATACATTCAGCAAAAAGCAAAAATGAAATGAAACATTTTCCATGAAAACACAACAAAAACGAAACATTTTCCTCTTCATGAGGGTTACGGTAGCTGTTAACTGAATACCTTTATTCATTTTAGATGGCCGATCAATTTGACGCGATTTGTTGTCATACGCCGATCAGTAAACGATACTGGTTGAGGTAAATTGATGAGGAGAATATGGGAAAATGAACAAATTTAGATTCTTCTACTTGTACCAATTTTTCTTCTACGCTTATCAATATCGTTTCGGTGGTCAACACGGGACACTGGCCCTCATCACGACAACCGCTTTCACTTTGGTATTAACTTTTATCAACAATTTTCTTCACCACCTGAACAACAATTCAAGTTTTAAGCCTGAATATCTTTGGTTGAAGTAAAGATTGCTTTTGATCCGGTGACTGTAGTGAGGCTAAAGGCTCGAGACTTCATAGTATCATTGCAATTAGTTAACTATACTAACTTTAGCTATAGCTAGCTTTAGCTATTATACATTTACAGTATCTTTAGCTATGCACACTATAACCATGAAAACTACCCCTTTCCAGCATTCAATGATCTACTTCTTACATCACTACGAGATCCCGTTGATACTCTATCAGGACAGCCTGCAGAGGATACTTTCCGATGTACAGCATAATCCGGTTTGTTGTATACTTCAAAGTGATAAGCCTGTATGAGTAAACGTTTGTAAATCTCGATTTTCAGCGACCAGAGACAGCGACGGGAAACGGTGACCCAACCGCTCCCACAGCAACACCTCATCGACTGATCCTTCACCTCCATCAATTAAGGCTCATTAGGAGAAATGTGAGTTGCCGAAAGTTACTGGTTATCTTGTTACGTTTTAATAAACTAGTAACATAAGCTAATCTAATCTAATCTAATCAAGACTCGTAATCAATAAACCGAGATAGAAGGCTCTTTGGACTGAAAAACTTGTACCTTAGAGACTAAACTTGTACCAGGAGAAATGTGAGTTGCCGAAAGTTACTGGTTATTTTGTTACGTTTTAATAAACTAGTAACATAAGCTAATCTAATTTAAACAAGACTCGTAATCAACAAACCGAGATAGAAGGCTCTTTGGACTGAAAAACTTGTACCTTAGCAATCCGAAATTCTTCTAGATCTTGGGTTTAAGTAATTCTTCAAGTATATTGCGTTTGGATTTGAATTTTTGATCCTAATGGTCCTAATTATTTGATACTGTTTTTTTAAGAACACAAGAACACAAAATGCTCACGAAATCAGTCAAGCATGCTTAACCAGTCAAACTTGACTTCACACTGGAGAATATTGTCGAGAGAAGTAGAGCTGTTTGAGTCGATTTAAAGATCCAAAACTAAGATTTCCAAGAAAATTAAGTTAAGCGCTAACTACAAGCCTAAAGATTCACTAAAAGGCGACCATAGCACTTTGAATTTTGCACAAAGTGGAAAAATGTCAAGTCTAGACAAGTCTGGATAAGTCTGAACAAGTCTGGACAAATCTGGACAAGTCTGGACAAGTCGAACCGGTCAAATTGAACATTTCCCACTGGACCCTGTCTAGATATTGGCAAGAGATGGTCCAATTTTTGCACGAGTGCCATCAAGAGAAGCGGGCGATTGTATTATGTTTGAGGTGTCCTTATAGAGGGATGGGAGATGAGTGTCAATATTTACCCCTTCTCCTTTCTCATATCTATTTCCCTTTCCCCTTTTATGTACAGTTGCCAAAGAAGAAGTTCTCACATTTATATCCAAAGAAAAGGTTTTCGTTTTTTTTTACACCCAGTTGATCTTATTTCAAAAAAATTTCAATGGCGCGGGAGTGTCGCCCCGAAAATTGGCCATCATCATTCAAATTTTGCGCCTAGAATTTTGGCTTTCCGAATATTTTTGACAGAAAAGGATTCGCTTTTGAAAATCTAGTCTTATTCAGCTAAAATATCTTCAATTTTTTCTCAAGGAACTTCAAATTTTGATAGCTTTATCTACTAGCTATAGATACTGTTAAATAGCTATAGATGCTATAGATGCTATAGATGCTATAGATGCTATAGATGCTATAGATACTATAGATGCTATAGACACTGTTACTACTGTAGATACTGAGCTATAGGTACTCATTTTTTAAAGTCTTACAATTAGATATAAAATCTGATTATCTGAAACTTTCAAATTTATGCATTGAACTAAAAGACTAAAAAGAGCTCTGTGCTTTGTTTTTCGGGTTCAATTGAGCAATTTCGGGGGTTTTCCGGGGTCCTTGAGGTACTCGGCTGGGCCCTTTTCCCTTTTTTTTCCCATCTTTAGTATCTAATGAAGTTCAGCATTTAGAAAGCATAAATATTCAATGATTGTTGCAATTTTGATCAGCTTCTTTAGAGATTTATATAAGATTTTCAGAATCTGCCTGTGCAGCACGTAAATCCACCAACGCTTACAACAGGAATGGCTGCAGCCACCGAAACGAGACAAACTGAGATGGTTCAGGTGAGAAAATCGAGCACTTTTCGATTAGGGAAACAAAAATTATGCAAATTTTTCATTTTTCTTCTCTCTAATCGAAAAGAATCATTCGATTAAATAGATTTTAAATGCAGCTTTGGTATTTGTCTGTTTTTGATTGCGTTTCTTCTATTTCAATTGGATCCCAATGAGTTTTTACGAAGGATAGATATGTATCTTACAGTTTTTTCCCCGACAATCGAGCCTTCTAGAGCGCATAGCCTTCTAGAGCCTTCAAGGAAAATTCTGTCAAAAGCAAAAGTCAAAAGCACCAAGTTCGGAACATGATTTCATATGCAAATTTGTGCAAAGCGCTTCTAGTAAACAAATGTAATAAATTGCCCGCCGAATCGAAAAATACCGAAAATCGAGCATTATAGGATTAGGATAAGTTTAATTGAGATATTACAAGCGTTCTCAATAGTTATCATGTTTTAGAAAACGGTTTTAATCTTTCCAGATTCTACCAACAAGTGATGGTGGAGCGATGGGCATCGCTGAACCGATGCCGATGGAAACCGAGGCACCAATCGCTCAACAAGACGAATTATTTGAGGAAACGGCTCAAAATGAGTCATCGCATGTAAGCCTAGTAAAGAATGAAAATTTTAAACTGCATATTGACATATGAACTAGACATGGACTCTACAAACTACAAGCCCAAACTATAAACCATTGTAGAAACGCGTAGAATGGATATTTTTGAACAATTTTTTTACCAAAAAATTGCGCCAACTTTAGGCTTTCGAATGACACCAAAATCAAGCTAAATTATATTCTCTACACTGAGATATAACGTTTTTTCAGGTTTGTAGTTTTGTCCTGTGGGACGAGACTACAAACAGCTATAAATGGCTCGTTCTCGGAGTACAAATGGTGAATTTTCTTCATTTTAGTGTTATTCGAAAGCCTAAAGTTGGCTCAATTTTCTGGTAAAAAAGTTTTTGCAAATATCTATTCTACGTAATACTACAAGGGTTTATAGTCGAAACTCTTCAATTTTAGGCATTCTCTGATGACTCATTTGAGTTGATTCGAGATGTCTCCAATCGGGTAGCTGACGAGTTGGTGAGTTTTAAAAGTTTATCGGAATCCCCTCAGACAATGCGTTTTTCTAAAACGTGTCAACTTTCGAAGAGCACAGTAACGCAGCCTCGATTTTTCGAATCTTTCGGATCACCTTTGTGCTCTCACTCAGAAACAGACTAAAAGTAGCTAGATTAAATAAAAGTAGGGGCAAATTTACTGTGGATTTTAGAAATGGAAACGTTTTAGAGAACGGTTTATTCTACAGAAAATCTAAAGAAAAGAAAAGAATATTCTAAAGAAACACTAGAATCATTACTAGGGTGCTTTTCTCATTTAAAAACATAAAATACAATGAAAAAATACCGTAATCTAGAGTCAATTTTCACTCAATCAGCTAAATTTTTATCTAAGAATCACAAAACTCAGTTAATAATAGAAAAATTTGGGTAATTGAATGAAATTTGATTGTAGATGACGGTAGTTTATGTCTTTTAGTAGTTTAGTTTATGAATAAACATCGAGTCTTTTAGAATAAGCATCGAGCATTGCTTTATAAATTATAAATTTTGCAAAATTCCAGGTCAACAGCGTTTTTCGCGACGTGGTTGAGGGCTCATAATGTGGAAAAGTTCTTCGTTCTTCTTCGTTCTTCTTCTTCGTTCTTCTTCTTCGTTCTTCTTCTTCGTTCTTCGTAATTCTTCGTTAATGTGATCATTTGCTAAAAGTTAAACTAGTTTATTCTATAGCTTTGTAATAGGTTGATGCATAAGTCTTTTCGTTTTTTTCGTACTTCTGTTAAAAAGTAACAAATTCACCAATTAATCTATAGTTTGCTCTATAAAAAAAGTGTTTTTTTGTTCAATTAGCATCTTTTTAAATGAATTTCGGTTCACTTTCAAGCAAATTCGAGAGTGAAAAACGCCTTTTTCGTAAAAATCTATAAAAAACTCTACGGAAAAATTGGCTGAATGAATATCTCTGAAATTTTGGCGAAATATCAAACGTTTTTTTTCTCTATCTTTTATCTATTGACACGAAGATAGGTTTTCTTTAGCTAAGGTGTCTAAACCGCATCATCGAGTTAGCCCTTTTTGACTACCCGACTTCATACTCTCAAGAAAATCCAGGCATTAAATATTTTTAAACCTGTTTTAATGTTATTTTGCAGAAAAATAATTGGTTTTTCTAATGAAATCAACCGTAGTTTAATTGGTGCATTTGTTGGCTTGAAACGGCAGACGAAAAGGAACAAAAACACTTATGCATCAACCTAATATATCTACCGTAATCCCCTACCGCATCCATTGTATATTTCTAGTGTTCTTTCGGTGCTTGTTACCCTCTCAAATCACAAGTCATTTAGTCAAAAAAAAAACGTTCATATTTTATTTTGTGCCAAAATAAGTCTAGACATGAATAGTTGGGAGCTGATCAAAACAGCGCCAGCGAAAATAATGCGCTCGCGGTTAAGTTTATTTGTTTTTCTTATTTTCATTGGACGTAGAAAAAAAAATGAGCTATCTGTTGAATTTTTTGGCCGTTTTTTGGCCATCTAGAACAAATCTGGGATGAGAAAATGCCAAAAAAAGAACGAAAAAGGGCTCAAAAAGATGTTAACTGAGCTTTTCTCGGCACCAATTCTGTTTTAAGTGATGCCAAAGTATGCAAAATGGAGATAATTCTTATTCTGGATCCAGTAATAATAAGAAACACATAGAAACTTAACCGTGGAGAGGCTATTTTTGCTGTAGAGCTGTTTGTAAACTGTTTTGATCTGCTTTGATCAGCTTTGATCTGCTTTGATCAGCTTTGATCTGCTTTGATCAGCTCCCGAATAGTTCTTCAAATTTCCCCTATCTTATGGGTATTGCAAATATTTTGCCCGTTTTTTTTCAAATAATTCTGATATTTATGTCAATTGTGAAAATTGTGATTCCCTTTGTTGGCTTTTGATTATAAATTATTATTATAATACTGAAAAACTAAAAATTCGTATAAAAATTACTGAATTCTCATATCGATTTTTCAAATCAACATATTTTAGTTTTAAAAACCAACTGCGAAAGTGGCCTTTTAAATTAACTTACAAATATGGTGGCATACCTTCTCTCAGGAGTCATTCGCGACTCCTTCGAAGTACTTTCTGTACTTTCTGTGCGCAAATGGAAACGCATCCTTTCTAGCGTACTCGATTCTTCGTTTTCCTGTGTCACCAAGTTGTTTCTGCTTGGAAAATAAGTGAATTCAGTGATTTCACAGGAAAAAAATCCCACTAGGAACCTTAATTTGCTGAATCCAAAGACAAAGCCAAGCCTTGCTTCTTTCCTCTAACAAATTCATCGAATTCCAATGCAATTTTCCCTCACCCAAACCCCACTGTGTCCTTTTGGGGATTCTTCGTTTTTCCGAGCTTTTTTCAAAGAGCCGTTTTTTCGAGGGATCCTCATTTTGTGGGCGTTTTTTTCTCAGAGAAAAAAGAGGCATGACCCCATCGTTTTTTGTGTGGGAGAAGGCCTAAAAAGCCGAAAAAGGCTCAAAATCTTCGTCCCTTCCTCGAGCAATCCGGAAAACGGTTTCCGGAAAGAATTGAAAGGCTTAGGGATTTGGAATTTTGCGATTTTCTTAGACTTTAGCAATGCTTTGAAGATATTGTAAATTTTCAGTCATTTGTCTTATTAAAGTATACTGGCATGCGGTATCTTTAGCTTCAGTCAAAGAATTACTTTTCGTTTCAGGGTTTTCCGAGTCAGGCCAGGACCATGCCTGGCTTTACTGCAGTTCTGGCTCTGAAAAAGTCCCTAGGTTTTGCCAGAAGGCCAATCCAGAACTTCTGATCGGGCTATGGCTTTCCTCTAGCCCTAGAGCTTAGTTGAAACATCCCTTAAGGGTACTGTAGTGAGGCTGAAGTTTTACAAATCCTTAAAAGTTACCTTTTATAGCATGTAGTCAGTCTATGGCACTAAAATCCCTTCTGACTAGATATTTCCTCATGACCGCTCCAATACTAAAAGCTTTGCTAATGAAGTGTAGTAATTTCCACAAATGAACTAGTAAACACTTAGTGGACTTATGTTTTGTAAACGTAAATCTCGTTTTTTAATCTTTTCTCTCGTTCTTTCGACTTTTTCCTGACGGGGTGCCCGGTGACAGATGAACGGAACTCCCGAGGGGATTCACGGGGAAAAAGCGGATGGAGAGGCGTTTTTGCAAGAGGTTTTTCCTCGGCTGAATACCTTAACTCAAATGAAAACGAGTAAAGGCTTTAATTTCGAATTCCGGATTGGAAATAATGTTATCTTTTTGCAGAACTAAATTTTATTCGACTTTGAGCTTCGAACTAAAATTTGTCTTGCATCTCATTTCATGTCTTGCAAAAGAAGAAACCAGTTTAGAAAAATACTTGGATAGATGTTTAAAATCAAGCTAAAAAGGGGGTGGGACAAATGCGACCTTTTTTTGCGCACCTGGACATTTGCGCACCTTTTTTTGCTGGAAAAGGCCTTAGGCAAGGCCGTAGAGCTTCAAAAATAGATTCCGAATTTCGACAAATCAGACCTCGCTGACACGTCAAATTTGGGCTAAAAGGCAAAAACTGCGGAAAAGCGTTAAGTTGCGTAGTTTTTGCCTTTTAACCCAAATTTGACGTGTCAGCGAGGTCTGATTTGTCGAAATTCGGAATCTACGCATACGATTCCCTTCTATGAAAACATTTTTGAAGCTCTACGACCTTTCCTAAGGCCTTTTCCAGCAAAAAAAGGTGCGCAGATGTCCAGGTGCGCAAAAAAAAGGTCGCATTTGTCCCACCCCCGCTAAAAACATTTTCCAAAATCTGAATTTCAAAAACTTTCTGCGAATTTATTAAAATGGGGTAGGCTAATTTCCGTCATTTTATTTGCGGACAGGGTCATTTGCGCAACTCGCCATAACTTTGATCCACTTAGAAGAATCTTTATAATTTTGGTTTCATTTTGTATATCTAAGTGTAACAAAATGACACCAAAATCATAAAGATTGGCCGACTTAGAAGAAAGTCATGGCGAGTTGTGCATAGACCTGGTTGCGCAAATGACCCAGTTGCACAAAAAATTTGGCGCAAAGTAAGGCTACTACTATCCCATTAAAATTTTAATTACAAATTGATCTTCGAATTAGCCTTAAAATATTTGATTATTCAATTGAATATTTCATTCTTGATTAAGTCTATATTAGATTTTGCTATAACTTTTGCCTGACTCCAAAGTTTTTCTCCTCGTTTATCCATTTTGTTTACTTTTTATCTTTACCCATAGAATTTCTTTTAGATCTCAATCTCTCTTTGGTTTGGAAGAATTCGTGGATGTCGGAAGGATTGCCTACTCCCGACTATTCCCTGAGCATTGAACAACGCGAATCTGTCTATGAGCCAGCCGAGGACACTTTTCTTCTGCTAGACGCTCTCGAAAAGGATATCAAGGTTTGGATTTGTGTCTATTCTCTTAACTATATCGAGACTGGTGTCCTTCAGCAATTGTTAGACTATTAGAACCAAAGAAAGATCTTAAACTTTAAACGTAATTGTGTTAAAGCGTGGAATTAAATATAATTTTATGACCATGTCCAACGGATAGATTTCCTGTTCCAGTGATTGTTTAATTCCTTCATCAGGTATGGTTTGTAGTAAAACTTCCCACACCCCTTAAAATTTCTATAACGATACTGCTTAAACTAGTTTAAATCAGAGTTTTGTTCATTTTGTTTTATAGATAGTGCTAGGAGAAATGAAGAGTCTATTTATAATTATAATTTTGTATTTTAGAAATTACGGGCACTCGACGCGCGAATCGTGCTTGAAATCGGGTGTGGCTCGGGAGTTGTTTCGACTTTTGTTGCGCAGGCATGATTTAATGTTTATGATTTAATGAAACATACCGTTTAAATCGTTTAAATTTATGAAACTTCATAGCTTGAGGTATTAATATAAAAATAGTATAAGAATGAGTATAAAAATTTCGTTTAGGACCACTAAGCCAAATTTAACGTTTTTCATTTAGAACCTCTAAATTCGCGAAACAAAATCTACCTAACTTTTTACATTTAGAACCTTGGCAAACATGCGTTCCACTTGGGTACTGACATCAACTTCGTGGCGGCACGCTGTACTCGGCAAACGGCTCGGATGAATCGAATTGAGTTGGACACAATTCAAACGGATCTCATTCGCGGACTGAGACTCGATAGAGTGGTTGGTTTTCAAGTGAAATAACAAATTGTTTAAGAAAATAAGCTAATTGTTTGAGAACGATAAAATCAATGTCAATAGTTTAAAGATTTTGCTATACTGTTAAACTTATTTCAGTGCAAATACATTTTTTAAATTGTGAGAAAGATCATTTCCGTTTTTAGGTAGACATTCTACTCTTCAATCCACCATATGTTCCAACGGAAAGTGAAGCAACAACGGATATTGTAAGCTTTTTGAGAAATCTTCTGCAATGAACCTCACTAAATTAAATTTAAGTGTAATATTAAATAGTCAACGTAGTAAAGATGAACATAATGTTATTTCAAGTCAATCAGTTTGTTTTAGGAAAGAACATGGGCTGGCGGACCAACGGGCAGAGGGACACTTGATCGGTTCTTGCCAGAAGGTTGGTATACTTGTGAAATAAACCTTTTAAAATAGGCATTTCAGGGAAACATTAAAATTTTACTTTAGTTCCTCGTCTCCTCTCCTCTCAAGGTGTTTTCTACTTGGTGGCCTTGCATCAGAATGACATTCCTTCTCTGCTCAATCACAACGAAAAAGAGCTAAAAGGTCTGTGTTTTAGTTTGAAAGTTGTTTGTGATTATCGCTAGGATCTTCTGTTTTTCAACAAAGCACAGTTTTGCACATATTTGTTAAAAGATTAAAAGAAGAACTACATTATTTTGCTGAGTAACTTAAAATGGGTATAGCTTTTAAATCCAGTTCATCTGACGAATCGCTACTGCTTTAAAGTCTCATTTTTACATCACAAAAATTTCTATTAGGTGAAATCGTGATGCAAAGACGTTGTGGCATCGAGCATCTCTACATTTTAAAGTTTTCTCGAATATGAGCTTCTTTTCACATTATAAGTTTATCGGGTAAAGAGTCAATTTTTATGTATAACTTTTCTGCTAAATATTTCTTGTATATTTTCGTCCTCAGGTCCATTTTTAGGTTTTGTTGTCATTTTCTCTTGTTGCTTGTTGCTCTTTTGCTTGTTATGTTTTGCTTTTCAGCTAATAAAGTTTATTTCAGATTTCAAAACATCTGATTTTTACAGATTGAAGAGGGGAATTTTTTTGGGAGGAGGAAGGTGTCTGAAATTGATTGGCTGATAAGCGGCTGAAAGGTTTCCCGAAAAAAATAATCCATGCTAAACGTTGGTGTTAAGCTTTTCGTTCTATTATTCTCAAGCGGATTAGTGCGCACAGGGGATTCTGGTAGGGATTTTAATGCAAATTTCATTAAACTTTTACCGTATTCTAAAACGTCAATTTCTTTCAGATGACTCAGCTGTGCCACAATGGCCACCAGGTGCTTATTGTCTTTTAGCGGCTGAGGGCGGGGTGAGTTTTTAAAAAAATGGTAATATGGCTTGTGATTTATACTGCAAAATCAAGTTTCAATGCAAATTACTAAATTACTAAATTACTTCAGCATTTAGTGTTTTGAACCATTCTACACATCAACAATTCAACTCGCCGTGCCGAAAGTGATTCAACCGGGAGATGTAAAATTTTGAACTCTGGCTACCGTATTTACCTGGACTCGAATGACAGGCTAGACATGTAGAAGAGCGTTTAAAAATGTGTAGTATTGCACTAAATTATTAGGATACTACGGTAATTGTGCTTATTGGGTTGGTGAATTGAAAACTGCGGGCTATTGTCATATGTGACAGTTTGAGCACTTTCTTCAAAAGAAACCCATTTTGGTGTCAATGGAAAAGTTGTAGAGAATCAAAAATCAAGCTTATATCCAAATTTTCAGAACGATTCAAAAACTGGTTTTCAAGAAATGCCCAATTTTACGAATTTTCACCAAACTTGCATTTTAAGCGTATCTTTTTAGGAATTTGGCTATAAGCCTCATTTTTGCTTCTCTACGACTTTTCCATTGACACCAAAATGGGTTTCTTTTGAAGAAAGTGCTGAAACTGGGTCCAAACTGGACATCTCCAGTCCTCCATTTTTGTGTCTCACACTTGTCTCACACACAAACCAAAATCCTACTACGAAAGAGGAATCCGCAAATTGCCTGTAAAATGGGCAAAAGTCGTTAATAATAATGGAAATTATTTGGAATGAATTCATGGTTTTATGTTGAATAAATTTTAGTTCAATGTCCCGCAGTTTTCAATTCACCAACCCAATATTTTAGACCTATCATGATGACGACAAAAATACGACTGAACGTTTCATCAAATATGGAAAAGTTGGAGATTCGTTGTTGAAAGTGAGGAAAGCGTTTAAATTGAAAGAATTTGTTCTATTAAAATTGATGCATTACTGTACTACCGACTGGTTTTCTTAACAACTTTATGAACATGAACTTAACATTGACTGAACACTGACATAGACTGACTGTAGAAAGTTCTGTGTTTAGATTCACGACTTCGATCAAGTTTACCGTTTGAAGATTGTCGCGTGTTGTAAAAATCAATAAAATTTATTGAAAGTGTCATTCTTTTCAAACACCGAGACACGATTCGTAAGTGGGAAGAACATACTTGATGTTCGTATACGCATTCGGCCCACCATTTCGCTCCAGTTCGTTTAAAGCCGCTAAAAGATTTCGTTTAAAAATCCAAAGAAGTTTTGGCTCTAAAGAACACTTTAAAATGCGTGGCCTCACATTTTTTAAGTATACATTTGTTTAAAAAAACCCAGACTTACGATTTTTCTGACTGAAATAAGTATTAGATTTCATTTGAAAAGCTATTTAGAAATAACGAATTCACCTATTGATTCTACGGTTTGATCCATTAGAAAAGCCTGATATTTTTCTATAAAAAGTCGTTGAAATCTTAAGAAATGTTTGGTTTCTGGACTTTTTTGGAGACACGAACTCGGGTAGTCAAAAAGAGCAACGATTCGATTACGCGATTTAGACACTTTCGTGCAAAGAAATTGATTTGGGTGTCAAGAGAAAAAGAAAGAGCGCAAAAAGTTAGGCTTATAGCCAAATTTTCAGAACAATCTGTTCAACCAATTCCTTTCTATCACTTACAAGCGGAAAACGGGGAGGTGAAGGTCCACTGGGGAGGTCCACGTTTTCCACGCAAACTAAGCCGGGCCCCTTTTTGCCAATGGCTGCGCACAGACAGACGGACGGACAGACGGACAGGCGCACAGATGGACAGACGGACAGACGCATCGGTGGACAGACGGACAGACGGACAAACGGACAGACGCACCGCACAGACAGCCCTCAATATATAGTAGATAATTGTCTTTAAACTTTTTCACTTCTTAATTTTCAGCTTCATCCACGGAATCTAAGCCGCGCCCCTTTTTGCCAATGGCTGCGCACAAACAGACGGACGGACAGACGTCTCTTCTGCTTTATATGTAGTAAATTACCGAATTTTACGCAAAAACTCGTTTTTGCGCGCGAAAATTCTTGGAAAATTGCCCACATAAAAAAGGCACAAGAAACGTTTTCCATTTGAAGCAATTGATGAATTTTTCTTTTATAAAGAGATTTATGAAAAAGTCTCCAAAGATTTATCGGCTAATTATGAAAGCTTACTCCCAATATCCCTCTCCAAATCTCGATCAATCGAGACGATTTTCCCGGCCAACGACGAGACATGGCTGACCACACCTGAGAAAGCTCACTCATTTCAAATCAAAATTCATTCATCGCTTTTAGTATTTGAGTTCAAAATGCTTTTCATTTGTATTTTCATTTGAATAAAACCTTACGCAGTGGCGGCAACAGTTGTCGATAGAAGGGCACCAGTGCCGGGCCGACGCCCTGGATTCTGGATAACTGAAATCAGCTTTGCATCGAGAATTAAGTTTAGAACGTAAATATAAAACTGTATATGATAAATATAGAACTGAAATCAGCTTTGCATCCAGAATTGGGTGTAAAACTTAAATAGAGAACTATATATATAGTGCCGGGCACTATATAATAGGTTGATGAAAAAGATCGTTATTTGGTCTGTAACTCCCTTGTCTTTACCGTATTTCAAGCCACAAATACCAATTAATACTACCGTTGATTTAGCCCATTAGAAAAACCAAATTTTTCAGCAAAGTATAACACTAAAAGGGTTTAAACTCAAATACAATGCCTGGATTTTCTACAGATCGCGCGAAAGTGACCGATCGTTTTTCCAAAATATCATATTTCATTGTCCAAGTACTTTATAGTTTGCCGAAGGCCTAAAAAAAAAAAAAAAAAAAAAAAAAGAAAAATATATATATAGATAGAAGGGCACCAGTGCCGGGCCGACGCCCTGGATTCTGGATAACTGAAATCAGCTTTGCATCGAGAATTAAGTTTAGAACGTAAATATAGAACTATATATGATATTTTTATTTTAATTGATTCAAAAAATTGATTTATTATGTTTGCTCGCCAAACTCTGCGAGTTTTTACTCGCTATAAACATAATATAATTTTCCTCATAAGCTTTTCCGATATAATGTATTGTCCACCAATTTTGCGGTTGGACAATTTATTCAAAAACCAGTGCAAAATGTTACTTTAACTAAAATCCTGAGTGTCTCCCTCTTTTTCGCGTGATCGAACGAGTAGAGAGCGGCGCGGAGAGCGCGAACCTGGGGAAAGTGTTTTTAAAATTTAAAATTTAAAATCTAAAATTTAAAATCTAAAATTGTTAAATCTAATATCTAAATAAATTCTTTAGACATTTGTAAACTTTATAGATTTTTATATAGTCCTTACCGTAAGTACTGTAATAGTACCCCCTTCGTACAGTCGCGTAGTCGCAAAAGTTTTAGCATTCATTTTTTCAAAGCGCCCGTACTCAAAATGCTTTGGTACAAAAATAGCCCTGAATTTCAGCATTTTTGATGCAAGCGCGCGGCAAAAGCGGAAAACCGTAAAGTGACTACTAACACCCGCACCGTCATTATGGGGGCAGGGTACTATTACAATATTTATGGTATGATTAGATATTTTATCCAGTATTTGAGGTAGTCGTAGTAATATTTTTGGGTAATTTTAGGTAAACTTTCTTCATTTTTATGGGTTCTTCGGGTTTTTTCTTAGTTTTTTTCGTATTATTAAGAAAACTAAGAACTAAAAAGCTAAGAAAAACCTGAAAAACAGCAAAAACGTAAAAAAAACTATGAAAAAATGAAAAGAAATTGCCATTAAAAGTACTCTCCCCCGGATAATGACCTTTCCCGATACTGGGAAAATACCATTCTTACAATTTGAATCAAGTTTGCGATAATCGGTCGGCTGTTCTTGGCGAAATTAAGCAAATCGACGAAACCGCGCTCGGCCACGAAACGGTAGGGCTGTAAACTACCATGTGCGGATCTATTCATTGTGAAAAGCTATCAGAAAAGCAGATCCAAAAACCGAGAGCCAATTCTTGGGGCTTTTCTTGGGACAAAGGATTAAAATGAACTCCACCAATAGATTCTACGACCCTGAAAACCGCGGAGCACAAATTTTTAACGCTAAATCTCATTTGGGAATCATTTACAGAATAAAAGAGAAAACTGTGTAAACAGGCGAGGCGTTCTTTGTGCGCGCGCAAAATAGCTCGCTTCCTGGCACACGCTCCCGATAGATAGGTGGTCCCTTTCGATTTTAGGACTGTGGTGAGCGATCAAAAATTTCCCGGTCGGTCAACAATTCTCGTTTAGCCCCGAACCGTTCCTTTTCCACTGCCATTTTTCGTTTCCTCGCCGTTTTGGATTGCTTTGATTTCTCCTTTGTTCTGTAAATGATTCCCAAATGAGATTTACCTTTAAAAATGTGTCCCGGGGTTTTCAGGGTCGTAGAACCTATTGACGGAGTTTATTTTAATCTTTTGTCCCAATAAAAGTCCCAAAAGAATCGAATTGGCTTTGGGTTTCGGATATGATAGCTTTTCACAATGAAAAGACTCGGATTTTCGAGAAGAACCGATATTCTGAATTCTGTGAATTCTATAAGAAGGTGAAGTTCAATTCAATTCCGAAACCTGATCAACGAGGGGTAAACCGAGCGCGAATTTGGGCAACATCAAGCGAATCGTTTCTTCGCTGAGCTCCCGTTCGGAATGAATCCATCTAAAATAATATTTTATCTAAGCCAAATTTGCGTGCCTGTATTTTCAAAACTAGTGGCCCGATTTTGACGATTTTCGTGTGATTTTGTAGATACTTAAAGTGATTTTGCTAAGACTTACTTAGCAAGACGATACTTAAAGTGAAGTTACATATGGAAAAGGTAATTTCGTAAAAGCTATGTAATTAGTTCGGATTCGGAGGCCTAAAAAGGTTAGCTCAGATTACGTTAGCCACGTCTGAATCCGAACTAATTTCATTTTTTTTTGATTAATTTAACTTAACTTTTCCCACATGTAACTTCACTTTAAGAATCTACATGACTTACTCTACAAAATAAGCTATTGCTACGTTACTCTACGTTACTTTTGGTTCACATTTGAGTCACTAAAAAATAGCTTAGAAAAGTTTCGAAAAAATTTTCGGTCTAATAGAAAGTTATGTTGAACAAAATGCCATTTATTATACTTTAACTTATAGAGAATTCTTTTCTGCATCGAATGGTACCAAATTTGTAGAAGAAAATATGAATCCTGCGCGATTTTATGCAATTAGTTCGAGTTCGGACGTAACGTATCTACCATAAATACTGTAATAGTACCCCACCCCCATAATGACGTTGCGAAGTATTGCGTAGTCTAGCTTTGAACGCGTTTTTCTCGACACTGGTTTATGCTATAATGCGCGCTTGGGTATCAAAAAATAGCTGAAATTCAAGGCTATTTTTTGATACCAAAGACGCATTTTTTGAAAGTACGGACGCTTTGAAAAAAATTAAATACTAAAAACTTTCGACTACGCGACTGAACGAAGGGGGTGGGGGTACTATTACAGTATTTACGGTATCTTTTTCTAATAACTATAACGCCGTTCGTCTGTCCTGTCCGTCTGTCTGTTCGAGGCTTTCGGGCTTTTATTCGGGGAATTGAGGGTTGAAAATTCGGCTGAAAACTCCCATTTTAGGGTTTAAAAAATTCGCTGATTCCGAACCTGAAGTCCTTTTGTAAAAAACGTGATTTTCCGCCGAGTTATTCGAGTTTAATAAAATTTCCAACGGCTGCCCAATTTGAATTTCACGCCAAATTTGCATTTAAGAGGCGGAATTTAATGCAAATGTTACCAAAGTAGCCGCGTGGCGAATGCCGAGCACAGCTGGTAGAACAGGAAGTAAACTGAAATCTCACTTGAGGTTTTTCGGCGGGGATCCCGGCGGTCCGTAGTCGATTTTTATCGGCAACACGCCGCTCGTGTAGAAATGCCGAAAAAGGGGCCATTGATCGTTCGGAAATTGAAGGAAATTTATATAGAAATATATAGAAATACTATATTTTTTTTTACGATATAAAGATAGACAAATAAAGTAATGTCCTCAAAAACGTTTGCTTACTTCCGAAGTCCTCGGCATTGCCATTCGTCGCTTCTCGGGCGGCAATGACGTCGAACGGGTCAACGGTTTTGGCTCCGAGTTTTTCAACTCGATTAGCAATTTCTAAACTTTTTTTTTGAATCATTCATAAATTTACAAAGAATAAATGATTACCCTAAAGTCGCAAGTATAAGTTCTGCTAGGCATTCGCATGCACCAATTGACGCTTTCACCGGTGCGGTGGAAGAAGATTTCTAACGCACAGAAATAGCTTTTTTTTTTTAAGTAACAAAATAAAGGAAACAAATCATTCGAGGATGACCGCCTTTTGCTTGATAACAGCTGTTAATCGGTTCGGGCATGCCTCCACTGCGGCCTCCGAATGTCAGTCTTATGGAGTCGCCTTCCATGCCTCTCGGCCAAAGTCTTCTTCAAGGTCAAAGAGCAGCATTGCCTCTAAGATTGCCCAAATGGAAATGTCCAACACATCGGTCCGGTGATGTTTCGAGGCACATAACATCCTAGTGATCACTGAGGGAAAGTTGACCACACACGTCCTGAAGTCTTCCTCGTGTGAGCGGGAGGCAATTATGCAAGTTTATATAAGAATAAAGAACGTAAAAACCCAACAAAAAAGGGGGCAAAATAATAAAAGCAGTTTGGAAAGCGGAAAACTTTGTTGCAATAATTATGACGCACCCTGTATAAATTTACAAACATTAAATGATTATAAGGAATGAAAAATTTCAAATTTAAACCCGCCTCACTCATGTCAGAGATTCCGTTTCTCCCAGCCGGTGTGATTTCTGAAATGAGAAGTTGAGAAAGGTATTTGGTTAGCTGGTAGAGCAGAAAGTACTTCATATCAAAAGCCTTAACAAATCTAATATCTAATATCTAAAGCTATTCAGCTAAACAATTGCCTCACTTTCTTTTCTCCTCCTCGAGAAATGGGCCGAGTTTCGGCGTCGTGTCGACACTTCTGCAGCCATTTTTCAAATGGGAAAAGTGCTGAAATAGTTGAAATAGTTGAAATAATTGAAATATAATAAAAATCTATGTAATAATATATTTTAAAGCTAAAATGAAGCTATATTTGAGTTGAATAACGAATTCATTTATCGCTTTCATCTATCGCGAATTCATCTATCGCTTCCTCTTTGCAAAAAGCGAGAAGCCCCTTTTGAAGAGGTGGGGAAAGTCACGCGAGATCAATCCCTTCCATCTTCATCTTCAATTCTTTTTTTTGGCTTCTTTTCGGGTTTTTTTTGAAGATTATACAGATTACACAAGAAAATAAGGTTTCTTGTTGGAAAATATGGAAATGTGGGGGCTACTTAGGGGTTTTGATTGATTGTGACACTCGGGTAACAAAGTATTGGCCTTTTGTGGTAATTGGACTTATTTTAGCCGTACTATCGGAGAAGATGAGCTTATGGAAAATTTTGGATGACGAAAAATAGACATTACGTCTATTTTTCGTCATCCAAAATCCGGAATCCACTGTCTCCAATCCAGACCCAGTAGACATGGAAAAATTCCAATCCGAACCCAATTCCACCTTCGTTTTCTTGGCCGATTGCTCTGAAATTCTGCATACAAATAGAAATTGACATTTTCAGTTTGTAGACAAAATTCCAGGGCAATCGACCAAGAGACAGCTGAGAAAATGAAGGTGGAATTAGGTTCGGGTTGGAATTTTCCCATGTTTAGTAGCTAGAAATACGTTTCGAAGAAGTAAAACTGGCTCAGAGTCCAACAAATTGATTGCGAGCAATCTCTTGATTTTGAATTTTATATGAGGAGTGGCAAAAAAAAGAGTGAAGTGCCCTTTGACCGTCCCGGGAGGGGAGGAGCTCCCCCTCTCCGAAGACGTGCCTTCTTTAAAAAAAATACATTTATTCAGACGAATAATGTGGTGTACCAAAAATACACAAGCACAACCCATACGCCTTAAATGTGGGAAAGAAAAAAACCCATATACATGGGAAAAAAGCTGCCGTTGAGATAGAGCTATCAGAGTTAGGAAGTGGATTGATGGGGTGGCGAATCATTTACAGAATAAAAGAGAAAACTGTGTAAACTGGCGAGGCGTTCTTTGTGCGCGCGCAAAATCGCTCGCTTTCTGGCGCAGGCTCCCGATAGATAGGTGTTCTTTTTTTGGAACCGAAAAATGAAACTATCCGGTTTCGCTCGATCCGTTTTCGCATTTGATGATTGCTTTGGAGATTTTTGTAAAATGACAGGAATAAGGAGTAAGGCTCAATCTTGGCGGCATCGCAACACGTGTTGGTGTAGCAGTAAAGCCTGGTAAGCGGATTCGGGTTGAAGGGTCGGGGGTTCGAATCCCGGTGCCGACCCAATAACAGAATTGGAGTGTCCAAGTAAAGTAAAATCAGCGACGTTTTCACCTCCTTATTGACATGTCATGGTAAAAGGTGTTGCAGAATCTTTGGCACCAAGACCTTGCTGAACTATTATGAGTCGATATTCGAAACAACATCGTTTATGATGTTCTGCAAATCGAACATTTACACAATGGTACCATTGCAAGGTAAACAATTTGATTAATAACCAATTCTCATTGGTTCTCACAAAGATCGACCCATTTTAAATGACTTGATGTGATCAAATCGGACAAATGAATGCAGAGATCGTCCACTCGATTCCCCAAATCTCTTTATCCCAAAATTTCCCCTTTTTATTTCACTCCAACACTTTTAATTGCTCAAAATGAAACTTGTTTCAAAAAAAATTGGTTTCTGTGATTGACAATATTCAACCCTTTTTTCTGGCACAATGAATCTTGAGCGGAAATTTTTTCGGTTCTGATTTTGAACCGGGAAATTTCCAAGAAATTTCCCACCACGTGACCTTCTCGGCGAGTTCATTCGAATTGACGACTCATAAAAAAATCCGCAAAAAAAGATTCAAACCAAAAATTTTGTCTTTTTTTTTAAAAAAAAGAGAAGATAGCCGATTTAAACTTTTGAATTTTTTCTTTTTGAGCAATTAAAAATGTTGGAGTGAAATAAAAAAGGGGAAATTTTGGGATAAAGAGATTTGGGGGAAAGGAGTGGACGATCTCTGCATTCATTTGTCCGATTTGATCACATCAACTCGAATTTCGGCTACTTTTTATCTTTTCTTTACTTGAATCTAGGAATCAGGGTTTAAGAAGTCAAAAATCAACACTACTCTAGGATAAGTGATAGCAAATTTTCCTTGGTTACTGTAAAACCCTATCCTGTCTCACTATCGTACTAAAGAATCGACAAATTTTGAAAAATAACCAGACTTCTCGACAAGATAAAGTCAACAAGACTGGATCCAGTCTATAGTATTCCTATCGTACCGAATAATTGATAAGAATGGAAAAACTTTCAGCTGACTTTCAAACTCTTCCCTTAAAGCTAAAGAATGTTAGCGCTAAGCTTTCCTTTAAACTCTGTGCTTAAAATTTCTCCAATTCTCAATGTTTCAACTTTTCTAACTAGGGAACGTCGCCAGGTGTCCGTGATCTTTTAAAACGAGAGCAACTCCATCTTCTAGAATCGACTATGCTGATTACGAATCCGTTTTCAGTTTTTGAAACTCGAAATCTGTAACGCGAGAGATCTGGGTCAGAAGTTTTAGGCCTCCTTACTTGAGTTCGTTTTTCGCAGCGAAGTCTAGCAACGTGGTGCATTGCTCAATGCTGTCGACTACGTCTTCAAAGCATCCTGGTTCAAACCCCTCCTCGGCCATCTGGCAGATTAAAAAAAGCCAAAAGAAATTGGCCGAGGAGGGGACCGAACCAGGCTTTGCTGCCGACTAGGTGCTTTGAACACCTAGTCGACAGCATTGAGCAATGCACCACGTTGCTAGTTGACTTCGCTGTGGAAAATGAACTCAAGCAGCGAGGCCTAAAACTTGTGACCCAGATACCTCGCGCTACAGATTTCGAGTTTCAAAAACTGAAAACGGATTCGTAATCAGCATAGTCGATTCTAGAAGATGGAGTTGCTCTCGTTTTAAAAGATCACGGATACCTGGTGACGTTTAGAAAGTTGAAAAGTTAGAAAGTTGAAACATTGAGAGTTGGAGAGATTTTAAAAGTATCACTGGCGTTTTAAAAGGATCACTGGCGACGTTCCCTAATAAGAGACCAAGTGTTGCAAGGAAAATACGATAACCTAAGGCTTTAGTTAAAAGATTTTTGGAATTTTTACTCACTCTATTGAGCATAAAGGATCAATATCACACGTCATTTCCATTGATGTCTGATTGCGGGCGGTAAGTGAGACTGAGCGACTTTTTGACAAATAGAAAGTGATCTCGTTGTTTTCTCATTGTCATTCTCATTGTTCGCGCAATTTCTCGCTTCCTCTTTGGCAAAGAGTTTACAACTAAAAGGAGAATAAAGGAGAGTCTAGATCTCTAACGAAATCAACTCTCTTTCTACTGTCAACTGTCAACTCTTTCTACGAAATCAACTGCTCGTATCGCACAGTACACAGTACAGTGCATATAAACGGTCATTATAAATATGATACATTAAAACGTGCTTTTTTTTGTTTACCCCAATCCTGCATTGAAATGAAATAAGAGATGAGATCTACCTTTTCATTGACATGATCATCCTTTATAGCTTTATGAAGTTCTAAATATTATTTTTATAATATTATTATCATAACGTTATTATCAGATTTCTTTTCTTTCCCTAATTTCCATTTGATTTACATTTGATTTCCATTTGATTTCCATTTGAGTTCCATTTGATTTCCATTTCGTTTCCATTTCGTTTCCATTTGATTTCCATTTAGTTTCCATTTCGTTTCCATTTTGTTTCCATTTGATTTCCATTTCATCTCCATTTCATTTCCGTTTGTCACTCCAATCATTGTCAATTCTCGAAATTTATCTGGAAACTTTTGTTTCCATTTTTCAACGTTTCGAGAAATTTTCGCCATGTGATTTTTCCAAAATCCCATCTTTCCATTCTCTCATGAGAGGTCTTCTCTTGCAATTTTTATCAGATTTCCTTTCAAGTTCCAATTGGGTACAGTGGGATTCGTTGATCGCTCTATCGATGTATTTGTACAGTACATATTGAGTTCAACGCGCAAAGGAAACGCCGATTTCTGGCCGATTAGATTCCCTTTTTCCCAGCCTTTTAGACTGAGTAAGTAGTCGTACGGTAGTAAAATTTAAGCCAATACTTCTGGGTTTTTCACTCACTGAGAGCTTAGCTTAAAACAAGGCTTCAAAGCTACTGTAATCCAGAATACGATAGCTTTTTCGAAAGAGTTTCTTTTAGAAAACTAAGCTAAACTTTTGAGTGCAGGTGGAACTCAAGATTCTTCAAAAGTTTCCTTTTTGTACGTTAAAGTACTTTTTTCAAACAATCTTCTTTCTTATTGGCGATCAAGGCCGAGGCGATAAATCTCTTACCTAAAAAAATCGGGAAATCTTTTTGAATTTCATCAATTTTGCGATCTTTCAGACTAGTGATTTGCTTGTTTTATTTAGGATTCATTTAGGCTTCATTTAGACTTCAAGGGGGGGGGTAGGGAGGTCGGGGTCAATCCAAGTAAAAGCTTTCCCACTAAGTGGGTTTTTCACAACATTTGGGTAATAGGGTAAGGGAAGGGCGTGCTTTTGTTTTAGACCGTTTGTCTTTTGTCCGGGAAATTTAGACTTCATTTAGGCTTCATTTAAGGTCCATTTAGGATTCATTTAGGCTTCATTTAAGCTTCATTCTTCATTTATTTTATTTGATTTGCTTTAGGTTTAATTTATTTAGAAATTTAGGGTGAAAAAGTGATGAGCACTCGAAAAGTGTCCAAGGCCTCCAATTCACCGCCTGATCTCAAAGAGCACAGTCCGGTCAGTGAACAACTTTAGAGCATGATCCCAGTTGTAAAAAAAACTATAGTTAGTGGAACGGATGACCTTTTGGCCTAGTGTGAACTGGCTTAATTTTCGGCTGGCTTGCTACCTTGATTTATGAGCTCGCTGATCAAAAGCAGCTAAATCTTTTGGCTTTTGACTAGCCCAGCGACAGTAAAGCCAATTTTGGCATTATTTTCAAAAAAAATAGCTCACTTTTTTGTGAGTTTGACATTTAGATGTGTCACTTGCAATTAGAGAAGCCGTTTCAGACTAAATTTAGTTTTTTTTCAAGTACTGTTTCCAGTAAAACACTAATTTGAATCAAATTTTCTCCTTTTCTAAGTTTTCCATAGAAAATTTAAAGAAATTCTTTTTATAAAAAAGAAAAAATGAATTAAAATCATTAAATTCGATAAAAAGAAACGTTCATTTTATTATTTTGATCGTATTTTTCTTTTTCTTTCCCCGTCTCACCCATAAATTTCATTGAAAAAGACGGGATAAAGACGAGAAATCGAAAATTAAAAAGAGACAAAATTGATTTAAACAACAAAAAATAAAAGATATTCTCTATTATTTTTAAATTTTAGAAGATGAACGGTAAGGGACGAAAGCGGCTCAACAGCGAGATTTCTGATGGGCTCGAGTACAGCAAAAAGGTGCATTTCGATGCCATTTCAATGCGATTTTTTGCTGACATTTATTAGAATTATCTTATAGATAAAAATCTTATAAAAAAATATCTTATAGATCCGTCAATTCCAAGCGAAGCTCGCCGCCGAGCAGGAAAAGATCAACGCGGCGATGGGCCCGCTGGCCGAGGCCGACAAAATTGATTGTAAATTCTAAAATATTTTAAAAGATTACTGTAATTATTAGATTATTTGAAGAATTTTGGTTATTTATGTTTAAATAAGGATTCGGTTAAATCCCTGAAGCCTGGAAGCTGACTGGACAGTCTTGTTCTATGGACTTTTCATGAGCTAGGTCTGATCTTAGTCTTATAAGGGAATGGTTTTAGCTCAAAGTTCGGAATCGACTGGAAAAACAGTGCATAAAATAGAATCAGCAATGCCGAACAAAACGCCACAAAAATTAGCCACTAATTGCCACGGAAACGCGAGGAATCTGGCATGCAAAATCGAAATTCAAAACTGATTCCTTTATAAGGCTTCTCTCGCTGCCGGCCAGAGATGGGCTCGTGGCCTAGTGGATTCCGCGGTTTCTCGCATTTGAACTGAACGCATTTGAACACGGACTAATAGCCACGGAAATGCGAGAAACCGTGGAATCCATTAGGCCACGAGCTCATCTCTATCGATCGATCGGCAGCGAGAGAAGCCTTATAAAGGAATCAGTTTTGAATTTCGATTTTGCATGCCAGATTCCTCGCGTTTTCGTGGCTATTAGCGGCGAATTTTTGTGGCGTTTTGTTCGGCATTGCTGATTCTATGTTATGCACTGTTTTTCCAGTCGATTCCGAACTTTTAGCTAAGACCATTCCCTTGTTAGTCTGATCTGATCACTCTTTCTTTCTTCTTTTCTTCCTCTTGTCTTTCCCTCTTTCTTTTGGAAAGCTAAGGTGCCAGCTAGCTCAGTGGTTGGAGTAATTGCCTGGAAAGCTTGGAAAGCAAAAAAAAACTCAAGGGTTCAATTCCCTCTCCGAAAATCTTTCTTTGCCATTCCTTATTACTTATTCCTTCCTTAAAATCTTCCTTAAAATCTTCCTTATTTTCCTTTCTTATCCAATCTTTTATCAGATAAATAACTGCAGCTAAATGTAATATGTTTTCAGTGAAAAGAGAAGAATCCTATTCATCCGGACTTCCTTTAGTTCTCGGTAAATGGATAGATTCGTGTTCTTTGTGCTCGAATTTTCATAAACATATCCTTTCTGGTGCGCTCTTTTTCTCAAGAAAATTGGGGATTGGGCGTCAGAATGGCGAGCATAAAGTACATTCAAAGGATAATCGGTCAATAATTTTCATAGACGGACTTATTGTTAATACCGACCCAGTTATTTATATTATTTTTAACCATTATTAATACTAATATTTTATTATAGAAAGTCAACGATTGCTAACATTTTTGAAATTTTTTTTTCTTGTCAATAGTAAGAGAAAAGATCCCCACTTTTTGCGTACTTTGATTAAGATTTAATCAAATTTCTAGACGACGATGAAAATCTGGTGATTCCTGATCCAGACTGTGATCCCGAACATCCAAGAACGGTGACATTCTCGGATATCTCGACGGCCATGTTCAATATCAAAGTGGGAATCACTCACACGCCGTGCACGGTTCGTTGAAAAATGGCTAACCAGAATTGTTGCAAAAGCTAACACTCTCGATATACAAGCTCCTATACGGTTCCAATATGATTCCAATACGGTTCCAGTACGGTTCCAATACGGTTCTTTTTAGATCCAAGACGGTTCCAATACGGTTCCAATACGGTTCCAATACGGTTCCAATACGGTTCCAATATGGTTCCAATACGGTTGCAATACGGTTCTTTTTAGATCCAATACGGTTCCAATACGGTTCCCATACGGTTCCAATACGGTTCCAATACGGTTCCAATACGGTTCCAATACGGTTCCAATACGGTTCCAATATGGTTCCAATACGGTTCCAATACGGTTCTCTTTAGATCCAATACGGTTCAAAGCAAATCTTGTAGATTCATTTTCTTTTTCAATCAAACACGAAACGGTTTGGAAATAAAATTTTTGAGAAATTCTTGCGTTCAATTGAATCATTTTACTTCACTTCACTCTGTGACGTCGATCCCATTTTTAAGCAACCAGTGCAACTAAAAGATGAGTGAAATTCGACTGATTAGGTTAGATCTAGTAGTAGACAGACTAGGCCCCTAATCCCAGACAATCCCCCGCTAAGCTAGGCATTGCTAGCCAGGTCTAGATCTGACTTTTGAACGGCTTCCGTTTGACCGCCACATTGTTCCAACTCTTACAAGGAACTGGTTCGAGCTCACGGTGAAATCTCAATTTACAATATAGCAAATCTTGTAAAGCTTTAAAAGACGAGTCCAATCATATAAAAATTAGCTGCTTATGACTATTGTAAAAGCACTTAAAACTAGCTTACAAGTTACAGTGTTAAGGCTTCTTCAAAGGGCTAGTTCGGCTGGCTCGGCGGTGTAGTGGTTAGTGCAATGGTTTACCAAGCAAAGCTCAGGGGCTCGATTCCTTCTGCAGTCTCACATTTTGCTTTTTCCATTGTAAACACTATCTATAACTTTACACAAATTTACAGAAATCTCTTCAACTCTCGAGTCTTTATGGAATGGATCTTTACTTCAAAAAGGAGTATCTTCAAGTGACAGGCAGTTTCAAAGAAAGGGGAGCCAGGTGGGTAGAAAAGGGAATTTAGAACAAAATTATATGAAAATATTCTAAATCTGAATTGCAATTCTATAGTTTAAATGGAAATTTGGGCAATTTCAGATACGCGCTTTCACATCTCACCGATCAAGAGCGCCAGCGAGGAGTGATTGCAGCGAGTGCTGGTGAATTTTGATTAACTGAATACCCAAAACCGTTAATACTCAACGTCACCTCCATAATGACGGGCGTACAGACGCGTAGTCGAACTTTGAACGTCCAATTCTCCACACAGCTTTATGCTACAGTGTGCACGTGAATGTGCACGTGAATGTCAAATGTCCGTTAATACTCAACGTCACCTCCATAATGACGGGCGTACAGACGTGTAGTCGAACTTTGAACGTCCAATTCTCTACACAGCTTTATGCTACAGTGTGCACGTGAATGTCAAATGATATCCCTTGAAATCGAGTATTTTTTGATACCAAAAGTATCGTTGTAAAAAAATCTAGGAGCTGAGAAAGAAATGATTTCCTAAAAAGAAGTTAGACTACGCGACTGTACGAGAAGGGTGGCGTTCTATTAAAGTATTTACAGTAGTTAAATCTAATCTCTTAATCTCAGGTAACCACGCGTTAGCTCTCAGCTATCACGGGAAATCACTGGGCATCCCGGTGACCGTTGTGATGCCTGTTTTTGCGCCAATCATGAAGATTTCCCTATGCAGAGGCTATGGAGCTACCGTAATCCTCAAGGGAAACAATATCTCGAAAGTGGGGGGATAGAAAAGCTAAAGATATTCATTTAATTTTTTCAGGCAAAAGATTACGCGATGAGGTTGGGCAAAGAGAAAGGGTTGAAATATGTGAATGGATACGATGCTCCTGATATTTTGGCCGGGCAAGGAACGATTGGATTGGAGATTTTGGAACAAGTAAGGGAAAGGGAGAATTTCCACTTTATCAGTCAGTCCACAGTCATTTTAAATGATCGCTAAATAATCTTGAGATCTTTGTTAGCAGCCATGCGATGTACTGTACTAGTACTGTACTGCAAAGTACTATGTACTAGTACGTAGATGACATTTGTACATTTGTACATTAGACATTTGTAGTACGGTATATTTTCCACATTTCTATACGGCTACCAATTTACAGTACTGTATTATCGACTCATAAAATCCAAAGCCAAGGGGCGGGGGTTGAACTTGTGAGTGCTCGCTCTGGACACGAGCGCTGTACCCTCAGCCACGTCTGCACCAAACCCGGAGACTGCTAACACCCAAATAACCACATTTTCAGAGTCCTAACAAAACTTTAGACCCTTAGAACTCCTCGCAGATTGTCATTTAGCAAAAACGGCATACATATTTGGAATTAGCATAAAAATTCTGCGTCAAATGGTATATAGAAAATGCTATTTGACAAGCTTGACCATGATTCACTTGACCTCCCCTTGTAAGTCTTGAATTCCTCATCAAATAATACCAAAAATCGACTTATCAAATGAAAACTTGTTTGATTACGAGAGTTTTCTAAAATAGATGCCTTTTTAGAATCCAATTTTAGCTGAATTAAATTCGATTTTCACTCACGTGGTCGATCTTTTCCGGTGCCCGATTTCTTGATTTTGCTCGCTTGCTCACTTGATCTCCCGTTGTTAGTCAAAAAATTGAGCTAGTGGTTTGATTGCGATAGCTTTCGAAAAGAACTGCCTTTTAGAAAACCACTCCATTCCTATAAACCCAGTGAGAAAAGGCCAAATTATGATAAGTTATTTTCCCAAAGGCTTTCCAAAAGCGCTACCGACTCGAGCCATAACAAAAAACAAAACGAAAAAGGGGAGGGCGAAGTGGGAAAAAAAAAAAAAAAAAAAAAAAAAAGAAAGAAAAAAAAAAAAAAAAAAAACTTTAAACTCATATAACTTTTGATAGGGTAGCGCATAGCAAAAACGGAATCCATATTTGGAATTAGCATAAAAATTCTGCGTCGAATGGTATATAGCACATGCTATTTGACCACCTTGAGCATGATTCACTTGACCTCCCCCTTGTAAGTCTTGAATTTCTCACCGAATAATTTTGCGTCGAATGGTATAGCATAGCATTTGGTCAGCTCAGCCCAGTTGACCTTCCTTTATCAGTATGACACAACAAGTTACAGTACAGTATATAAGATACACAGTTTTTTTATAGCTCATAAAAGCATATCTTATCGTACATTGCTGTACAATGAATGCATAATAAACTTGATTAAATTTGTAAACTTTTAGGTCCCCGACGTGGACGCGGTTCTCGTGCCCGTTGGTGGAGGAGGACTGATCGCTGGGGTGGCTGTGGCGGTGAAAACACTCAAGAAACATTGCCAGATCATTGTATGGATATTATTTTGTACTTTATGCGATTGTATTCTTAAACTAAACTATAATAACTATCAAATTTCTATCCAAATTTCTATCCAAATCTCTTCTAGGGTGTCGAGTCGGAGACGTGTGCCTCATTCACGGCGGCTCTCAAAAAGGGACACCCGATTGGAGTCGAGCTTTCGAGTACTTTGGCTGATGGTTGGTGATTGCTCGATTGGTTATGTGAAAGGCACATGATGCTTGCAAAATTTGCTTTAAAATGTGCCGAATAAGTACTAGAATTCTTTGGACTAACGATTCAGATCAGGAGTCGGCACGAGAAGAGACCAGAGACAATAAATTTGAATTTTCCTTGGTAGACCCGACAAAATGGATAGCGCCAACCGATTCGCCGACCACGAAAACCCCTGTGTAGAAATTTACAGCTGAATATCTTCTTTTTGTACCATCTATAAAGCAAAAGAGAAATCCCTTGTAAAGTGACGAGGTGTTCTTTGTGCGCGCGCAAAATAGCTCTCCATCTGGCACATCCTGCCGGGAGATAAGTGTTCCCTTTTGGAATCGCTAGAGGGTAAGCCGAGCGGTGGGCGACTGAGCCATTCCCGCCATTCGCGCCACCATTCTCAAACTCCTGGGAGCATCCCCCGCCCCAAATCCGCCCGCACCCCGGCCACAAACTCCCCACATCGTGCCAAACCATTTTCCGCTTAAACAGCAGTTAAACAGAGAATAATGCAATCCGAATTGAGAGTTTTTCCCTCGTCTCCTCTCGCTTCGACTCTCGATCCGGATCGTTGGCAAAAAAGAATCTAGATCTGCAGGTACACAGATGAAAACAAGTGCATTTTAGGCCTCGCCGTTCCAACAGTTGGTGGAAACTCTTTTCAAACGGCGAAACCGATAATCGATGAGGTGGTCACCGTTCACGAGGAATCGATCGCTTTGGCTATTTTGCGTTTAATCGAAATGGAAAAGGTATGGGAAAAAAAAAAAAAAAAGGTGTTGTAGAGTTGTAGCCAAAGTTGTTAATACTCTCAAAATCTAATAAGAAAACTCAAATTCCAGGCAGTTGTCGAGGGTGCTGGTGCAGTGGGACTCGCTGCCATTATCTCCAACAAACTGCCACAGTTGAAGGGGAAGAAGTGGGTGATGGGCAAGATTTTAAGAACAAAAAAGATACCAATACTTACGGTATGTTCTGTGCTACTTTGAAACAAGTGGTTGGCAGTTTAGAATCAAGTAAGGCAAATAAATTGAAGCTTGAGCTGTGTCTTGGGATAAGAATTCTATGGTTGAAAATGAATAGCTAGAAAATTTAGAGTTGTTTGCATTTTGACTGGGGGTAACATCGACACGACGGTGTTGGGGAGATCGATTGAGAGAGGGCTGGCTGTTGATGGACGCTTGATTCGACTCGAGGTTGTTGTATCGGACCGGCCTGGAGGTATGCATTTTGATAGAGTGTATAGATCAGTAGATAAGTAGATAAGTAGATAAAGAGATAAATAGATAAAGAGATAAATAGATAAAGAGACAAAGAGATAAAGAGATAAAGAGATAAATAGATAAAGCCATAAAGAGTATCTCCAATAGCTTTTAAGAAAAGCCATATTTTTGAAGGTATCGCTGAATTGGCGACTCATCTAGCCCATAGCGGTGCCTCGATAAAGGACATTTTCCATGAGAGAGCCTGGATTTCGACGGATGTATTTTCGGTGAGGAAATTTACTAGATAACTCTCTGTCTGTCTGTCTATATTGTAATTGGGTTATTTAAAATAAAAAAGTAAAAGTTGAGCCCACTATGGGGGCCCGAACCCAGCTCGTGTGGGTCGTAGACAAGCGTCCTCCCGACCGCGACTACACATCCAGCTAGAAAAGCCCGCCGTTAGCCGGGTTTTTCGGCTGCTATTCTATAAAATGACATTGATCTTGTTTTCAGGTAAAAGTGAAGATCATTTGCGAGACGAGAGATCGATCGCATGTCCAAGAATTGGAGGCACTTTTGCGAGAGAAATACAAACACGTCGCTATCTCGTAAAAACAAGAATAATCACTTTTTCTTATTGAACGAATAAATTTTCCAAGTATAAAATAAAACTACTTTAAACTTTTGCCTTCTTGGCGGCTTTTTTTCATTTGAGTAGTCATTTGAGAACGAAAAAAAAACTCAAACAGAGGCCAAGGATCAAAAATGACTATCAGAAATTGTTGCTGATTTTGAGTGCTTTTGTAGTGACTATTGGTGGTTTAGATATAATCTTTATTACAGCAATAATAGTTTGTGCAGTGGTTTGGGGTTGGGAGGGTAGAGACGACTCCACGGCACACCTAGCGATCCTAGAAGCTAGATGATCCTAGCGATCCTAGAAGCTAGATGATCCTAGCGATCCTAGAAGCTAGATGATCCTAGCGATCCTAGAAGCTAGATGATCCTAGTGATCCTAGAAGCTAGATCCTAGTCTTACTTCTTGTCTTGGCTGGGTGAATGAACAGGGTTTTAGAAAAACAAACTCTGAATGATTAACAAACAAACAGTTTGGCTTTGGTTCAATTAGTTATCGATCTGAAAGAGACTCCAGCGCTATTGCAAATTGCCGAGGGGAATTGCCGAAGGGTGTGCCGGATGAGAGTGATTATGTGGCCGCACAAAGGACACCTCGTCAGTCATTTACACCAGGATATTTCTTTTGCTTTGTAGATGCCTCAAAAAAGGAAATATTCAGCTGTGAATTTGTATCCGGGGGTTTTCAGAGTCTGGGAATCGATTGGCGCTATGCATTTTGCCAATTTGGAATTAGATTTTCGAAAAAATCACTCTAATATCACAGATTTCTTTAATAATTGTATAGTTGATAATTGTTTTCTTTAATAATTGTTTAGTTTTATTATCTTCTTTATAAACGTGGAAGCAGATTTGACCGAATCTCGAATTATACCCACAAAAATACATTCAATTACATTATCTCGACAAGAATTGAATGTAAAATTAAGTGCTTTACTGTGCTTTACTATATAATTTGCGTTCTCTTAAATCCGTTGCCCTTTCTACCGTATCCTAGCCATTTTCGCGACAGAAAAAGACGGAAAAGCGCCGAGAGAAAAGACGATTTCTCTTCTTTTCACTTGTCGATCCAAAAACAGCGCTCAATTTTTCTTTCGGTTTTCTTTCGGTTCTTTTTTGAAACTGGTTTCCGCATAGAGAGATTTCAGATTTTTTTCGTATCATATTTTCACTCAATGCGAATTGTGGAATGACCGATTTTCTCTATGTTAACAATTTCTGGGTGGGAAATTTTAGCTAATTTAGCTAATTTAGAGAATTTAGAGAATTTTGTTGTAAAAAAACAAATGGATTATAGGGCGAAAAACACCATGGACATCACGTGATGTACGAGAATTTGCGACACGGCGAAGAGACGATTGGAGAGGTTTTTTCTTTTGAAAAATTGAATATTTTAAAATATTGGGTTGGTCAATTGAAAGCTGCCCGACTTTGAACTAAAATTTATTCAACATAAAATTATGAATTCATTCCAAATAATTTCCATTATTATTGACGACTTCTGCCCTTTTTACAGGCAATTTGCGGATTTCTCTTTCGTAGTAGGATTTTGGTTTGTGTGTGAGACAAGTGTGAGACTCAAAAATCGAGGACTGGAGATGTCCCAGTAGCCTTTTGAGCACTTTCTTCAAAAGAAACCCATTTTGGTGTCAGTAGAAAAGTTATAGAGAATCAAAAATGAGGCTTATAGCCAAATTTGCAACAAGATACACTTAGTAGTTTCGTTTAAAATGCAAGTTTTGTGGAGATTCCTAAATTTGGCATTTCTTGAAAACCAGTTTTTGAATCGTTCTGAAAATTTGGATATAGGCTTGATTTTTGATTCTCTACAACTTTTCCATTGACACCAAAATGGGTTTCTTTTGAAAAAAGTGCTCAAATTGTCACATATGACAATAGCCAGCAGTTTTCAATTCACCAACCCAATAATTACACTACTGGACAATGAAATATGATATTTGAAAAAAGATCGTCACTTTCGCGCGTCTGTAACTTCCTTGTCTTTACCGTATTTCTAAATATTAATATTACCATTGTGTAGCCCTTGAAAAGAGCTTTCAAAAAATGTATAACACTAATAGTTTAAACGCAAAGACAAGGGAGTTACAGACGCGCGAAAGTGACGATCGTTTTTCAAATATCATATTTCATCGTCCAGTACTGTATATCTATAAATACTTAAATAAATTTCCCCAGGTGATTCAATTTTTGAAAGAACGGACTCAGTTCGAAGACGATTTGCAGAAACAGCTCGCAAAAAATGCGCACAAGGTTTGATTTTAATGGAATACTAAATATAGTATTGTTTTTTATTGTTTTATAAAGCTTATCCACTATTTTAATATTAGATTTTTATTAAATTATACTTTAGATTGGTTCTTTCATTGCTCATGGTTCTCCATTCATGCCTGGTTGGGCGCTAGCCAAAGGAACGATCGAACTCCTAGCAGAGATTCATGCGGCTTTTTTGAAAAGTTTACAAGTCGTTTTTAAATCATAAATATTTCGATTTAAATGATTGAGATCATTTGGAAAGTTTAGGAATTATCCCGGGAACTCTCGCGATATCAAGACGAATTTCAAAAGAGTCGCAAGAAAGCGAAAGATCAAGACGTTATCGATACAGTGAATCTTATGCAAACGACAACCACTTGCTTGCAAAAGGTTTGCAAATATAATCATCTAAATTAGAAATAGAAATATAGAGAAATCCCGAACACCATAAATACTCTAATAGCCGCCTATAGAAGCGTCGTGTAGTCTGAGTTCACTCTCAAACAAACGCTCACATCTTGGCATCAGCACGTTTGTTTCTATGCGCTTTTGTATCAAATTAAAGTAGAGAGGATGGGTGATTTTTTGAGATATAACACATATTTTTAGCATTAACTAGCGCTTAGAAAAAATGATTGAAAAGTGGCAAAAGAAAGCCGATTTTCATTGTTTTTCAAAAATTTTTTCTAAGCACTGCTTAATGCTAAAAATATGTTTTATAGCTCAAAAAATCACCCATCCGCTCTACTTTAATTTGATACCTAAGCGCGCAAGAACAAAATGTCTGGACGCCAAAATATGAGCGTTTCTTTGTGAGCGTTCAAAATATGAGCGTGCTTCTATTATAGGCAGCTCGAGTATGGTAGTCTGGGAGTGGGACAAATGCTACCTTTTTTTGCGCACCCAGACATTTGCGCACCTTTTTTCCGCACTTAGCCCACTAGCGCGCCTTTTTTCGCGTTTTAAAAAGCTCTAAAAAGCTAATATTAACCAATTTCTATTCCAAAAGTTGTTTTTCTAGGTAATTTGAGGGTGTCGAATTCAAATTTTGACATAACAGAGCGTGTGGAATCAATTTAAAAGACAAATTTGAAAGACAAAACGGCTAGATCAAATTACAGAAAATTGTCGATTTTTCTCTTTGTATAACTCCGTCTGTTTGTTTCCACAAGCTCTGATATACCAAAATTTCGATTCTACGCCCTAAAATTACCTAGAAAAACAACTTTTGGAATAGAAATTGGTTAATATTAGCTTTTTTAAAACGCGAAAAAAGGTGCGCTAATGGGCAAGGTGCGGAAAAAAAGGTGCGCAAATGTCTGGGTGCGCAAAAAAAAATGTAGCATTTGTCCCACTCCCGGTAGTCTAACAAAAACTCGAACTAACATTTCAAATGGTTTAGGCGAAGGAAACATATGTCTCGCGGTTCAACGAATTGGAGAAACTTCGAAGGGACGCGTCGGCGAGTGCCAAAGAGATCAATAAGGTTTGGGAAAGGCAGAAAATGGAAAATGTAGTTCAAAAAGCGTCGTCAAATTTCTCACAATCCAAAAAACCAAGCTTCAAAGTTTTATATTAAAAAAAATCCTCGCTTTCTTGGGTACATGATGGGTGAAACAGTTTTTTTCAAAAAGTGAATATTTCATAGATAAAAAGAGATAAAAAAGAGCGCTTAAAAATGGGCCTCTAAAGCTATTCAGTTAACCAACTGTGTATCACTAATTTTATTTTATCTAATCTCTTCGATGAAATATTTACTTTTTTTGAAAAACTATTTCACCCATCATTTACCGAAGGAAGGACAAGAAAGGACAAGAAAAGAAAGAAAGAAAGTAAGGACTTTTTTTTGTTGGCTTCTTTCAAGTAATGCCTTTTCTCTAAAACGTGTCATCTTTCTCTAAAACTGCCGTAATCTTCACTCTAGACTTTATTCAATCAAAAATTTTCGTTAATCTTTACAAAATCGATTCAAAAGTAGCTAGATTGAATCAAAAGTGGCTAGATTGGATCAAAAGTAACTAGATTGAATCAAAAGTAGTTAGATTGGATCAAAAGTAGTTAGATTGAATCAAAAGTAGCTAGATTGAATCAAAAGTAACTAGATTGAATCAAAAGTAGCTAGATTGGATCAAAAGTAGCTAGATTGGATCAAAAGTAACTAGATTGAATCAAAAGTAGTTAGATTGGATCAAAAGTGGCTAGATTGGATCAAAAGTAGTTAGATTGGATCAAAAGTAGTTAGATTGGATCAAAAGTAGTTAGATTGGATCAAAAGTAGTTAGATTGAATCAAAAGTAGTTAGATTGGATCAAAAGTAGCTAGATTAAATTTAAAAAAAGATTACGATAGTTTGACAAAAGTTGACGTTTTAAAAAAACGTTTTAGAAAATCACAATCACTCTTTAAATTCTCTTGAATTCACTGAGAGTATTCTACAAATATGTACAATAATAAAAGGCTATAAAATTATAAAGATAACCAAAACTATAGACTGAATCAAAGCTACTGAAAGCGAAAGAAGAGTACCGTCAATACGTCGAGAAATACGAGCAAATCCGAGTGCAATACGAGAGGAAAATGGAAAACGCTTGTGCGCTATTTCAAGGTGAATATAAAAGCATACCGTAAATAGTACCCCACCCCATCATGACGGTGCGGAGTGTTGCGTAGTCTAGCTTTGAACGCATTTTTCTCGCCACTGTTTTATGATACAATGTGCGTTTAGGTATCAAAAAAATAGCTGAAATTCAGGGCAATTTTTTGATACCTAAATGTACATTGTAGCATAAACCAGTGTCGAGAAAAACTCGTTCAAAGCTAGACTACGCAACACTCCGCATCGTCATTATGGGGGTGGGGTACTATTACAGTATTTACGGTAATAGATATCAAGATATTCAGATAGAAATCGAATAACTAGAGCAAAGAATTTAACGAAGAATTTAGCGATGGATATGGATCACTATTCGGCGTTGAGACAATACTTATTGACGTACTCGGTGCAACAACAGGACACGATGAATGCTGCGTTGCAGGTGGGCATTGGGAAAACATTTCAATAGCAAATTATTTCATATTTAATCTAGATTTTAGATTTACATCTGTTTTAGGTGTGTTCACAATTTCGTGAGTCAATTCAAGCCATTGACGTTTCTTGTTTTATCGAGAATTTCATCAAAAAATCGGGCACCGGAAAAGATCGACCACGTGAGTGAAAATCGAATTTAATTCAGCTAGAATTGGATTCTAAAAAGGCATCTATTTTAGAAAACTCTCGTAATTAAACAAGTTTTCATTTGATAAGTCGATTTTTGGTATTATTTTTGATATTATGAGGAATTCAAGACTTACAAGGGGGAGGTCAAGTGAATCATGGTCAAGGTGGTCAAAATAGTATTTTCTATATATCATCCGACGCAGAATTTCACGCTAATTCCAAATATGTATTCCGTTTTTGCTATACTCTACCCTATCAAAAGTTATATGAGCTTAAAGTTTTACAAAGCATTTTCGAACTCAAGACCAAATTATGATAAGTTAGTTTCCCAAACTCGGCCACCGGCATTTCCGTTTTGCGTTTTGCTATGCGCTACGACTCAGGCACCGGCACTTTTCGAAAGCGTTTGGGTTAGTTTCCCAAAGACTTTCCAAAAGCGCTACCACTCAGCCACTTTAAACTCATATAACTTTTGATAGGGTAGTGTATAGCAAAAACGGAAACCATATTGGGAATCAGCGTAAAATTCCGCGTCGATAGGTATATAGAACATGCTATTTGACCACCTTGCTCACTTGATCTCCCCTTGTTAGTCAAAAAATTGAGCTAGTAGTAGTTTGATTACGATAGTTTTCGAAAAGAACTGCCTTTTAGAAAACCACTCTATTCTTATAAACTCAATGAGAAAAGCTTAAAAGTGCATTTTATCGTCTACAGTAAACCCTAAAGCTACTGAATCTTGCTATGATTTCATTTTAGAACAAGTGACATTCGAGGATTTGGATGGTTTACTGGTTTCCCATTTGGGTGATGACAGTGAGAGATCATTGGGAACATCACAACCATCAAGCTCAAATAGCAGTCAGGTGAATTTTGGAAAGCGATTTCAAGAAAACAGGTGAAAAGTTGCGCTGATCTTTGGGGTTTTTAGTAGACAACTAATGCGCAGCGTGTTCAGTATTTATGGCGACTTCTTTTTTTGATAGTTTACCTTCCAAGTTCAATCCTACTTTCTTACCGTAAATACTGGCCTAAAGGGTAGTGTGTCAGACTACCGAATCCTTCCCGGTTCTTGCGGTGGGTTCGAGTCCCTCCAACGCCAAACTGTTTTTTAGCGACAGACAAATACCATTTCTAAGTGCTTATTGACACCAGGATAAATTATTGATCTGTCAATTATTAATCTACCGTAAATACTGTCATAGTTCCCCACCCCCATAATGACGGTGTGGAGTGTTGCGTAGTCTAGCTTTGAACGCGTTTTTCTCTACACTGATTTATGCTACAATGCACACTTAGATATCAAAAAATAGCTGAAATTCAGGGCTATTTTTTTGATACCAAAGCGCGCATTGTAGCATAAACCAGTGTCGAGAAAAACGCGTTCAAAGCTAGTCTACCAACACTCCGCCCCATCATTATAGGGGTGGGGTACTCTTACAGTATTTACGCTAAGTATTAGGTAAAAACTTGAAGCTATTAATCTTCGCTACGTTTCTCTATTAGAAATTTCCCGATTGAAGATATACAACTCATTTTACAAGCCCTTCAAGGAGTACTAGTTGATCTCTCGTACTAGTTGATCTCTCCATTTTTGGCGATTCAATTCAACGCTATTCAATGAGTTGTATATCTCCAATCGGGAAAGCTTTTAATAGATAAATTTAGCCAAGATTAAGGGCTTCAATATTTTAAATAACACTTAACACATTAGGGCTGAACTTGGGGTTTGGGAGCTAATCGATCAAAAAGAATCTATCAATCTATCACCGTAAATACTGAACATTCTGTAGTTGGAAAGTTTCAAAACCAATGGTGAAATATTGAAGATTTTGATGCCTAATTTCATTAGCACTAATTTAGGAATTGATCTGCAACTTGACCGATTACTTATACCATTTCTAGGTTGTCAAATCCGATCCCCCACCGCCGATGCCACCGACTGCTCACGATTTGTTGATGCTTGATGAAGTGCCCATGAATTGGAATGAACAAGAGAACAAAATCGTCAGTTTTATCTATCGTTTTATCTAGTTATTTATTTCTTATTCAAAACTCATTCAACTTCAGAACAATCAACGCAAAGCAGCCCTTCCCCAACAAGCCCTTCCCCAACAAGCTCTCCCTCCTCTTACTTCACTCCGATCCGATTCTCCATCTCGTTCCGAAGAATCAATGGATATCCCACCAATTCCTCAATCTTCCCATCCACAAACACCGCCATTCTCGACAAGTTTTGGCGGAACAGCTGGGAAGAAATTGGCAATGTGGTTGCCGAAGAGAAAGTGGGTTTCAAGGTTGAACGGTGAAAATTAAGAAAAACCCAACTGCTATATAAATCTAAGGGTTTGCTAATAGCTTGACAATCTAAAGGCGTTTAGCATCAGTTTTTTCTGGGGCTTGTACTCATTTCAATGAATTTATTACCAGATTCACTTTTTTAGAAAAACCACAAGTCAAAGCAGCATCCCGGACACCGAGGAGACGGCGAATTCGATGGGAGGTCAGTGGAAAGGAAGCAAAAAGCTATTGCTGGCTAAAATTAAAGCATTTATCTAAATAGAAATAAGTTAGAAGATATTAAACAATATTTAAAGTTTTTTTAAAAATTGCCCCCTGAAAAGATTGAATCAATATGCGGGATTAGTTGGGATTAGTGAAGCGACAAAAATCCTCCTCAAAATGCTCAAAATCTTTTCTAAACCTTTGAAGATCTTAAAATTTCTTGAAAATTGTAAAAATTGTAAACTTTGATAACTAAATATCTTGCTATTTTTGATCTTATTACCAAAAACTTTTTAAAAATTGCATAATAAAAGAAAAGTTAACAATTCAGAGCACTTTTTGAGCTAATTACTGTCGAAAATGAGCCAAAAACCATCAATTTCCGGCAATCTTCATTGAAAATTTCGAATTTTCAAAAATAAAACGGATAAATCATTGATTTATTCGAATATTCAGTTAAGAAATTAAAGATTTTTAAGGAAATTTCTTTATTTTACAGAGGATTCCGGATTTTCTCTTTAACATCTTTAAATACTTGGTTTAAACTCAGCTGATCAGAGTGGTCTCAAGCGATAAGCCTAGTGGGCGGACCCGTCCGATCTGCCAAGTAAAGCGACATTGGGGTCGGATAGTCGTTGGTTCGCTTTCTTCCAGAGTTTTTCGTTTTTTTTTTTGCATACAATTTGAACTCGTAGATCTAAATCTAGATCTAGATTATTGAACTTTTGATCTTCTGTGGTATCGATCTTAGTATTGGTATTGAACTTTGATCTTCTGTGAGAAAAATTTCCGCTTCACTTATTATTCATCGTTTTCACATGGACTCCAAAGGAGAAGACGGGGGCTTAAAAAGGGGAAAATTTTGATATTGTCTGAAAGTCTTTCCCGAAATTGTTAGATCTTCTAAAAATATTTCCAAAATTATAGTCTAAATAGATTTTTAGGCTTTCCTATAAGATTTTTATTCTTAAAGCCTTTCTGGAGATTTCTGGTGCAGTAGAGCAAAATTTTCAATCGTTCATCATGAAATTTCTCTAAATTTATGACTAAATTTATCAAATTTTGCTTTATATACCGTATTTGTTCGAATAGAAGACCGGGTAAAGAGTATGATCGCATACTCCTGCGTAGCAGCCCTTTTTAACATTTCTTTTCTGCACAAAAGCTTTCAATGTAGTGCTATAGGGCTGGAAAATGACTCAAAAATACGACATGAGCTAACAGATTTTTGAGCCATTTTCCAGCCCTATAGCACTTGATTGAAAGCTTTTATGCAGAAAAGAAATTTTAAAAAGGGCTGCTACGCAGGAGTACGCGATCATACTCTTTACCCGGTCTTCTATTCGAACAAATACGGTAAATATTTCTTTAAATATTTCTTATTTCCTATCTTCGTGAACACCTTTCTGATTGCATTCCATTCAAATTTCCCTTTGAAACTAAATCCAGAAGATCTTTTACTTCCAGAAGACCTTTTTGCCTTTATCAGCTCAAAATTTCTTCATTCTGTTCTAAATTTTGTTTAGAAAACTGACCGCATTTCCAGCTCTCCGATATCCACAAAGCTTTTCAGCTCTCCGATATCCACAAAATGCTTCACCTCCAAGAATTATTCTTTCCCGAATATTTGCGTAAAACGCGTAAATCCTCGTCACTGGATCGTTGTTGTCAATCAGCGAGAGAGAAATCCTCACTTAAACCCCCGCAAAGCGATCATTTTATGTTGGGTCGAACAGCTTCTGGACCGTTTTTCATTGAGAAATCGAAAAAATTGACTTCTGAAATTGAGAAGAACCTTGAGAAGAATCGGGATTTTGATCTAAATTCTCGAAATATTTGTCTCACACACGTCGATCGTCAGATTCGCTCTCGCGAACGGGGATCCGGATCAGCTCCCGCGTCGTTCAGAAAACGTTCGTACAGGAAATTTGAAAAGGAAAAATCGTTAAGGAAAATCGTTAAAAGGAAATCTACTTTCCTTTTAAAACTCATCAAAGTTCTTACACGTTCTCGAATGAAAAAATAAAACTTGTTTTTAAAGCAAAAATTCAAAAAAAAACAAACAAGCCTAAGCTTAAGCCCAAAATTGAATTTCTAGTTAGCGAGACAAAGCCAAACAAAGCCAAGCTTTCTATAAAAACTATAAAACTTCTCAAAATGTTTTTTCTCACCGTTTAATTTCCGTTTTAGGTTTTCTGAAATTTCGAAAGGGAAGCAAGAAGAAACACTCGAATATCGATTTCACCGGAGAAGTGCCGAGACCGGAGAAGTTCGTTTTACTCTTAAAAAAGGCTATAAAAAATCTTTTAGGTTTTACTTTAGATTTTTTCCTAGTTCTAGACCGTTCTGATTGATTTATTTCCATTCTGATTCATTGATCTGATTGATGGTCGTTCTGATTGATTCATCTGATTGATGGCCATTCTGATTGGTGACCATTCTGATTGATTCATCTGATTGATGACCATTCTGATTCATTGATAAACTGAGCTCCATTTTGATCACCCGGAAAAAGATCGTTTTTCGATGGAAACAAAATAGTTTCTAATCCTCAGGATATCTTCATAAAAGAGACATCAAAAAAAATATAAACAAAAGCTTTCCGATTTGTAAACAATTTTTGAGATTTTTTGAGGGATCCATGAAAAATGAAAGGCTATTTTGAGACGTTGGCTTTTTAGAATCGAGTAAAGGAGATAAATAAAGGCATAAAATTTGAGTAAAATAAGGGTGAAAAGTTATGGGAATGCATCGATTTCATTTAAGTATCATCGTTTTTAGTGCCGACGACGCGTTAAGCACGGCGAGCAGTTGTCGGAGTGAGGAGAAAACGGTGAGGGATTCAATTTTATATATCTGTGATATTAGGGGAATCTTTTTCAAAAAGCTAAGTCTAATTGGTAGACTCAATAAAATCAACATCGCCAATCAATTGCCCGACTCCGAAAACCTCTGGGTACAACTTTAAAGCTCAATATCCTGTTTTTGAGCCATCTACAAAAAAAAATCCCTGTGTAAAGTGACTTTGTGCGTTCTTTGTGCATTCTTTGTGCGATTGTGCAATCGCTCAACATCTGACATACGCTCCCAATAGATAGTGTTCCCTTTTGGAATCGGCAACGGAGAAGGAGCGATGAGAGACTGAGCCGAGCCCGACGCTTTGGGCGCCATCCCTGGGACGGATCTCCTCCGAAATCCCGACCGCCCCCGGCACAAATTCCACATACCACACTCCATTGCGTCACAGTACCCGCGACAAACCTAGAAAATATGTTATCTCGTTAAATCCCTATCTGAAACAGCAATTGAAACAGATGAATTTCGATTTTAATGGTAATTTTGGTACTTTAGCTAAACGGCGGTGCGCCCAACTCGAATCATCTAATCGTCGATTCTGATGGGTACACGATTCGCCCATCTGAACAACAAAATGATCGAACGAAAGATCGACCACAATGGAGTAGCTGTTCGTCCAGTGATGATGAGGTTGGAAGAATTGGCTGAGAAATTGGTTAGATCAATCTGTTTTTAATGAGTTAGCTATTCAGAAATCATCTGCTTTCGCTTTACCACAAAAAAAATAATAAAATTCTCAAAATGTTAACCTATTTCAGGATCAAAACGAAATGCAAAAGTCGAAAATCCGAGCGTTGACGATAAAGCCGGCCGAGTTGGGGTCAAGCCAGAGAAATGCATCTGTTGACGAGTTGAGAGATGCCATTGGAAGTATCACGCTGGGCAGGAGTTCCACTTTTGATAAAGTAAGCTGGAGATCAAACTTTTCTAGAAGACTTCGAAGCCGGTTTTTGTTTCGTAGGCGTACTTTGTGCTCAAGAATCTTTCTGCCCTTTCTGGTGCGCTGAAATCCTCATTTTTCTCATAAAACCAACTGCTACTTCGAGAATGAAGTGCACCAGAAAGTGTGCGTTTGAAAATTTTGATCTCAAAATGTACACGAGAAGCAGGTTGAACTCAATTTTAATCGTTGAATCGTTTAGATCGTCTTGGGTTCAACCATTCCTTTGCTTACTTCGAATACTCCATTTTAAATTAGAATATTGCCAAATTCAGGATCCGTGGAGCACCTCGAGTCACCGTACTCCATTCTCGCAATCACTCGGCGGCGGGATGAAGCCGTTGAGAGCGGCGCACACCGGCGATGAGCATTTGAGGAATAAGTTCAATGGTCGGTAGGCGCTTACCATTGAACTAAGCCTAAGCCTAAGCCTGAGCCTGAGCCTGAGCCAGCTTAAAGTTAGCACAGTTTAAATGAGACAAGAGGATTTTCAGAAGCAGATTTTGCGCGAAGCAACGTGCCGCTCAGCTTCTCGGCGTCAATGGGAGCGGCGCCGATTCTCGGAATGGCTCGTGCAAGGCCACGAAGTAACACCCCGACAACGGCTACGCTAATGAATAAAAGGGTAAGGGAAATGTTTGAAAAGCAGAAAAATGGCGATTCGATTACTTAATCGGGAAATTCTTGGCTATCAGGTAGTACCAATGGTTTTTGATCGATTCGATTAGACAAATCCGGCAAGGAAAGCATCCTTAATTGTACGAGTTAGCCAGCAATTCTCAGAATTTCTTTTAAAAATTAAGATCTAAAGCTTTCTAGGACTCAATGGGTTCACAAGATTGGGGTCTTCATTTGAGTGCAGCTTCGAGCGAGCTCGCTCTCTCCTCATCGCTCTCGAATTCGACAATCAATTTGATGCAGGTGAAAGAAAAATATTGAACTTGTGATATAGGGCCTTGGCGGGAATGGGACAAGTGGAGGTGTAGCTCATTGGTATAGCATACTATAGTATAGAATACTCATTGGTAGAGCGTTCGTCTGGTAAGCGAGAGGTCGCGGTTAAGGTCGCGGGTTCGAATCCTGGCGTCGACAGTTTTCTTTCATTCTTAGCTTAAAAGCTGTATTCCTAGTTTTTTTTTGTATTCCTAGCCTATTCCTAAAAAGACTATATGAAATAGGAAATAGGAAATAGGAAATATCAAATATCAAAAATCAAATATCAAATATAAAATAAACTAATGCTATAGTATAGAATATTAACTGTTAAATGAAATTCCAGGCAAACATCTCAGAGCATCGTGTACCCGTTGCAATGGCGATGAATGAGTATTGTCACGCTTGGTACAAGGGAGCTGATTTGACGAGGTGAGTTGAGAAATGATTACAACAAAGAACTTCAAATAATAAACCTGTTTTTAGTCGCGTGGTTCGAGTGTTCGGAACGGTGATGATCTCCTTTGCTTCAACGTCAATCCCGACTCTCACCGATCTCTCGAATAACATCAGTGCGCTCACTTTTCGACTCGTTTCTGCTGAAAGGATTAAAGCTGTGCTGCCGAATAAAGAGGTAACAGGAGGATTTTTATAAAAGAAACTAGCCGAAAGACAGGCAGACACTGCTCTTTTATATATATAATAGATTTCAAATGTAAGAAAATCTTGTAGTTGCTGATATCCGCTGGACACGGAAACGACGAACATCGATATTCCTTTGATCGTCAAGCGCTCTCGAAATGGCTCCGCGAGCAACAAGATACCAAACCTGAGCTACCGTTTTACAATGCTGAGGTTAGATTTTGTATCTTTTCCAGTGCTGGGGTACCGTAAATACTGTAATAGTACCCCAGCCCCATAATGACGGTGCGGAGAGTTGCGTAGTCTAGCTTTGAACGAGTTTTTCTCGACACTGGTTTATGCTACAATGCGCGCTTGGGTATCAAAAAATAGCTGAATTTCAGGGCTATTTTTTGATACCAAAGACGCATTTTTTGAAAGTACGGGCGCTTTGAAAAAAATGAAATACTAAAGCTTAAATCCGAGCTTAAAGCATCCGGTTGCAACTTTTGCGACTACGCGACTGTACGAGGGGGATGGGGTAGCACTATTACAGTATTTATGGTAGGTACATTAAAATCAATATAACGTTCTTTCAGGTACTTCGCTACGAGTTGAAAGAAAACGAAAAAATCGAACCTCCATTGCATCTGGTTTCCTTTTGGAAGACTGAACCCGAGACAACTGATATTTTTATTGATTACAGGTTAGAAAAAAAAAGTAGTAAGCATAAAGGATTAATCTTTTAGATTGAATACCGAATGCCCAGTATCTGCTGCTTTGTTGAACGTGAGCTTTTCAACGAAAGTGAATGGTGGAGTCGAGAATGTGATCACTGATCCGTCGGCTGCTTGGTGAGTTGTAATCGAGTTTGGAAGAGGTGACTAATTGTCTGTTTATAAAAAGCAGAACAATTTTTGTGGCACTTGTACCAAGAAATTGTACTAAAAGCAACAAGGAACAAGGAAATCTACCCTAAAGTCGCGAGTATAAGTTCTGTTTGGTTTTCGTATGCAAATTGACGGCTGTCTCCGGTGCGGTGTGTCGAGGGTTCGAACCCCGCTGCAGCATAACTTTTTTGCTTTTTAAGAACAATAATAGAAGTAAATTTATTGAGGGTTATAGCAATTTTATGCTGTTATTTGTTGCTCCGGGCGTGGCTCGGCGCGTCCGGAGCAACTAGCCTCCTCTCCGGTGCTCAGTCTTATGGATCCCTGGCCAATGGTGATCCCTGGCCTCTTCATCCGGCCAAAGTCCACGTCGACGGTCGAAAGAGATGCTTTCCAGCGTCTTCTTCAAACACTATCGTCTGGATGTATCCATGCACATAACAAATAGCAATGGTGATAGGCTGTCACCCTGTAGTATCCCAGCGCTCCAAGAACAATAATAAAAGTTTATATAACAATAAAAATGTATAAAAACCCAACAAAAAGAAATTCAAAGCAATTAAAGCGAATGGAAATTAAGGCAGAACTTATACTCGAGACTTGAGGGTAATTTTACAATATTACTTTGTACTATAAATGTTGGATTTGTAGTGATGTAAATAATTGATATTTGTGTACCATTGTTGGTGTCAGAAGGAAATTAAAATGAGTATGAAGATTAAAAACCTAAATTTCCCTGCTTTCCAGGCAATCCGACTCATCAACTCTTTGTTGGTCGTTAACCGAGCTTTCCCGGGAGGGACAATTGAATGGATCGTTGAAAGCAAGGCTGAGATTGAGTGAAGGAGTTGGACCGAGTGCCCCATCACATACACATGTCAATTTTCAGGTAAAGGAACAAAGAAAACGGGGTTTGCTCAAGGCTCAAGGCTCAAGGCTAACTCAAAATCAAGGCTAACTTTTAATCGCTTAGGATTACCAGAGAGGATTGTGATAGCTTTCATTTTAGACGAAAGTTTTAATCTTCATTCTAGAACAATTAGGAATAGAAATGCGTCAGCTTTGTTTAAGCACAAAAGCACAAAGGATTTCCCTACTTTACTTTAACACATTCATAACGAAACGGCTCACCAGTGAGCTGTATTAATGACAATTATTTTTCGTGTAGTTTTTAAGGGTTTTTTTGTTTATTTCGCAGAAAGTTTTCGATAACTTTCTACTAGCTTTCAAGAGAAAATTCAGAGCTATCGAATGAGTTTTTTAGCTTAGTTTATCTTTGAATTTACACCAAATTATCAGTAAAACAGTAACGACTACGCGGCTGTACACTCAAAAGTGTCGAATGTGTTAATACATGAGTTTTAAGATACTGTAAAGACAAAGTGAAACTCTGACCGCTTACAGTACTACTCAAGAAGAAAAGCTTTATTTATTTAAATACCTAAATGGAAAGATTGAAAGCTGATGCTTATTCCAGCATATTGTAATATGACAAGTGACTAAAACTTTGCGGTATTCTTGTTCATAGCCTAATAAAGATGGCTTTAGCTAAGAAAGCTCTACATTTAATGAGTCCTAGATTTTTCGATCATCGAAAACCTTTCGAATTCTCGTCAAAAACTATTGTTGACTTCTTGATTCACTTAACTTTCTTCAGTTGATTCCCTCTACGATAAAGAAAGCATACTTAGCGTCTTTTCTTCAATATTTCCCCATAAGTTGTTGTTTTTAAAGCCTAGCGAATCAAGATTGAATTGACGAATGTTTACATAGAATAGAATACATAGAATACACGAACAAAGAACATCGAATTTTTAGTGTTCCGAAGCGTCATTATCCGGTGCAAGTATCCAATTGGATGTCTCGGATACATTCCATCTTTCGATGATTCGCCGAAAACTCTTTGCCGGCAAATATTTCTGCGAACCAGAGATAAGAAAGTGAAATTTTTTTCATTGAAATCTTATATTTCTAAAAGTGAATCCATTTCCAAGTTCCAAATCCAAGTCCAAATCCAAATCGAAATGCACGAACTTCCATCAAATCTAACGAGTATTTCTTCATTGACCCCAATAAATAAACCTGTGCTAAAAACTAAAAAAAAAACCCCGATGCTTACTGGTGTTTTTTTGTGATTCTTTTTCCAATTTTCAATTAATTTATTTGGTGCTCTATTTATTTTTGATTGATTTTGATTGATTTTGATTGATTTTGATTGATTTTGATTGATTTTGATTGATTTTGATTGATTTTGATTGATTACCCTATCATTTGACCCAAAGATTGCTCAGAAATCCTTCCATTTCCCCCCCTTACCAAGAGAATTTGTTTTTTGTGAAACGGTGTGATATTTATTTAAAAGAATATTTTCCTTTTCCAAGATTACGATAAAATATTTGACAAAAGAGTTTTTACAAAAGGCTATAAAGTTCTAAACTTGAGAGTAAAATGTACCAGAGTAAAATGTAATTTCTCAAGGATCTACCGCGTACCTGCGCGTTTCTAAAGCAAAAAAAAAGTAGCCAGAAAGGTGTCTCAAAGAAACGCCAGCCTTTCTAACACTCTCAATCTTTTTGAAAATTAGCATCAAATGCGCTAGAAGACATGCGTTTGTCTGCACAAAGAACAGCTTTAATTTGGTCATTCTTCTAGTTATAACAGTTACGTTTGAGTGAATAAATCAATTCAAAAACTGTATTAGATTACGATGACGGATTACAGATTTAATTGAGAATCGGTTAGATTTTATTAATTGAATTCCTTGAGAAATTTCTCAGGCATCTACCATTTAGCATCAAACCTATAAATGCTTTTCAAACGCCAAATAAGATGATTTTTTAAAGTGATAGTTAGATAGTGATAGTTTAAAGTTCGATAGTCAAAGTTTAAGGTGTTAGAAGGAATTGGTGGCTCTGATGATGGTCAAGACACACTTTTATCATTGGCCCGGGTTCTAGACTTCATTAGACCTAGCAAATACTAAGTTTCACCGCAAAACTTTCGCAATCCTGTTCTTTCAAATTTCTTTCTTAAGTTCTTTCAAATTTTCCCTAGCTGTTTGTTTTTTTTAGAAACTAGATTTAATTCCGCATTTGCTCATATAAAAATGATTTTGATTGAATCAATAACCAAAATAATCCTAAAAATTGTTCACACACTATCCAGTTTTTTCCGATCGACTAAAGTTTGACATTTCTAAAATTGTGTAGAGTTTACCGCCTCATCAGTTTCATCAGTTTCTAGTTCCAAGTGTTTCAACCTTTCAAACTACATTCTATCTATCGCCTTTTCGATCTTTCCAAATTTTATGGGTCAAAGTTTGAGCTGGCGGCGAGGAGAGCAAGGAATTTGCATCTCGACAAACAAAAAGGTGTGAGTTCCCGGTTGGAAAGTGATGAGAAAGAAAGCGATGGAATGCCGATGAGTACGTGACAAGAACAAAAAGGAGTTGGGAGGAAAGAGAAGGCGAACTGAAGAAGGACTGGCCTGTTGGTCAACGAGGTCCCGTTTCATTTCGCCTTTACAGCACGATCCTCTTGTCTTTTGGACATTGCTTATCTTGGCGACAGGGTTGGGGCTCTTGTTTTCCTTTATCACTTTCGGGAGTGGTGCGAAAGGGTGTCCTAAGCATGTATGCTTACACCCAGCCGTCTCTCTTCACATCCAAACTTCAAAGAAGCAATATTTTGGGTAAACCTGAATTTAAAAGAGAGAATCCTCGAACCGAACTGTTGTCTTTCTTTGAAAAAATTGACTCTTAATCACTCATCTCTTTAAAGGAGTGATTAAAAGAAAAAAAAACTGACACCGAATTAGGAAAGATTCTTATTAAAACCAAATTGTCGACAGGTGGATGTAGTAATAAAAATTTCTATCTATCGCGTTTCCGATCTTTCCAAGTTTGATGGGTCAAAGTTTGAGCTGGCGGCGAGGAGTAATAAAAATTTGGATGAATTTTGTAATTTAGAAATGGATAAAGTAAATCGATTTATTGGGTTGTCCAGTTATGAATGCGCGTTTTTACTATTTTGTAAATTTCTCAAGATATCGAACAGATGCATATGAGTGTTATATATCATTCGAAAGCTGAAGATCTCCTCTACATTTTGGAATAAAAAGTTTTTGAATTCATTCAACTTTTTGGGAAATTGACTGCTCAAAGGGAGAGGTTGCTTTCGAAAAAAAAACCCTTTCAGCTTAGCTATTCCTCAAGTTTGATGGTGTAAAATAACCGCCCAGAAAAGAAAAGAAAAGTAAAGATGCTCTGAAATTGTTATATTCTAAAAAAAGGTTGTATTGCTATATCTATTAGCCAAATATCAAACGGTTAACTCAATTTGAGCGGAGCCAAAACTTGATCCAAAGACACCCTTCCATTTTTTGGCCACCTCTTCTTCTGTGCAGTCAATTTGCCCAAAAGCTGGACAAATTCAAAAGCTTTTTATATTAAAATGTAGAGGAGATCTTCAGCTTTCGAATAATACTCATATATATCTTTTTCTTGATTTCGGTATCTTGAGAAATTTACAAAATAGTAAAAAACGCGCATTCATAACTGGACAACCCAATATCAAGACAAAATCAGCTTTTCAAGCTTGACTTTTTCGGGCGGTTCTCGTTTGGAGGAATCTGGGATTTGTAAGAAAAATAGAGCAAAGTTTCGGGAGAGAATTGACCCTCGCGAATTCGGCTATAGTGGGCTCCGAACCACAATGCCTACTCAGCCATTCACTGCTTGATTCCACTCGTTGATTCGAAATAAGAACAGGTATCTATTGGGAGCGTGTGCCAGATGAAGCGCGATTGCGTGCGCGCACAAAGAACACCTCGTCATTTACACAGCGATTTTTACTTTGATGATATAAAAAGAAGATATTTGGCTATAAATTTGTACCCGCGGGTTTTCGAGGTCGGGCAATCGATTGCCGGTGTTCATTTTATTGAGTCTGCCAATTGGAATGATCAAAATTCATAAAGAGCAAAGAGTAGAAAGTACCATAGATAAGCAATGCTTTATCATCTTGGGAAATGAAACTTGAAAGGTTCACTATCCATTGGCACACACAATTAGATTGTGTTTCTCTCAGCGATCGTTTCAGATCAGGTGAAAGCCCGTTTCATGGCGCTAATGAATGTAGTGTTTTGTTTTTCAGATCCCCTTTGATTTGTCTAGACGTTCGAAGTCGACTCTTCCTGTTTCACACTCCACTTTACCCAAAAAAAACTGAAACCATTTTCCATTTTCATTCTCTTTTCAAAAGCACCTCTTCCAATAATAGAAAAGAATCAAAAAAAAAGAGAAAAAGATGGGGAAAAGCCTTTCCTGATTTGCAACACAAGCCCCGAACGGTCTGGAGATGAAAAAAAGAGGGACGGGATGGCGTGGGAACTGTGGGGGAGACCTGGAGTCGTTCAGAACTAGCAACAAAGGCCTGGAGAAGGGTTTTGTTAGAAGAGACATTGTTCACACCTTGCTCAACACCATGTTCACACACGAGAGAGAAACACAAATACCCCCACTCCCACACTCCTGGAAAGAAAAAAGTGTATTGGAAAAAAGTGTTGCGAACGGGTTTCCCATTCAATAGTCTCCCTTGGTTTTTTGACCCCGAATGGTCTCCGAGAGAGTTCAACGAATTTTTTTTTGATAAAGGTTTTCGATTGCACACGACTTAGACTAGAGACTTTTTGAGTCGATGGGAAGTAGGTCAGAATGCTTTTAGAGGGCTTGAAAGGATGGAAAAGTAGAATTCGAACTTTATTTGTCGATCTGATTTTCAATATAGGATTACAAGGGAAAAACGAGATTTGGCCATTTCAACGGCTACTTTTTCAGGATTTCTCGGCTACAAGAAGGTAGAATTCTTAAACTAGGCAAAACTCAACGTGAGGTTTTGTCTGGATATCTGATGCACTTTATAGAATCGGATATGAGGAATCCGAATCTGAAATTAAAATCTGCCAAATGAATTGATGAAAGTTCAATCAAAAAGTTAGCGTAGCTTAGGCCTCAGACAATGGACAATTCCACTGGACAAAAATGGACAATTCTACCGGACAAAAATGGACAATTCTAATAGACAAAAATGTACAATTCTACTGAACAAAAATGTACAATTCTACTGGACAAAAATGGACAATTCTACTAAACAAAAATGGACAATTCTATTGAACAAAAATGTACAATTCTATTGAACAAAAATGGACAATTCTACTGAACAAAAATGGACAATTCTACTGTAAAGCAATTGTGGTTGCTTGCTTCAATTAAGCTTACGGTAATTGGAGCACGAAGGTACATTTTAGAAAAGCATCTTTGCTCTTCATCTTCAATATTTAACCTTCAATAAAATATTTAACAAGACTTCAAGACTTCAAGTACAATAATTCTACAGTTTACAGTAAGACATTAGATAAAGATCATAATCTTAGCTAGACGATGTAACCTTTCGGAGTGTAACTTTTCTTTACTTTTCACTTTTCCCTTCATGTACCCGATGAAATTGTACTACTATTTTCGGGGGGAAAATCTCAAGAGTATCAAGTAGTGTGTTTGTCTATTTGTTGAAGATATCAAGAGCCTCATTAGGATTGAAAGCGGAAGTTGAGTGAAGATATTGAGATATCTCAACTCGTCGACTTTTCACACCACATCGTGGATCGTTTTCACCTTTTCGATGAATGAGGGATTCTCGAGATTGTGCAAATTGCGAGTCTCGACTTTTCACTTCTTTTTCCACCTTTTTCCACCTTTTTTCACCGCGATTGAGTGCCCCCAGGGACTATTCATTGGATAATTCTGATTTCAGCTCGATTAAGCTGTACAGATCTACAAATAATATAAAGTTATTAGCTTAAAACAAGTAACGAATTGCTAGTAACGAATTGCTGGGTTACTGTAGCTAAACAAAGTAGCTTGCCTAAAATCACCTTTAGTTATCGTAAACTAAAAACCGGAGCTACTGTAGGGGCTTTGCGAGGTGACACAATTAGTATTAGCTTAAACGAACGAATTGCTGGGTTACTGTAGCTAAACAAAGTAACCTGCTTGCCTAAGATTCACCTTTAGTTATCGTAAACTTTAAAAATCAGAGAACTACTGTAACTAGAGGACTTCTTTTCTAAGATGCACCTTTAGTAAGCCTGTAAGCCTATAAGCCTGTAAGCCTTTATCTTTTCATTTTTGTCTAAAAACCCTATCTTTTAGCTTTCTCAAAAGCAAAACTTGAGCACAAGAAAGCGAAAAATTTAACACCAAAGAACAAAAGCGGTGAAGACAATCAGATGATCGTTTCCTTTTTCTTTTCCGTTTCCGTTTCTTGTTTATAGGTCTGTTGTGTATATTTGTCTTCTAATCCAATGCATAACCATTTCTCTTCATTTCTAAACAAAGACAACGACTTATGATTGGAAAAGGAGATCAGACAGACACCCTTCTTCGAGGAAAAGAAAGAAAACGAAAGCTTTTCCACTCACAAAGCTTCACACGAAGAAGTGTTAATTCACATTTCACACTTCGCAAAGAATATTGCAACTGGAAAAGTTGTATAGAAGATTTGTTGATCGTTGGGGAAACGTTGGGGAAATGGGGAAACGTTTGTGGGGTTTTTGTGGGGAAAATAGATTTCAATTTTGGGTGATGATCATAAAAAAAACAAAAGCGTTTCGTTCCCATTTCCCCAATGATATAAAAACTGTGTTTATCAAGTGAGATATTGTTTCTACTTGAAAATACTATCGTTTTGTTAAATTGGAAAAGGTATCGCTTGGAAAAGCTGCCGTATCCTGGCTGCAGTGATGGTAGAAAACTGTTTAATCAATGAAATCAAGTTGAACAGATCCATAATTTAAGTTTAAGCCAGAAGTTAAGTCGCTCAGGAGTCAGGGGAATCGAATGCCGAATCGCTCAGGAGCCAGGGGATCGAATACCGAATCGCTCAGGAATCAGGGGAATCGAATGCCTTGTGGAATCTAATGCCTTGTGGTGTAATGGTTGCCTGGTAAGCAAAAGGTCGCGGGTTCGAATCCCAGCAAGGCACAAATTTTTGATCTGCCCTAGTTCCGACTCAGAAAATGAAAATAAAGTTTAAAAGAATCAGTTACCGTACTTTTCAGAGCAAAAGAAGTTCTATTTTTTGGTTCAGAATGCTTGCTCTTGGCCTCTAATTGGTATTAAGTATCGAAAAATTTGATATTTCGGTATTAAGAATATGATAAACCTAAACGTTTCTTTATTTTCTAAAAGGTACCTACAAAAAGCTACCGTATCCTAAGTTACAATTGCTCTTTATAGAAGATATCGATCCCGATCATAGCCACAGTTTGATCCATTCACCGGGTTCAGAGGCTCTCTCTCTCTCTTGCGGGATGTCCTTTTGATCTCTCCAAAAAGGGATCGGGTGAGTACTTGAGTCCTTTCCTTTCTCGGTCCCTTCAGTCTTGCCTCTTCTCTTGATTCCCCTGGGCGGTGCTGTGTCCCAGTCCTCCCCTCCCCTCCAAGAGTCCCTCGAAGAGTCTTGCTTCAGTCCTTCCCTCCTTCTTCACATCCAAACTCATCCCTCTCTTTTCCTTTCTCATTCCCATTCCAGCTTTCATTCATTTTACAGTATTCGAACGCTCGATTTGAACGCCACTCATTTCCCCTCGAGCGACTTCCCCAACGACGATGCACTCGAAAAATCTGTGGCTCGTCTTTTGCTTGGTACTTCCAGGTAAAAATTTGTGAGAAAATCCTGAGTTTGAGAATGGAAATTATCAGAAAATTCTATTAATTAAAGTACACTTTTAAAAACTGAATAGCGATAAAGAGGTTTTTAATGAGATTGAGTTAAAAACAAAAGTACAAACAAAACTTCTTTCAAGTTGAGCCTCATTTTTTTGATTTATACTTTCGAAAGCTCAATTTCAAGCCAATTCAGCAACTCTAGGTTTGGTTAAAACGGCTGCTACTCAGCTACTACCATAACTGAAAATTTCTTCTAATGTTTGGAGAACCATAGATACGAGCTGTTGTCTTGAGATTTGATACGATAAATCTCAAAGTTTTACAATCCTAGATTAGTAAACGAATACTTATTCAGAATAGCTATGTTGATAACATGAAATTCCAGGTATTGCATAGAATAAAAAGGTTTTAAACAAAATAATCTTATGAGTATTCCAAACCTCAAAAGTTTGATAAAGCGCTTGATTTTACTTCGTACTCTTGGTACTCTTGGTACTCTTTGTACTCTTTGTACTCTTGGTACTCTTGGTACCCTTTGTACTCTTTGTACTCTTGGTACTACTGATTTCTAGCTGAGATTTGATATCACGGTGAAATTGAATTGAAAAACTTTATTTGATTACTATTGGATCTTGTTGAGAATTTCTATTTGAGAATTACACCTCCCCCATCTGACCTATTCCATTCAAATCAAAACTATTCCATAAAAAATCGGGATGTCAAGCCTTGTTCTCGATGAGTTCTCGATCCTTGTACTGAATGATGTCCAAATCTGGGTCGCTTTCCTCAGATTTCATTTCCTTTTTCTTTTTTTGCAGCCGGTCCCTTTTTAAACTCTCTTTCACCATTGAGAGATCTAGTAAAGAAAAGGAATTGAAAAGAAAAGAAAAGACAACAAATGTTTGATCTATCTTCTTCTTCTATCTATCTATCTATCTTCTTCAAAACATTCCCTTTTGTCTCTGTGCAAGCTTTGTTCAGATTTTTGCTTCAATTTGTAAAAAGAAGTTTCATTTTGGGGTTGATATAGCTAGAGTTTTAAAGTAGAAAGGAATTGAAAAGAAAAGACAACAAATGTTTGATCTATCTTCTTCAAAACATTTTTGTTGTGAACGATATTCAAAAAAATGACGACTGAAAAGCAGTGAGCTTGTTTTTTCAACTAGTCTTGCCTAATAATTGAATTTTAATTGCAAATATTAGGTTTATTTTTAAAAAAATCTTATTCCTCATTGGTTGAGGTTAAGTGATTTTTTAAGACTTATTTAAAAGACTTATTTAAAAGACCTATTTAAAAGACTTATTTAAAAGACTTATTTAAAAGACTTATTTAAAAGACTTACCCAAAAGACTTATCCAAAAGAATTCCTTGATTAGCATTTAAAAGCAAATTTTTCTAGTACTTGGTAGCCCGGCAACGACCGAACAATTGCGACAATGGATCGTCGCTAATCGAAAAAGTCTCCCGGAAGGAGTCGGAGAGGGAGATCTCGCACAAACCATTTTGAGGTAAATGGATAAAAAGATAAACTAAAAAAAGAGATAGACCGCTTGATAAACAGCTTGATAAACAGCTTGATAAACCGCTTGATAAACCGCTTGATAAACCACAATGATCAAGCAAATTCGAACTCTTTTTACTTGTTAACAGTTAACAGTTAACTTTCTTTTCTTTCAACAAAAATTGATTTGAAAACCTAACAGAGAGATGACCACTCATAAACTTATTATTTGGACGTTTGAATGCTTAATGCTTAAAGCTCAAGTTGTAGTACTTTGAAGGTTTGCTTGGTCATCTCTCTGTTAGGTTTTCAAATCAATTTTTTTTCAAATCAATCAATCAAACTTGAGCTTTAAGCATTAAGCATTCAAACGTTCAAATAATAAGTTTATTATTCAGAATTATCAAGAAATATTTAGGCTTTTTGGTTTTGGCACCGACTCGACGCTGCCGACAACGACGACTACACAAAAAGCGGTGACAACAACGCCTAAAGTGACCACAACTCAGGCGCCTGTTGACAATAGAGATGGTTTGTTTTTGAGAGCTATTTCGATTTTTTTTTCTTTATTGGTAATGTTGGTATAGGAATAGGAAGGATATTGTTGACTTCTTGATTCACATGACTTTCTTCAGTTAATTCCTTTTACGATAAAGAAAGCATACTTAGCGTTGTTCTTTTCTTCAGTATTTTCCCATAAGTTGTTGTTTTTAAGGCTTAGTAAATGAAGTTTGAAGTGGTTTATTTGATTTCAAACTGTTTTTTTTTTAAATCTTTGCTTTCTGATTTAGAACCAGAGACAGAATCGAAGAATCAAAGCATTTTCCCAGAGCCAAGATTTCCCAATGTTTTTCTGTGTTTTGAACACTGAAATTCTGAAGAGAAAAAAAGGAAAACAAAGGGATTCTCAAGGGAAATGACGGGCGGTTAAGAGGCCGTGAAAGGAAAATGAAAAGAAAGGGGATCATCGGATTGAAGGAGGCGCTGAACACCCCTGTGAACCCCTTCACCCATCTTTTTTTTCTTAAAAAAAAAAGAAAGATTCTCGTCGTGCATCTTCCCGGCTCTTTTGCACGGCTCTCTTTTTTGTTTTTTCTTCAGATGGATTTGGTGTGAGGAAAGAAAGAAAAGCCCGTGAAAAAGCAACTAAACAAATAGCCCGATTTCCCATCTTTACGGTCAATTGAGCACCTCATTTCTTCATCTAGAAGCAGACTAATGAAATATGAAATACTCAATTTTGCCAACACTGTTTCAAAAGCTGAGTTCTTCTAAAAAGATTTCTTCTAAAAGATAAAATTTCTTCTAAAAAGTGTTTCAAAATTCGGATTTTCCGTTGTTCCATAAAAATTTTATATTCGAATAATTTCTTAGAATTTCACGGGAACTTTTTTTGCACTAGATCTCATCTCTTAGCTCTTTCAACAGTTCTCCAGTAGAAGCAAAATGAAAACAATTAGAGCTGACCCAACTGGCTTTTCGTCTCTCAATAGAAAACATGATTCGGCTATCATCGGCTATCATAGTTCCCGTTAGTTGATTCTACAGTGAACCCAAGTAGTTTCTAGCGTCACCGTACAGCTTTAGGCACTTTAAATCATGACTTGGCTACTGTAAACCGTAACCCAATTAATACGGTAACCTTGGAGAGCTAGACCGGCTTACGATATATCGAGAGTTCGAATACTGTAAAATGAATGAAAGCTGGAATGGGAAGGAGAAAGGAAAAGAGAGGGATGAGTTTGGATGTGAAGAAGGAGGGAAGGTAATAGTAAGGAATGGCAAAGAAAGATTTCCGAATAGGGGATTGAACCCTTGACCTTTCCTACTCGCTTTCGCTTTTCGGAGAGATGCTTTAACCACTGAGCTATCGGGTATCTGTTTACCAGGAAAGAAAGAGGACAAGGGAGAAGAGAAAGGAAGAAGAGAAAGGAAGAAAAAGAAAGTTTATCAAGTGCCCAAGTCATCTAAATCAAGTAAAATATGATATTATCTTTAGATAATTTTTTTGGCAATGCTCAGAGATTATCCATTAACTATGTTTTTAACATTAACTATGTTTTTATCTATTTTATCCAAGGGTTTTGGGATTCATGAGACTGTAGATGGGTTACTGTAGCTGTAGAACAAGACTGGATTTTCCTAGAATGAGTTTTCTATTGCACATGATTAGAGAATAAGCAGGCGTTAAGCTGGACACCCATAAACCATGTGCCGCTTAAACGACTAGAGTCTTAAACCTTTCGCGGACAATGTCGAGCTCTTGCTTGTAGGCGATTCCCTTGTACTCATGTAAGACGTCGCAGAGTATTCGACGAGTGATCGTCGATCCAGTCTTCGGAATGATGCAATATTCCAATTCCAATTCCAGTTCACAATCAATTTCCATAAAGAAATGCATAATAACGATTTATTTAAGAAAACGTTTTGGATTCTCGAAAATAGTCGAACTTATTGAACTTATTGAAATCAAGTGGGATCAGGGTCGAAGCCGACTCTATTTGAAATACTTAGAACTACAAAAGATCAGGGTCGAAGCCGGGAGAATCACCTTTGAATTGGGGTGCTTGAATTTCGGGAATGTTCGAGTGCCCTGTGTGATCATCCTCAGGTATTCCCTTTCTTCTTTTTTGGTGTGTAAAAACTCATTGAAATCTCCCCAGTGTCCCCAAAATTGAACCGCACTCGAACACCCGCGCCGATTCACTATGGGAAGAAACATTTATTTGGCTTCCTTTTTCAGCCATTCAAACGACTCTATTTGAAATACTTAGAACTACAAAAATCGACTAGACTAGAGGCTGACTTGATGGAAACATTGATACAATGAGAATATTTTTGTGAAACTGTGAATTGGTGAATTGCTTGGAATGATGAAGACTAAAGACTGTAGACTGACTCAAAGTTAAAGATTGATTTAAGTAAAATCAGATCAACTTATGCTCTTGTGCTCTTGTATTTAGTTTGTCTCTAAAAAAAAGCTGAAAAATTCGCCTTTAAAATTTCAACCTTTCAGTGTGTCCATTCAACGCGGATCCATTGATCATCAGCGGTGATTTCACGTATTGTCGCCCGTCGACTCTCGGCGATTGCCCTGTTGGTTATCTCTGTGATCAGAGCTTTGTGCTTGGACGGTGAGTTTGTGCAAAGTTATTTGGTACTTATCTATCACAAAACATTCTATCAGATACCTGAAAAATCTATCAAATATCTATCAAATACTTGAAAAAGAACAGCTTTCAAATGCAAATTTGCGAGTTGTAAGTGTTGTTCTCCCAAGTTCTCCAAATCTACTCAACCAGTCAGATTTCTTGGTTCATTATCCAATTTTACTGTATTCTTTTAGTCATACTTACAGTACTGGACAATGAAATACGATATTTGAAAAAAGATCATCACTTTCGTGCGTCTGTAACTCTCTTGTCTTTGAGTTTAACCTATTAGTGTTATACATTTTCTGAAAGCTCTTTTCAAGCGCTACACAATAGTAATATTAATATTTAGAAGTACGGTAAAGACAAGGGAGCTACAGACGCGCGAAAGTGACAATCTTTTTTCAAATATCATATTTCATTGTCCAGTAGTGTAGATCTACTGCATAAAATTAGCTGAATTAAAAGCCGTTATTAAAGATTTTCTAAAATTACAGCTCAATTTGCTGTCGTGACACTCGGCCAAAGCCACCAGCTCCAAATCGACCACTCGGTGAGTAAATCGAACTTTTTAAGGAAGATAAATTGCTAGAATTTTGAATTTTTCTAGTTTTTCTAATCAGTTTTGAATCCTTTCTTAATAAGTAGTCGAATTGTTGCTTAGACAAACGATAAGAGATCTCGAAAGACTTCAAGAGAACCCCTTCACCCCTCAAGGCCAAATATTGACGTTTAGTTCGCGCCTTTTTCTTTTCCTTTTCTCTTTCTTTCCCTGTAACAAATGATTGAGTGATATTGAGAAGATTCTGAAGAGAATTTCGAGATTTTGAGAAAGAAACGGAAAAGGGAGAGGGTCGATCGTTTCGAGTGAATGCTCGTGCACGCATTCACACCGCAAGCTGCAATCATATCTATTTGAGGGGACTCAGAAAAGATCTAATAGCAAGGGTTTAGTTAGGTTTCATTTCTCGAGAGAAAAATGCATTTGAAGTTTCGACAATTGTCGAAAAATCGATCCCTAGCCAAAGAAGATAGGGAACCAAATTTAGAGAGATAGGAAACCAAATTTAAAGAGGTAGGTTCCCTATCAAATTTGGTTATCTAAATTTGGTTCCCTATCTCTGTTCCCTAAACGTGGGCGAAGAAAGACCAGCGATGGCCTAAAGGGTAGTGTGTCAGACTACAGAATCCGTCCCGGTCCTTGCGGTCGGTTCGAGTCCCTCCAACGCCAAACTGTTTTTTTAGAGACAGACAAATACCATTTCTAAGTGCTTATTGACACCAGGATAAATTATTGATCTGTCAATTCTTAATCTAAGTGTTCCTAAACTTATAGAGTGAAGCCTCAATGCTCAGTGCTCAATCTGTGTCCTACTTACAGTGCTCTGTTAAAGATTTTATTAAGTTTATAATAAAATCTGTCGAGCAAGTAGAACACATTGAAGAGCTGAGCAATTTGAGCAATCTTCTACTTACAACTCTTTATTGTAACCCATTTGAGCTTTAAAATTCATGAAATCAATGAGTACTGTATTTGTATCCTATTAGAGATCCTATTAGTATCCTATTAGAGATCAGTATCCTATTAGAGATCTTTAATGTACTGGCTTTCTATTTACAGCCACTGGGCTTTCTATTTACAGTATCTCTTTAGTAATTTTAGATTTATGTAGTCACTGGTATTCTATTTACAGCTCTAGTTACCGTTTCTGTTTAAAGCTCTAAAAGCGTTTCTGTTTAAAGCTCTGTTTAAAGCTCTAAACAGAACCCCATTATCTCGTTAGAGTTCTTAGTTAGACTTTATACAGCCATTGGTATTTTATCTTCAGCTCTACTTCCCGTATTTCCATGGAACATTTAAACTTATGCATTCATTGATATTCTCTAGCTCCACTTACCGTTTCCATTTCCAGTTTCCGCCTCCTCAGCTCGTCCACCATTCGTTTGGAACACCGTCACTCCAACAGTTATCTCGAATGGTCAAACAAAGCTCTCCTCATCGACAACAAAGAACACGCCTTGGTACATAAAGAAGGATAGGTGTGTGGCTAATCCCCGACAAATGAACACAGGGCACTGTACTTGTATGCGACTTGTACTTTTGTGCTGTGATATGGCTTTTTTATCCACTGCACTTGTGTCACTTGCGCACAGAGTTTATGTTAAACTAACAAAGAAGTTCAGTTGGATTTATGTTGCACTAGTATACAGTATGCTTTACAATATGAAACACTGGAGTGTTCTTTTCAAGTGCTCGTTTTCTAAAGCGTGTCAAAGATCACCGTAATCTTGCCAATCTATTTACCGTTTGGTAGCCACAGAATTCGGTAGATAAAAGAAAGACAAGCTTACGGTAGTCGAGAATTTGACATTTTTTAAAAAACAGTATTTGAGACACACTCATACTTATAGTTTATAAATCATAGCATTACCTTGCACCTATTATTTGCCTTACAGTATGCCCTACTGTAGGCCTTGCCTACTGTAGCCTGCTACAGTATGCCCTACTGTACCTACAGACCGGTACTGTATACAAAAAGCGCACATTAGGCCTGTTTGAATAGTTGCACTATATTGAGAATGTCTCTCTCTTGCTTTAGCACTATGTCTTTGTGCTTTGCGTTTGAAAAGTGTTACTCATTGAGAAGCTCTAGGACTGGATGGACATCAGCCTACAATCGCGTCACTCCAACACAAGAAACCTATGCTCCATCAACCGAATCGACCACTCAATCAACCACCACTCCGCCGACAACCACCACAACAACGTAAGGGAAAGCTGTGCCAGAATGAAAGTAGCTACCGTAAATACTGTAATAGTACCCCACCCCCGTCGTACAGTCGCGTAGTCGCAAAAGTTTTTAGTATTTCATTTTTTTCAAAGCACCCGTACTTTCAAAAAATGCATCTTTGGTATCAAAAATGAGCTGAAATTCAGAGCTATTTTTTGATACCTAAGCGCGCATTGTAGCATAAACCAGTGTCGAGAAAAGCGCGTCCAAAGCTAGACTACTCAACACTCCGCACCGTCATTATGGGGGTGGGGTACTATTACAGTATTTACGGTATGAAAGTACTCAAGCATTAAGACTGAATATTTTTAGCTTTGATTGAAAAAGCTGATGGGTATTCAGCTAAGGTTATCGCGCTAAGGATATGACTTACAGTGATTCTAAACTTTTCAAAAATCAGATTTCAGTCGACCGACTTACTTGCTGTAGTGAAATATCAGTAATTTTCGGCTTTTCAAGTTGCAATACTAGATTAAAATTAACCAAGCAGTAACGATTTCCAAAAAGATGTGAAAGAGAGAGCAACGGAAACGATGACACGTCGATTACCTAGTTGAAAAAGAAGATCAATACTAGATTAAAATTAACTAGGGAACTGTTTTAACTTAAAAACCAATTTTCGAAACCGGACCTAGCTACAAAATGTCCCCGTAGAATCCTAAGAAACACGTATTTTTTATTTTTTCCCTATGAGCCCTGGTTTTCGAGTAAAACGTGTTCAAAGTTCAAAGTTTCGGCAATTTTTGGTAAACCGCTCACCTATAAGAGAGCGCCACGCCGATGGGTAATAGAAGTAGCTGTGGCCTAGGGGGTGATGGGATAAACTCTAAAACTTATCCCCTTTCTACTCTCGGGTTCAATTCCGCTTGCGGTCAAGCTAGCTTTTGTTTTTTTTGGAAAACTTCTTTATGATTTTTCTGATTTATGAACATTGTAGTGTTCTTATATTATTATAGTGTTCGAAAAAGACTTCTTTATGATTATTATAGTGTTTTTAAAGCGGCAATTAGCTATTTATTAAAGTTTTTGCCATAGCTTCCATAGAAAATCAGTGGTAAGTTGAAACAGTTCCCTAGTAAGCTGACTTCCCTATCGCGAGCTGACTTCCTTATTGAAAGGGAAGCCAGTCAACTTACTTCCCCTTATTGGAAAGAATAGTATAACTGAAAATATGACTGAGTTAATGGGCTCAATATCTACTACATCTTATAATTTCCTATTTCAACTAAAAACATTTTAGTACAACCACACCGACAACGACGAGCACCACGACCGAATCGACAACTCCATCAACAACAACCGTTGCTTCCACTCAACCACCAACTGGAACAACCACAAAGAAATTGTGAGTAAAGAGTGAAGCCATAAAGTCTTAGAATATTTTCAAAACCTTCAAAACCTAATTCTATTTCCAGGAACCCATGGGCTCGCATGTGGACAACGACAATTCCCCCAGTCTCCTCGGTGAACGTCTCTGTGCTTCAGGCTGGCTCAATTCGGACATTGAAAGTCAGTGCTCCAACTTCTAACAACAAAATAAACCCAATATTCAGGATGGTCAACAAGAGATGGTCTCGGCAATCACTTTAGTCAACGATAATGGTTTCTATTTGTTGATCGACACCGGATCCTCGTCGGACACCGAGCGATTGTTGCATAGTTCGTTTTCGCGCTCGCACTTTCTCTCAAATTTCATTGGAGCATTAATATACTAGAAAAACATTGTAGCATCAATATATTGAAAATCATTTTATTGTAATAAGGGTACAGCCGAATTTAAGGCAAAAATAGATCCCAAAAATTTGGCTATGCGATAAAGACGGCTCAGCTCGCTAATCTTTTGCTTCACTGTACAAATGCGAAAAGGGAAACGCCTTATGCCAGACGGGTTGGCCAGAAAGCGAGCGATTGTGTGCGCACACCAAGAACAGCCATTTACAGGATTTTTCTTTTGCTTTTTTGATGGTATAAAAAGATATTCAGCTGTAAATTTGTACCTGGGGGTTTTTGGGATCGATTGGATCGATTGAATTGATTGGATCGGTTGGTTGGCAATCGATTGGAGCTGTTCATTTTATTGAGTCTAAGGCAAGAGAGTTCGAAAAAAACCAAGTCAAAATACAAAGAAATATTTATTTAAATGAATTCACAGATAGAATTCTCATGCAAAATAAACTATAAGTTGTTATTGATGGGATTTCGGTTTTTAGGACAACTTTTTGCGTACCTGCGGATCGTTGTGGGCCGTTCTTTCCCAGAGTTTACTATTAGGTTTCTCCCAAATTCCCCCTTTCCCCCTCACTCGTCCAATCCAACTCCGCGCATCCAATTTATGCGCTTCTCGTCCATTTTGGTCTCTTTCTTCGATGGGCATTCGATGAGAAAAGTGGGCTAAGAAGAAAGAGAAATGAAAAGGGAATAAAGGCTATCTCCAAAAGAGAAGATTTACCTTCGATGGACCTCCTTCTCTTCTTTTATTTTCTTCTTTTTTTTGGAAGATTCACTCAACCCACTTCAATTCACCGACAGCTTTTCTTGAGAAACGTTTTCTTCTTGAGAAATTTGATCTTCGAAACTGATGAAACTATTTTTGTTTTTGTCTGAAAGTTGGAAAGATTCAAGGTTTAGCTGTTCTTTTCGTTGATTCGATTTTTAAGAAATCTTTTTCTACGGCTAAGGGGAAAGCCTATCTTTAGGGTTTTTCCAAAGCCAAGCCCAGTCAAGCCAGAAGCCAGGTCTTGACTTGCAGAGCTTCCAGCCTGTTCACCAAGACTGGCTTATTCTGGTCCGGCTTACAATTCAATAATCCTTATCGAAACATCACTGGCCTTCATTTTTCTTATAAATATGTGCTTTTGTGTCATGAATACTTTTGCTTAAATGCTTAAATGCATGCTTAAATGTACTGTAAAATCCAATATTCTACAGTAAGCTGAAATGATAGTATTCAGCCTTAATATCTCTGCTTTACCTAAACAACTTGAAAACTATTTAGCCTTAGGCCTGAATACTCTCGTCCCTGAGCCTAAGCCTGAGTCTGAGCCCTGAACCTGCGCCAGGCATGCTATTGAGAGCTTACAATGAGAGACCAGCGCTTACAATAACTCACTCACTAATCTTTGAACAAGTTTCTTTGTGATTAGCTTATCTTTCACTGTTCAATCTTTCTTTCAATCTTTCTGTTCACTCGTCCTATCATTAACTCAATAATTCTCAGCGATGAACTCAGCCGATCTCGATCTTCCCTCATCATGTAAATGTATTCGACGCCGAAATCCGAAACCCTATGCGGCGATCACCACTATTTTCGATCTCGGTTTTCTGACTGCCGCTTTCATGCAATGCATCCATTTCTTCAAGCAGCAAAAGTAACATTTACTAACAATCTAAAGCAATGAAGAACCAAAGCTTTAAACTGGCACTGTTTGGAAAACCCACCTCTTTCAATGAAATTATTAAACTGTCCAGAAAGTCTTTTCGTTCCTTTTCGTACTTTCGTTTAAAACGAACAAATGCACCAATTGAACTACGGTTTATTTCATTAGAAAGACCATTTATTTTTCTGTAAAATAACATTAAAACGGGTTTAAAATGTCTGGATTTTTGTCGGAAGCGTGAAGTCGAGTAGTCAAAAAGGGCGACGGTTCGATGATTCGGTTTAGACACACTTTAGCTAAGGAAACCTATCTTGCTGTCTATAGATAAAAGATAGAGCACAAAAAGCTAGGTGTATAGCCAAATTTTCAGAGTAATCGATTCAGCCAATTTCTTCGTAGAAGTTTTTATAGATTTTTTTTTATAGAAACACTTGTTTTGCCTCTCGAATTTGCGCTGTAAGTGAACCGAAATTGACTTAAAAGATGAAAATTGGTCAATAAACACTTTTTATTTCAAATAAACAATAGATTAATTGAGTGAATTTGCTATTTCTGATGAAAAGACTTTCTGGAGAGCTTATTCATTGGGACTAATTGATTGATATGATTGATATCTTCAAGTCATTAATCACTTTACATTTAAGAGTAGTCTTGATTAAGAGTTTTTAGAAATACAAGATTTCCGAAGGAACCTGTGCATCTTTTAAGTCGATATTTCTGATATGTCGATATGTCTGATATGTTTGCTAAGTCGATATGCCGATATGTGTTGTTAGACTTTTCTTGCAATAGCACCTGTCATGGGTGCTAGAACCTGTCATGGGTGCTGTGTTAGAATTGTTGGTGTAACAATGACATAGATAACTTGAAGGTATCAATCTCTTTCACTCTAAACCCCCCACCTAACTAATCCCGTTTCCAGATACAACTCTTTCTCCACAGCCGCCGTCACTGCAGTCGGTTCCCTCTATGTTTTGCATATCTTTTGTATATTTGCTTGTTGGTTCGGTTTGGCGATGGAGCGTTCTTTATTGATGGTACCGAAAATTGTACTCAAAACGGTGACCGTGTTGATGTGTTTGGGTCTCACCTCGGTACTCGCTTTCTTCATTCAAAACGATTTCTCAGTGGTCGGGAAACTGATCGCCGAGAATACCCCATTCGATTACGAGGAGCAAAAGATCGCGATGGAGATGGCGGCGATGATTTTCGTGGGTATCGGCACGGCGACAACGATAGTCCAATTTTGGATGTTAATTCTATTGATTCAGTGTTATCGGAGTATGACAAGAAGAGAATTGCGAAAAGCTTTACAGAAATTGCATCTACGGAAAAGAGCCGCTCTGGCAGAGGAGAAATATTTGACGGAGAAAGGGGAAAACTTTGAGCGCGGAAATTTGCGGCCAAATGATCGATTCCAGTTGCACTTGGAGAGGGCACCAAGAGCGGAAAAAAGCGAGTGCAAAATAGTGATGAATGGGCTAAATGGAACACACGAACAACACCACCATCCACCAATCGATTCGCAAATTCAATTCAGCACCTTTATCTAGTTTTGTATTACTTGGGTCAGGCTGTGCTTTGAATAGTGCTCAAAATTTTGCGAGCTTTGTAAAAATGATTGCTTGAAAGGCAGGATGAACAAGTCATTGTTATTTTGACTGGGAAAACTACTTGGATTGAGATCAGAGAGCAATCAACTCCAAGAGAATCAATTGTTCAGCTGAATTATGAATCTGAATAGAATCAATTTCCAACTGAAGCAATCAAAACCACTTTTTTTAAACTCCAAATGAATCACAACTAGCTTATTCGCTAAGTTCAATAATTTCTGGAGAAATCAAAGCCAATCAGCCAATCAGAATGCCGAGGTTGAACCAATCAATCGTCTATAAATCGGATCGAAAATTTAAGTTCAATTTGAAACACTTCAATTAGATCATCAATCTTTGAATCATCTTCGACTCAATCCTCAACTCATCTTCTATTTTCCTTCTTGTTAACCCGATCAATTCTCTCATTATCAACACAGGTAGAACAACAGCAAAAAAAAAACAAAAAAAAACAACAGATCGAATTTTAGAAATCAAAAATCAAAAAAAAACTTGTTAGAGAAAAAAGTTGCACACGCAAAATATGCAAACTTGATTCTGGAGAGTGAGCAATTGCGATGTGCGTTTTTCTGTTTCCATTTTCCATTCAAAAAAATATAAACAACTAATTTGAAATTAGAAAAAACCAAATTTCAAGTGTTCTTTGAGAATTAATTGAGAGAGAGATTCAAGAAAAAGATTTAAGAAAAAGATTTGGCATCCAGACAGGGAAGTTAGCGAAGTTAGCGTTAGCGGAAGTTAGCGCAATTAGTGACGGGTACTCGAGTTCGCAACACTGCGCTAAAGGTTTAAAGAGAAAACGTTTCTGAAACTAAAATCTAGTCGATGATTAAAGATTGTTAAAGTGAAATTCGAGATGGAATTCGAAATGATATCTAACTTCTAGGTTTGGCCAAAGAGGAAGTGACACTCGACCAAATCGGCGCCGTTGTCGTCACCCATGCTCATCCGGGTTTGTTTTTCGGCTTTGATTCGATTTAAATTTTAAAATATCAACTATTCAAAGTTATTTCAAACTTTTATCTAATTAAGTAAACGAAAAACATGAAAACATTGACCACTTTGCGTTCTTTAACACGTTCGGGACGATTCGGTCCACCGGTGGACGAAATTGTCGTCCACCGGATGAAACCCCTCCCGCCCCAGACACAGACGCTCTACCGACTGCGCTATAGAAGACCTCTATTGCGCGTATCCCAGTAAAACGACCTTTTTGGGGTACGCGCAATGTTCATCTAGCTGAGCTCCATCCAATAAAACAAAAATCGTGGAAAACAGACCATTGGAGAAAGAGAAATGCGGCGTTTGGTCTCACGAGCCAAAAAGAGCCGATATCTTTTTGAGTCAGCAATATTCACATATAGGAGGTGTATTTCGGGGCTAATAGCTTTGCGAGACACGTCTCGTCCACTGGGGCAGTAACGCAAAAAAACGCCTCGTCGCGAATGTGTTAAGAACTTTAAGGTCAACTCATGCCCAGTTCCCTTTTAGTCATCTTTTAACGAATTAAAAAGTGCCAAAAATCTTCAATAAACAAATTCTATTTTATCAATGTTTATACTAAATGATGTCAAATGTTACTGTTTTCCTTTCCAGGAGTGATGGGAAATCTGAATTTCTTCGGTCAAAAGCCGATCCTTTTCCATTCGTTGGAGTTCATCGGACGTCACGTGACACCCACCGAATTAAAAGATGTATGACCTTTCAAAAAAAATTAAATGCAAATTCAAAAACTAGATTTAAAAGTGAAAATTTGAAATCGAAATGAAATCGAAGCTTTCAATTAGCCACTAAAATTTTCCAGCGTCCCTACCGAAAAGTCTCGCAAAATGTGGAAGTGTGGAAGACGCCCGGGCACACACAGGTTTGTTCACAGTAAGGAGCCAGTAAGAGATAAACTAGAGGAAATACAAAAGTTGTATTAAACAATTTAGACAGACTGTTGAAATTTACACTTACGTGAGTATTTTTCACGATTTCAGCACGATTTGACAGTTCTCGTGCACAACGTGGCAGGGTATGGAACGATGGCCATCACCGGAGATCTCATTCCAAATGAGCAACTCATCGCGGAAAAGGTTTGTAATCACTCAATCGCATTTATTTCAAGGTTATTTGAATAAGTAAAGATCTCATTCCAAGATCGAGTTTAAACATTGATCAAGTATCTCAAAGGTTTCAATTTTTAAAAGTTGCAATTTCTAAAAGATGGCACTTTTCGAAAGCCACTGCTCGGGTTTTTATCCAATCTCGACTTTCGATTCGAGTGCCGCCATGGCTGAGTGGTTAGGAGCCATGTATCCTAGTCGCGAGGTCACGAATTCGATTCCAGCGGTGGCTCTTTTTCCCATATACATGCCGTATTGTAGTTGGACCCCATGGGCACCATTTTTCCCTCTAGGGTGGGGTACTATTCTCTCTACTACCGCATACTGCCACTACCACATTCTCTCTACTATAAGACTACTACAGAAACTCCTCTCCCTAAAAAGCCCGAAAAATTCTTTGTAACTGTAATTCTTCGTTTTTTGTTTGCTCTATTTCAAGCCAATTGCTTAGATTTTTGTCTTACTAGTTAGTTAGGAGATATTGTTTTTGCTATGCATAGGCAGACACCGTGTTTTCACACATTCCATAATAAACATAGGCAAATTCATCTCATGGATCTCATGGAATAAGACAAAATTTTTGATGTTTACAGAACTTTAGCAGGTATTAGTTTGGAAATTTGGAATTAATACAAAAACTGTAACTCCCTAACTAGGACCTTTTTTTATTGAGCTAACAATTGTAAGCGACCGAACTGTTTCCCACAGTAATACCATATTTTTTTCACTATTCTTTCCTTTTAGAGTAATAATTATTGTATGTATCAAAGAAAGAAACGCTTTAAAGAAGTACTTTTGATTTCCTTAAACTCTAAAAAGGATGCTTGTCGATTTTTTTTCCCGGTCACTGGCAATGCAAGTTCGAGACATTAATGAAACTTCGACATGATCTTTTATCCCAAATCCAGTTTGTTTTGTATTTTGTTCCAAGCTGTAGTAAGCATCATTCCATCTGTTCATGCACATGCTTTAAAATGCTAATCATGTTTGCATATGGAAAGTGACTAGAAAAAAGATTGACAAATACCCTAAAAAGTGACACTAAATCTTTGTGGGTAAATCAGGAATTAAGTTAATTTTTGAAGAAATTTCATCAACACATTTATGGAATAAACTTCAAAAATTTCGAAAATACATGAATTTTCGAAGCTAGAGTAGTTTGGGGGAGGGGGCAGTTTCGGCAAATTGCCTATATTCGAGTTTTTACTAAAAATGCTATTCATTAATAAAATTAATAAAAAAAGTTATACAACTATTACTAATCAATTCAGCATAGTCAAAAACCCCTGTGTGCAAGTTTTCGTGGAAAAATATTGATTTTGGGTCAAGTTCCAGACTGCCCCCCCCCAACTACTCTGGCGCCGAATTTTCTGCTTCAAGAGCGTTGTTTATAAGTACGCGTTGTGTGGGGTACATTAGAGACATAGTACATTAGAGGAGTGGGCACTATTGGAGAGATGGGACACTATTAGAGGGGTGGGGTACTATTTTTACCCTCCCCCTCTAGGGTGGGGTACAATTAGAGGGCGGTACCATTTGAGGTGTGCGGTCCAATTACAGTCTTTCTGGTGGGCTCTTCTCTGCAACATCTTTAGGGGTATTGGGGCAGTAGGGATTGCGTGTTGAGTGTATATCTGTTTGTGTCACGTAGATAGATTGGATAAAAACTAGAGACTAGATTGCGATAGTTTCACTATAGGAACACTAGTATCAATTTTACCCCACCATTGCATTTCAGCGTGACATCATGTCCGAGGAGGGCGTTTGGGATTCGGCGATCAAGCGTCAAAACGCCAACTTGATCATCTGTATGGCCGATTGGGTTGTGCCCGGACATGGGACACCATTCAGGGTGCTTCCACATTACAGGTAAACGTAAATTTCAGATAAAACTAAAAATAAAACTAAATCCAAAGCTAAAGAATGACTTTAAATGCAAATTTCAGACAAAAGGCCGGTTGTACACGGCTCCTCCAACAACGCTACAGTCTGAATCAGTTCGCTTAAAAAAGATCCGATCAAAAAAAATCAATCTCAATCTCTCCGAAATCTCAGTGTTTTCACTAAATCCACTAACATCAACGAAAAGCAAACCAAAAGCTGATTTCAAATCAGCTTCACAGTATTTTCTTCTCCCAACCGGCTTAATGTATCCAAAAGTGCATTATGATCATAAGTAAGGTATATTACCTGCCCCCCGATTTGTATCTTTGCTTGTTCACTTCAAAAAGTGCTTACAGTTTGTGTTTTTTTTTGTAGAGTTTCATCTTTTTTACCTGCAATTTCATGTTCTGAGATTCATTCGCTCTGTGATCAAACGGTATGCTCCAAGTTTTTTCCCCATTGTTACTTTTTGTAGGTATATTTTTCAAGTTTCTCTCGAAGAAATTCAAAAATGGCATATCCCTAAAGAGTCCTTCAATTTTTAGTCTCTAAAGTTAACGCGTCAAAAATCTTATTGCAATTAATGGGTTTCACGTTCGTTTCTTTTAATAAAATTTTATCTCAGATTGTCAAGAATACACGTAAAAGTTTAGAAAACAATCATGAAACGTAACAAATAACAGAGATAACTGAACTTATTCGTAGACTTGGACATTTCTATAATATTCGCTCTCCTCGGCGGCTCGTTTGTTACTGGAGATGGCCAGCTTCGATTCGAAACCGTTGCTTCTAAACAAATTTGATTATTTTGTTTTGATAAAAAAAGGCTTTATAATTTTCAAAAAAAAGAACTTTAATTCATAGTTAATTAAAATTTTCACAAAATAAACCTATCAACTCCGTCCCAACGATAGCCGGGGCGAATTCCATAACGATTCGGTGGGCACGCTCCCTTGTAGGTTGGATAAACTAAACAATGACGTTTTCATAAAACCTTTTCTTTTTCTCACCATTTTTGCCCGCAACAATGTCCTCCTTCACTCGTTTCTTGGACATAAATTCTGCCATTGGATCATCTTCGTAAAGAACCTGAGTTATAAGAGCTAAACCAAAAACTATAAAAATGCGTACCTCTTTCAAGTGTGCATTCATTGCTTCATCATCCTTTGTTCTTGTCAATGGCTCGGCGGCAACACGGGCGGCTTCTTGTAGCTTCGACTCACGCTAAATATATGAATACGTCTATCATTACCAGGTAGGAAAGTATTTAAACTAACCTCAGCCAATTGATGCACTCCTTTATTCCACTTATCATATTTCTCTTGCAATTCAGCTTGCTTCGCTGCTTCTCGAGCTTTCTTCTCTTGATCTTCAGGTCTAAAAGAAAAAGAATTTATATATAAAAACTTAATCAAATTACTTTTGCCGTTTTCCATATTGTTTTGTGCGTTTGATAGCCTCAGCATCTCTTCCACTTCTCTCCATGTCCATGTCATCATACATCTTAAATCGATATAGCTTAATTTTTTTCAACCTGTTACCAACCGCTTTCTCCCGTTGCTTAATCTCTTCAGCTTCTTCTCTTAACTCCTTTGCACTGACCAGACCGGCCTTTTTGCCATCAAGCATCTTTGTAGGCTTTCGATCAGTCTAAATTTTCTTTTAAAACAAAACAAAGACATTATTAACCTCTTCATCAGATAGCGGCTCGTCTTTGACTCGTTTCCGTTTAGGTGAACGATCATCATCTTTATTGCTTTTTCGTTTAGACGATCGATCTTGGTGGCTCTCTAAATAAAATTTTTAATAAGTGCATTCTTAATCATTTGTTTAGGTAAATATTTAAATTTTAAATTGATAAAGACCTTTATCATCACGCCGCGACTTCTTATCATCATGGCGAGTTCTTCTTGGTGGTGATAAATCATCTAAAAAGCTTTACCATTACACTGATTGTAATAAGAATACCAGAATCGCGCCGTTTTCGGTCTTTAGAAACAACACTTCGTTCTTCATCTTTATTTTGGCGCCTTGGAGGTGAAGCATCTAGAAAATTTTATTGTAAAAAGTGCTAAATTTATATATTGCACCTGAATCCTCAGCAACTTTTGATGGACGTCTAGCCGGTGAGGCATCTAAACTCTTTACAACTCATAAACAACGGCAGTATACCAGAATCATGACGCGCTCTCGGTCGACGGGGTGGTGAAGAATCCACGTCTTTCTGCTTTTGACGTCTTGGTGGAGAAGCATCTAAAGCAAAAATAAAGCGATAAATAAAATTGTTGATTTCAAACTTTTTTCACCATGGCGCTATAAAATATAATAACACTAAAATAAATAACTTTATACCTAGTTCGCGTCGTGGAGCCCTTTCTCGTGAAGTATCTGAATCATGACGTTGACGCCTCCTTGGTGGTGAAGAATCTGAAAAAAAAGTTAAAAATTGCAAAATTTGTAACACACCTTTGCCACGAGTTGGGGCTCTTTTTGGAGATCCATCTGAATCATGTCTTTGGCGCCTTGTGGGCGGTGAAGAATCTAAAAACGGTATCAAAAGCTGTAGAAATTTTCTTTAACCTCGATCACGATTTGTTACCCTCTTTGGTGATTCATCTGAATCGTGACGTTGACGCCTCCTTGGTGGTGAAGAACCTAAAGTTATCCTTTATTCTTGCAGTTTTTACTATTTCCAATTAAATTAAGAACGATACTCTACTACCTCGAGCCGATTTGCGTACTGGAGATTCATCAGAGTCATGCCGTCTGCGACGACGTGGAGGCGAATCATCTAAAAAGTAAAAGTGAACGGTCAAGAAAACATGCATTTACCTGCATCAGAGTCATGTCGTCGTCGTCGAGGAGGCGAAGCATCTGTAAAAAGTCAAAATAACAAATGGTGGCGCGCAGCGGCTAAATTACACTCCCTTCCTTTAATGATATTCTTTTATTCTTATTGTACGATAGTTTTTTGTTTTCAAAAGGCCAACTTACCACGATCTTGTTCCCTGATTGGTGATCCTGTTGGAGATGTTGGCTCAATTTTGATCGTCTTCCCATTTGCTGTTTTTCCCAAATCTAAAAAGAAAACTTTTGAAATCATAAACCTTGCATTTACCCGAAGTAGATGCATCGTTATCGAGAGGGACAAATGATCGTTGAAATTTCATAACCTTCTTTGTTGTGCTCTCGATTTGTTCCTAAAGCAAAAGTTTAGCAAAGCTCCTGTATTCATGTATCATGGATTCAAGATCGAAACTTTAGGATTTTGTGTTCATGAAAAAAATAACCACATAAAATACCTGTATTCGAACTTCATCTTCGTCCTCGGATTCTTCCTCTCTGGCCGCTGTCCCAACTGTGACGAAAGTGTCATCATCCATAATCTTCATTCTAAAATGTTTAAATGTAATGTTAAAATATTATAAAATATTACGACTACCAGTTTACTTTTTAAAACCGAACCTTGTGCTTTTTGGTGGCTTCACATCTTGTTGCTTCTTTTTCTTTGCTTTCTTCGGCCCATCTGATCCACTCGTGTATCGCTTCAAGTAGTCGGCCATAGAACTCATCGTTCCCTGAAATCAGAAAATTAAGTAAAACTATAAAATGTAACACGTTAGCAAATTGAAATCAGGACAAATTCGAATTGAAACCGTTAAATGATCAAAAAAAAAGCAAGGGACGCACAAAGAGCGGTCGTTTCGCAAAGTTATTGTTCGGCAGAGTTAGAGACAAAAAAGAGGCGAAAAAGCAAACAAGACCGAGAAATTCTCCCCCTAAACCCCCTACAGCGCATAAACTAGAGAAAATACAAAAGTTGTATTGGAGAAATTCGACAGAGTTGCAATGTCATTCTTTTCAAAATCAATTTTATAAACTTGAAGTTAGAATTGACATCATTTTAAAGCCAATTTTATCGAAACATCCCACTTTTTGAAGAGTAGGCGCGTCTTTTTTAAAATTTTGACAAGTTTATAAAGCAACTGTTTACGCGTACTGTATAGTTTTATTTTAATAGTTTTATCAAAATGAAGATAAACTTTTCGTTTTTAACAGTTCACACAGTTTAAGGGATGCCCTATTTACCTTTTCAAAAAATTTCACATTTGGCTTAACTTTTGTAGGCGATATAGGTAAATGTGAGAGATGGTAGCGCTGCTTGCCCGCCAAATCTTCCAATCGCGCTCCGCAGTGCTGTTTAATTTGAGGTGTGTCCTTGGACAGCTGCATGATTTGATTATCTTGTTCTCTTTTTTCAAAATTCATCATTCATTTTAGGAAGATGACTTCGGCGGCTAAAGAATACGACTACCTTGTGATTGGCGGCGGATCCGGAGGAGTTGCATCGGCAAGACGAGCTCGGGAATTCGGCGTCAGTGTGGCCCTGGTGGAATCCGGACGCTTAGGAGGAACATGTGTTGGTTGATTTGTAAAATTTATTTTTATACCTTTATACCTTTTGTACCTAAAATTTATACCTTGATTTATACTGTTTAATTTTGACTTTTATGAGTTTCAGAAAGCATTCTTTTAGGTCAACGTCGGATGCGTGCCGAAGAAGGTGATGTACAACTGTGCGATGCATGCGGAAATGATTCGCGACCACAAGGACTACGGCTTCGACGTCACTGTTAACAAATTCGATTGGAGGTGACCAATTTTATCGATCTGTAACAACTCGGTTTTAGCGTTATCAAAAACTCTCGTGATGCTTATGTGAGAAGGCTAAATTCCATCTATGACAATCTTGTCTCAAATTCGGTAAGGAGTTTATGGTTGTTTTCTGTAAGCAAAGATTTACAATTAATGTTTTTTTTCTTAATAAGACACATAATTGTTTTTAGTCTAAGTGCGATCTCATTCGAGGAAAAGCCACGTTTGACGCAGATGGATCCGTGTTAGTGAATGGAGAACGATACAAAGTAAATTTCGTTTAACGGTTTTGATAATGTCAACACAATAGGGCAAGCATACGCTGATTGCTGTTGGAGGCATGCCAACAATTCCCGATATTCCGGGCGCAAACTACGGGATTGATTCAGATGGATTTTTCGAATTGGAAAATCTGCCAAAGTATGCTTCAAAGTTATTTACAAATACGTATAAACTTTAGGAAAACAGTCGTCGTTGGTGCCGGTTACATCGCCGTTGAGCTGGCCGGAATTTTGGGAGCACTTGGGTCGGAAACTCACTTGCTGATTCGATACAAAGAGGTAGACTTTTACTTTATGCTAGGTAAAATATTTAAAAATATAGGTTCTACGTACATTCGACAAGGACCTCTCAAAAGTTTTAACGGAATGTTACGAATCGGGACCCGTAAAATTGCACAAAGAGACTCAGGTACAGAAATATTAACAAAGTTAGATATTAGTTTTTTTAGATTAAACAAGTGGAAAAACTGGAGAGCGGCCTACTAAAAGTGACGACAAATCACGGAGTTATCGAAGATGTTGAAACGTTAATCTGGGCAATTGGACGACATAGCTTGACAAAGGATCTCAATCTTGATAAGGTTTTGTTTTTATAATGATTTGATTTGAAACTTTGATTTAAATGTAGGCTGGCGTGCACATGGATAAGAATGGAAACGTTCTGGTTGATAAATTCCAAAACACTAACGTCGAGGGAATTTACTCAGTGGGAGATGATACCGGAAAATGGCAATTGACTCCAGGTTAGAAAGTTGCTTTATTTTCTATCCAAAATATTTTAGTTGCTATTGCTGCTGGGAGACGCTTGGCACACCGTTTGTTCAATGGAGAGAAGGATCTTCATCTCAGCTACGAAGACATCCCAACTGTAGTTTTCAGTCATCCAGTTCTTGGCACAGTTGGGCTGACGGAAGGTAACGCGAGTGGGTTGTTTGAAACTGTGATTTGTTTTTTAGATGAGGCGATCAAGAAGTACGGGAAGGAAAATATCAATTTGTACAAATCGAAATTCACCCCAATGTACTATTCCGTCTGCGAGCATAAAGAGCCAGCTTTTTTTAAAATGATCTGTGCGGGAGATGACGAGAAAGTGAGTGGGAGATGGCGCTTGTTTTTTATTTTAGTTTTAGGTTGTCGGAATTCACATTTTGGGTGCTGGCTCTGATGAAATGCTACAAGGATTTGCTGTGGCCGTCAAAATGGGAGCGACCAAGAAGCAATTCGATGACACCATTGCGATTCATCCCACGTCCGCCGAAGAACTTGTAACGCTGCGTGGATCTACAAAACCAGAATAGAATTGTGCTCGTATTTGTGTAATATTTAGACCAAGAATTATCGAGTTGTGATTTATACTTAAAACGTTGAATAAATCTAACTTTCCTGCAGGGTGTCTTTAAAAACACACTACAATTGTTCTTGGAGGGCCGCAGAATTAACTCGAATTAACAAAGTCCTCGATCCAAATTGCTTTACCCAACCGAAAGACACTGACGGCGGAACTTTTAAATCCTGAGTGTTATACCTTCTAAAAGTTCTAAGTCTAATACGTTCACTTGATAAAATAATTTATTGAAGAGATCCATCGTCACAGGGACAAATAACAACTTACACAACAACTTGAAAACAATATTAAAATTGACATTACTAAAAGCATTGTGAACATAATGTTGAAGGAAAAAATTAGCTCCGAATTCTGCACGACCCGCTCGAAGTTGCTCCAACGCTTAACGCCTTCCCCGGGGTCCTCCACGTCCTCCCCTGCCACCGCGGCCTCCTCTACCGCCTCGTCCACCTAAAACAATGAAATAGATTAATTTGTAAAAATCCATACTTACAATTAGTGTACAGGCATTGTATTTATACATGTTTAAGTAAAACCTATGCCTTTGCTTCCCAATAAGTTTTGAAAAACGGTATTTGTTGATAGACTTGTTGACTCATAATTCATCAACGCTATTTACTTTAATCGAGAAAATTCTCCGAGTTAATTTATAAACCAAACGATTCTTTCATTCATAAAGCTATAGTTTTAAATGAATCGCCGACAAAGTAAACGCGTAATATGTGAATCCATCCAAGAAAAACGAACCTCGACCGCCACGTCCACCCCTTCCAGCGCGGGCAGCTTTCTTTTTCGGCTCTTCATCGATGAGCAGCGTATCCAGTGGCAAGGAGTCGGGCAAAATGATGTAGCGGATGTTGTTTCCTAAAATTGAAGCATAATCAGAGTCAGGTAGTAAACAAGTTTTAACTACGACTAACAACAAATCAAACTGATCCGCAAGCTGCGAATGCAAGGGTTTTTCTTTTCATCATTCTTTCACGAACCTAAGATTAAAAAATAAAGCTTTCAACCTTTGATGACTTGTAAACATTGAGGCTAAAATATCTTCACAATACCCAGTCACTTTTGCTTTTAAATATTCATCAGTATTTAAAAGTATCCACCCTAATCTCAAATGATGTAAAACTATTTTAAACTTTTGTTAACCTTGTCTTCGGAATGAAACTTGTTAGGTGCTTGACGAAATCCTTGCACAACTTAGATAAAATTTTTTAAAGAACTACAGCCGTTCTATTTCTTATTAACAACATTACAAGTACTAGTTTTATGAAAAAACCGTTTACCTCGAACGGAAAGGGTGTCGAGCGAGATCTCTTCTTTGTTTTTCTGGGTCATCTTCACCGATCGGAGATGCGTGTTCATCGCCACATCCACACCGAGTATCGATCCTTTGACTAGCGTTCCATTCTTCAGCTCGATGATCACCGACTCGTGCGAGAGTTTCATCAAGAATCTAACGAGCTTCATCCTGAAAAATGACAAGATTAGTGAAAGTTTAAAAGTTAAAAGCACAATGAGAAACACAAAACGCTTCAGAAACATTTGAACCAAAGCAATTATCGAAAATTTTGGTGTTCAGGGCCAATAGGTAAATTGCAAAAACATGAAATAAACTGCGGTTTCTTGGAGGACAATAACTCTGGATGCATTCTAATCATAAATGATCAATTCATAGAAAGTCTATCAAAAATTAAAGCTTTCACTATAAAAACTTTCAAGTTTACGTTAAAAGTTTGAAAATCAAAATAGTTTAAATAGATGTTTGCTCAAAATTTTCAATGAAACATACTAACTTTAGCAATGCAACAAGCAGCTAGGGGTTTATTGGTGTACTTTCTCAAAATACAAGTGCAGGTTTGACCGGCAATTAAAAAATGCCAAAAAGAAACAAATAAAGTAGTTAGCAGATGTATATTTTCCCCTTCACGCAGGTTTATAATCTTCCCGAAATTCAAAATATGATGCTCATTCGTCGGGCTACGGTAGTAAAAGTGCACTAGTATACGATTGACGTTCGTCTTCGTGTATCACCCAATTGAAATCGCGACTTCGCTTCGAACACACATAAAACTTGCATAAACCCTTTTAGAGAAAGTAAAGAATTTTCTAAAAAAAGTTTAAAAATTCGTTTACTTTAAACCTAGAGCTCTTTGTCGAATGCCTTGGACTAGGTATTGCAAGAATTTTACGTTTCCCGACTTTGCCTTTTTAGAATTTCCGAGAATTTTCGGGTTTTCACACTTTCAACTTCATTTCAACTTCTTTCTTTCAACTTTTTTTCATATTTTGGGGCTTGGTGCTTAAACATTATGGGTGATTAGGTAAGGTTCTTAATGTTTCAAAACGAAATATCAAATTGAAAAGCTTTGAGGGGAGTGGGACATGCGACCTTTTTTTTGCGCACCCGGACATTTGCGCACCTTTTTTTCCGCACCTTGCCCATTAGCGCACCTTTTTTCGCGTTTTAAAAAAGCTCTAAAAGCTAATATTAACCAATTTCTGTTCCAAAAGTTGTTTTTCTAGGTAATTTGAGGGTGTCGAATCGAAATTTTGACATAACAGAGCGTGTGGAACCAATTTCAAAGACAAAACGGCTAGATCAAATTACAGAAAATTGTCGATTTTTCTCTTTGTATAACTCCGTCCGTTTTTATTCCAAAAGCTCTGATATGTCAAAATTTCGATTCTACGCCCTACGCCCATTAGCTTTTTAGAGCTTTTTTAAAACGCGAAAAAAGGTGCGCTAATGAGCAAGGTGCGGAAAAAAAGGTGCGCAAATGTCCAGGTGCGCAAAAAAAAGGTCGCATTTGTCCCACCCCCGCTTTGAGCCACCTAATCATCCAATCTGTATATTTGCTTGTTCGCTGGCCTATGAAGGATATTCAATTGGCTTTTATGTAAATTTTAATCGGGTTTAAGCTGAAGAAAAAGTGTGGCATTAGAGCCGGAATCTTATTTTTAGCCAATTCATCTTATTCATTTTCAGATACGACACGATGAGTCGTGTCTACTTGGGTCGATTGCCTTATCGAGCCACAGTTCGAGATATCGAAAGGTTCCTTCTTTTATCTACCTTAATACCTGTAATAGTAGCGCGCCTCCCCGTACAGTCGCGTAGTCTAATACACAATTTTGTGACGCTCGCTTCTCCGCGCTGCCTCGACGAAAAATGTGCGCTTAGATATCAAAAGATAGCGCTTGAAGCGAAGAATTTTTTGCTACTAACAGTTTTTTCTAAAATAAGTTTATTTTAGAAAAATCTGAGCGCGTTCAAAAAATGATTTACTAGGCGACTGTACGTCACTATGGGGAAGGGGGCGCTACTATTACATTACGGTGTCAATAGAATGTAATTTTTAATTTTTTAATACCGTAGAAATTCTAATAGAACCACCGCCCATAATTACGGCCGTACAATTGCGTAGTCGCAACGTCTAGCGCCTCCTTCTCAGCGCTGCTTTTCACTGAAGAGTGTGCTTTGGTGTCAAAAGATAGCTGAGATTCAGGGCTATTTTTGATGGCATACATACATTTTTAGAAAATTTGGGTGCTTAAAAAATGATTTTGTGAAAAAATTTATCGACTACGTGACTGTACGGGCGCTTCTATTAGAGTTTTTACGGTAAGCACAAGCCAGTGGCAGAAATAGATGCATATCAAAGAATTCTCGCAAATAAAAGGCAAAAGAAACGCTTTGAGATTTCTCGAAGGGTACGGCTCGGTCCGGGACATCTCGTTGAAGTACGGATTCGCTTTCGTCGATTTCGAGAATGTGCGCGATGCGGAAGATGCGGTGCATGATCTGCATGGGAAGACGATGCCCGGTGACAGGTCCAAATGATCTAAAACCAAATTCAAGAAATTCAAGAAGTCAGTTAGAAACTTTCATTTTCAGCCGTTTCCGAATAATTGTTGAGTTGGCGAAGGGGAATCCCCGTGGTGGAGACGCGTATCGATATGAAAAGTCAAGATCAAGATCAAGAAGTCGAGGTGGAAGAAAGAGTCGATCAAGGAGTAGAAAAAGATCCAGGTCAAGGAGTAGGAATCGGTGAGTGTTTTGATTTCTGGAGACATTGTTGAAAGTAATAATTGATAAGACAGAATAATGGGAAAATATAAAAGATAAATCAATCTTGTTACCACACCACACTTGAATAAACTTTTAGTTCACGAGATCGAAAGGCTCGTCGACGAAGCCGTTCACGCTCACGAAGGTATGAGAATTATTTGAATTGATTGATTGATTTGAATTGATTGATTGCTTTAAATTGATTAATTGCTTTGGAAGCACGGTTATGAATAGTAAATGAGTGAAATTCGCAACAGATTCAATTCAAGAATTGCTCGAAATTTCAGCCGTGACCACAAGCGAACTCGTCGCAGTCGTACTCGCAGTGAAAGCGATAGGTTTGTTTGAAGGGTTTTTTGAGTCGACAAGTTTTGCTTTCTTTTAGATCTCGATCTCGCGACAAGAAATCCAGATCACCGAAAGATCGAAAGAAATCAAAAGAAAAATCCCGTTCACGCGACCAAAAATCTCGATCGAAAGAGCGAAAATCTCGATCTCGTGATCGCAAATCTTCATCAGTTGAGAAGAAGTCCAAGTCGAGAAGTCGATCGGTGGAGAAAAATGGGAAAGACAAGGTAGACAAGGCTAAAGTTACCTCGGGATTGGAATAAACCAATCAAAAACTCAAAGTCTCAGTCTCATTTCAGTCTCATTCCCGTTCCTCATCGCGTGGTCACGATAAAGAGAACGGAAATGGTAAGGCGAGATCACAAAGTAAAGAGAAAACGCCTCAATCCCGAAGTGTCTCACCGGCACGTGGTTCGCCCGATCGTCAGAAAACCCAGTCGCCGAAGGTTTGTGAAGAAAAAAAAGCAGCAATTTCACTAGACACGGTAACTGTGGTGTAATCTGTGAAAGCTCGGCCAACCAATAGAAAATCCCGAAGCTATCAAGAGTAGTATTTCTCGAACCTCCTCCTTTTCAGAGTGACAACGACGATTGAGAAGTGACCCACTTGTAAAAAGCACTTAAGTAAACTAAGTTTTGTTGGTTATTTGGTTATTTGTAATTATTTTCTTGTTATCATTGCTTTAAGTTGACATTCGACTCGAGTACCCCAACCTGTGCACTTGGAGTGAGAGATCAAGTACAATGAACACAGAAAACCTCGCTGCGAACAACCACACCCACGCAATCAAGCTGAGATCTAAAGTGGTATCAAAAAATCATAAATAAAGTTTTTAGCTGCTAAAACGACCGTTAAATCTTCTTGAACTCGTTTTCATGGCCTAGCTACAGTAGACAAGTTCTAGAGTGCCCAGCTATTGTTCTACGCCACCTAGCTACAGTAGTTAGGTTCTAGGGTACCCAGCTATTGTTCTACGGTACCTAGCTACAGTAGTCAGGTTCTAGAGTGCCCAGCTATGATTCTACAGTACCTAGCTACAGTAGTCAGGTTCTAAAGGGTCCAGCTATGATTCTACAGTACCTAGCTACAGTAGTCAGGTTCTATAGTAAGTGTTACTACAGTTCAAACCACATATAGGTGTTTTATAAATTTCAATCAGTTTTGGATTAGTTCCTTCCGGGCTAGACTAGCCACGATAGGCTTACTATTCATTCCTGAGCCTGCCTTCAGTCTTGGAAAATCTTTAACAGAATAAATCACATTTAAATTTCTCAGCTCCTCAAGTGTGCCCAGGGGTCAGAGTCGAGTATCAAAGAGTCTCTAGCTCAAGCCTCAAGCCCATCATCCTCAATCCATCATACACCTCTTCTTCATTTCTTTTTTCTTCCTTTTCGGCTCATTCTCTTTCTTTGGTTGTTATTGTTTTTGCAACTGATGTTTCACGGTTTTTTTGTCATCGTTGAATAAATATTTAGAGTTCTTTATGGAATAGTAAATGTTCAGAGCTTTGAAACAACGTTCATTCTGGCTTACAGACTGCAGATTTCAAATTACTATAGAAAATAGTGATAGCTTACAGGTTTTTTTTGCTTCATTTGCAAAATAGAGATAACAACTACAGTACTGGACAATGAAATATGATATTTGAAAAACGATCGTCACTTTCGCGCGTCTGTAACTCCCTTGTCTTTGAGTTTAAACTATTAGTGTTATACATTTTCTGAAAGCTCTTTTCAAGGGCTACACAATGGTAATATTAATATTTAGAAATCCGGTAAAGACAAGGGAGTTACAGACGCGCGAAAGTGACGATCGTTTTTCAAATATCATATTTCATTGTCCAGTACTGTAGATGCGCTTTCTAAAAGATCGGAGATTTGAAAAGCTACTGTAGCCTTTTCTTCGAATTATGACTTTACCGTTGATCACATTCAATTCACGGTTTTATTCTTCATCGAAAGAGTTGTATATAACGTTTTTGTCTCCAAATTTTCCGGTAAAGAGTTTTGTTAAAAAGTCTCTGAATATTTCGAGATATTTGCAGCAACTGTTCATCTTCATAATCATCTTCATCTTCAGAGTTATCTTCATAATAAAGCTTGATTATTTTAAGATCTAAAATTATCTTTACAATTTAAAAAGTTTAATTATTTTCCAAAGCAGATGAAAAGTTAAGCTGAAATTCTACTGTTTGTTTTTCAAGCAAAAAAAGTGAGTAAAATAGGAGTCACAGAAAAGATACATACCGCAAATACTGTAATAGTACCCCGCCCCCATAATGACGGTGCGGAGTATTGCGTAGTCTAGCTTTGAACGCGTTTTTCTCGACATTGGTTTATGCTACAATACGCGCTTAGTTATCAAAAAATAGCTGAAATTCAGGGCTATTTTTTGATACCAAAGAGGCATTTTTCGAAAGTACGGGCGCTTTGAAAAAAATGAAATACTAAAAAACTTTTGCGACTACGCGACTGTACGAGGGGGTGGGGTACTATTACAGTATTTACGGTATGCAATCTATGACTATAAAGATGTTATTTTAAGATTGCTGAACTTAAAATCAGTTAGTTCAGGCAAAAAGAGTAGCAATCGATGCAGAAACTGAACGCTGAGAAGCTAACGAGTAGCTTTTTCCTAAAAAAGAGGAGCACACATCCGCGCGAAATAAAGCAAAAAAAAAAACGTTTTCTATCCGATTTGGATGTTCGAATATCCATTTGATGAAGAAAAATGTGCTGAAAATGAATCTGAAAGAATTTATTTTAGCACGAGCAGCTCGGAGGGGTAAAATGGAAGATTTTCTTTTGCATTCTCAAAGTTACAGAAATAAGCTGGCTCTAAAATATTTCAAGGATAATTTACGGTAAAAATATTCCCAAAACGAAATATTAAGAGATTTTTTTACCAAAAAACTCTTTGCCGGAAAAATTGGGGGGAAAAACGTTGTATCCACGTTTTTCTGGTCACCTGTATTTAAGTGAATCGGGCAAAATCTAAAGGAAATGTTAAGGTAGCTTTTTAAATGGCCCATAATTCGTTAAATTACCGAGGAGCACACCTTACTAGGGAACGGCAGATTTGGATGTAGAAGAAGTGAGAGATGATGAGGAACATGAATATGAAATGGGAAGTGATCAATGGTTGGCAATGGTTGGCAATGCTAGACTACGCAACACTCCGCACCGTCATTATGGGGGTGGGGTACTACAGTATTTACGCTAGCTACCGTAACTCAAAAGGGCCTATAGAGGAAGATATTTTAACAGTGATAGAATCTTTGAACGATCATCTTTTATTTATGGATACTTTAACAACTGTTGAATATCCCAAAGCTTCCGAGAAACTTTATCTTACTATTGTTTTTTTACCTCTAATGCAAATGCTTCTGCTTTTTGCTTACTCATCTACTACTCGTTCACCCCCAATCTCCCCTTCGTATTCAAAAATTCTTTTCTTCCAACATTCTTTGTCCTTTTTCAGCATTTTCTTGTCATTCATCTTTTTCATTTTCTTTTTATTTTCATTCAGAGCTAATCTAAGGCACATGTTTGACGATTTTAACCGGACAATGACCGGGAAATGACCGGGCAATGATTAAATAAGCAATAATCTTCTAATCGGTCAATGATTAAATGTCAAAACTTTCGATTCTGGCTACATTTTTCTCTGTTCATCGCAAGGGTATTCAAAAATTCCTTTTTCTCATCCTTTTTCTATCAAAAGGGCCCATGAAAGGGCGAGGGATTTTGCGCTAAGGCCGTGCTGGGGGAGAGATGGGGTGGAGGAGAAGGGGTGGAGGAGAAGGGAGGGGTAGAGGGTGAGGACAGGGGCAGGGGCGGGGCTTGGAGTCGACCCAGCTTCCCTGCTGTGCCTGGTGCGGTCCCCGTCTCTCCCCCTCGCCCCTCTCACTCTCCGTGTCACTCATCCCCTCCGTCGACCCCTTTCCCCCTTTCTTCTTCCCCCGGAGTTTTCCCGCGTATTTTTCGCCTATATTTTTGCTTGTTTTTGATCTCAAAGATGTCCGACGAGGTAATTAGTTGCTAGCTGATAATTGTCAATTGTCAATTGCTGTCAATTGTTCAGGCTGTCACTGCACCAGAGGTTGAGAAAGTTGCCGAGGAGGAGCCGGCAAAGGAGCTCGAAGAGAAGTGAGTCATCAATTTCGAAAATTCGAATTTCGGAATACAGTCAATCCTGACCTAGCTTACAATTAGCTTTGTATACAATAAAGTTGATAGTCTGTAGACTACAATATAGTCTATAGAGTTTACCCAATAGATTAGACATGTAGTAGTTCGAATCTACAAGTCTAATCTAGTCTAATCTAGTCTAATCTATTGTAAAATCTACTATAGCTCTAAAGCTAATCAAAGTCTAAACTTATCTACTTCAAAGAGTTAACCAGTTCCCAATAAAATCAATGAAACTCTATATTTTGAAGCAAGACCAAGGTTAAGGTTTCAGGCTAGCTAAGAGCTTAAGAGCTTTGCCCTAATGTAGAGACGATCTATAGATCTATAGAGACGGACTACAGTACCCTATACGGCTAAAATCACACGGACATTTGCCTCTATATCGTGCTTTATCGTAAATCGATAGCCTCAGGGAGAGGTTAAAAATAGTGGGTGTCGAAAACAAAGATTGATCCGTTTGTTTACGCCAACCGAGAAGAAAAGAGAGAGAAAGAGAGATGGGAGACAGGCGGGGTCTTTGATATCCAAGAAGAGGCCCACAAATCTCATCCATTCTCCGATCATCACCATATTTATTAGGGTTAAACAAATAAGATTTCTATTTAGGATTTGAGAAATTATCGATCGACCTTTTCTGGCGCAAGGATTACAGTTCATTTTAAAAAAGAGAATTCCTTTTAAAAAGAGAATTCCTTGAGTACCGAAGGAATTCCCAAGGATTCCTTCCCCTTAGTATGGGGTGACTATAGTCATGGTGACCATCGTACGATGGTACCATCCAAGAAGAGGCCCACAAATCTCATCCATTCTCCGATCATCACCATATTTATTAGGGTTAAAAAAATAAGATTGCTATTTAGGATTTGAGAAATTATCGATCGACCTTTTCTGGCGCAAGGATTACAGTTCATTTTAAAAAGAGAATCATTGAAAGAGAATTCCTTTTGGCTAACTTGCAGAGACTCGAATTGTATTGTTAAATTATTGAGCTTTATATTTGAAAAAGATGGAGATCAATGACAGTTATTTCTGTAGGATAAATCTGGAAATACTGGAAACACTGGAAAGCTCAAAAAGCACCTGGTTGTAATTAGACTGTGAGTGCTTGATTTTCAAGATTTTTAACTAGAAAACTTCCCCAATTTACATCCTCCAAGTTTGAATAGTGACATCATTGAATAGGCTTTACAATGTAGAAATATTATGGTCAGAGTTTCAATCTCATGGTCAGTGACTTGGTGACTGATTCTGGTCAATCCCGGGTTCTGACTTCTACAGACCCTGACTATTAGCTCCAGTTGGAATATCCCTGAGCGCCGGGGTGGCGTAACACTAGTGTGGCTGTGGCAGAATTAGAGACCCGGGTTCGATCCCCGGTGGACTGGTTCATGGCCCAGTCCACCGGGGATCGGTGGACCAGTTCTTAATGCGAGAAGCCTATCCAGCCATCTTCGCCTTTAGTACAGTATAAAAAACATCAAATCTTCATTTCAGGGTCGGCGAGACGGCGCCCGAGGACGCTGCCGAGGCTGAGGCTGAAGCTGAGGCTGAAGCTGAAGCTGAAGTTGAGGCTGAAGGTGGTGAGGAAGAGGAGAACGCTGAATCGCCTGAAAGAAGCGATGAGGGAAATGAGGAAGAAGAGGGAGGAGATGAAGAAAAAGAAGAAGAGCAAGCAGGAGTTGAAGGAGGAGATGGAGAAGAGGAAGCCGTGAAAGACCAAGAGAATGGAGAGAAAGTCGATACGAATGGAAATGTGAGTATGAAAAGATTAGTTACACCTTGCGAAGATTAGACTTGAATTAAAGTGGTATTTAGGTAAAGAGTACTATGTCTATTTTGTCATTTTTCCTGGGAACTCTTGACTTTATCCAGGCTCCTTTTCTTTTTCTTCAAAGTTTTGCACTTGAGTGACTGACAGACACAGATTGACAGACTGACAGACACAGATTGACAGACTGACAGACACAGACTGACAGACACAGATTGACAGACTGACAGACACAGACTGACAAAGAGTTTTGGCAAAGAGTATTAAATCAGACTTAAACCAAGAGAAATTGGACTGAATTTTTGGAATTTATAACTTACAAAAATTGAATTATTATAGAATAGACTTAAATTTTCAGGATCGCAAGCGCGCCGAGGGTGACGTCGCGGACGAGGATGAGGCGCCGGCGAAGAAGAAAAAAGTTGATGAGGTGAAAAAGAAATTCAGTTGATAAGAATAGATTGATAAACCTAATAGATTTATGAAGATCTTAGCTATATAAATCTAATAGGTTTTTAAATTTTAAATAGAATATTTTCAGTTAAATAAATAACCCCATTTTGAAAAGCTATGACGAAAAGTAATTTCATGGCCATTTCATTTGTAGTCGTGTTTTTTTGAGAAAGAACGAAAACGGTTTTTGTACCGAGACACGGTATACGGTAAAAGAACTTAAATGCAAATCTTGGGATATTTAACTGAAGATATATGGTGGGCTAAGGTAGAAAGATTTGACGCACATTTTACGAGGAATACGGTAGTGATAGGCTACAGTAAAAGGGCTTCAATGTACGAGGAATACGGTAGCTATAGGATACGGTAAAAGGGCTTAAATCAAAAGAACTTAAATGCAAATCTTGGGATATTTAACTAGAGATATATGGTGGGTTACGGTAGAAAGATTAGACGCAAATTTTACGAGGAATACGGTAGCGATAGGCTACGGTAAAAGGGCTTAAATGCAAAAGATTAAATGCAAATTTTACCGGCTTAAATGCAAATTAATTATTTGGAATATTCAAATGGAAATTAACTTAGCGACTTTGCAGGACGAAGAGCCGACCGCGGTCGTCGAGGCCACCGACGCTTGAATATCTTGAGAGAAATGTTCCCTGCTCCTTCCCTCCTCGGCCCTTGACACTCCATCTTGTTGACCACAAACCCATCTGTCTGTTTTCATATTTGTTATTATCATTTTGTTCAGATTATCAAAATCACGGCTTACTTTTTCCCTACTAGAATATCTCAAATTTAAAACAAAATTCACGGTTTAGTTACCAAATCAGCATTTTACCGAGAAAAGCATCAATTTTTTTTGAATTTCTTTTGGTTTAGCTATCAAATTGGGCAACTGGATTTAAATTTGTTTTGTTTTTTTATCATTTTTCCAATCGATAATCATTTGTCTTTTGGCATAATCTCTTTACATTTTAAACCAGTGACGTGTTTTTTTTTCTTCTTCTTCTTTAAACTAACTTTGTTTGTTTTTTGAATAAATTATTATTCACTACAAGAGAAATTGTGAGAAAATGGAAAAGAACGTTTAAAAATGAAAAAAATTAATCGATTACTTGGCAGTGTTTTGAGAAAAGCGCTATTGAGATCGAGATAGAGGAAAATAGTTAAATCTTGAGATGTTTAACTGAAGATATATGGTGGGCTACGGTAGAAAGATTTGACGCAAATTTGACGAGGGATACGGTAGCGATAGGATACGGTAGAAGGGCTTAAATAGTTAAATTCAAATTTCAAAATTAGATTAATCAAAAAGTTAGCTGAATATTAAAGTATAGGATTATCGAAAAATGAAATGGCAAAGCTCGATGAGAAATTGATTTTTCGTTAATATGTAGATTTTGGCGGAAAAGAGCACTTAGCTGCAGCACTTGACTCAGTGTCAAATAGAAAGTACATTATCAAGATGTTCAGCTACTGTTTTGCTATTTTGCACTGTTCATAAAGTAGCCAAATCTATATGGGATTTTTTTGAATCAATTCGATGCCAGCTTGCTATCGCCGGCTTGATCGACGACTACAGTGAAGCGTTGTTGTCCATTCGCCGAAGTCGACTCTCCGTTCACCTCCTCGGGGATTTCCTGGCTCACGGCAATTCCTGGAATTTGATGCCAGCTTGATTTTAAAGTTAAGTATTGACTTTTGTGATATCTTGCTGTCATACAAATTCGCCTGGCTAACAATAAGTGATGAACACTCCTAAATCAGATTCCCATTTGACAATCAGATTCCCAACTGCTCAGTAGACATGGACAAAAATGAAAAACTGTCACACTACAAACGCTTTTAATTTGCTGCAAATCTGCCTCATTGACAGGATCTATAGCTCAAAAAAATAGAGAATCTCAAGAGCTATCGAATGAACCAAAGCACGCAAATATCAATGCTAAAGAAAGTTACAGTGGCTTGTAGCGCGACTCGAAACGAACCGTACTTGCGCGTAGTCGAAGCGATCAAATAAGGCTACGAACCACTATAGCTTTCTTTAGCATTGATAGTTTGAATGTGATTTAGTCCATTCGAAAGCTCTTGAGATTCTTTATTTTTTGAGCTATAGATCATGTCAATCCGAGAGATTTGAAGCAAGTTAGAAGCGTTTGCAGTTTACGTTTATAGTGCCCATGTCTACTGCTTTGTAGTCAGCTATTTGCCAAAGCAGATCTAAAGTTGGATGGGTAGACTGCCCAGGGTTGGTCCAAAAGTTCAAGCCAGAGTCTACCCAGAGTCTACCCAGAGTCAGGCCAGGGCAAGTCCTGGTCTGACTTCTGGGTCTTGGCTCCTAGAAGCCTAGCACGCCAGTTAGCCTCACTCCACTGAAATCTTTTCCCGGATTGACTCTGTAAGCAAATTTGAAGAGTTGGGAACGGGTAAGGAAAGACTGTGCGTGTCCTTGTCCTGTATTTTTTTTTGTGCAAAGGGGATGGAGGCTCGAGACGGTGAGTGAAGGGAGGGGTGAGGGGGTGAATTGACCGGGGAAAGGGACTGGGGGTGGATCGGGGGGACCGGAGGGGACGCGCACCGCAAAAAAAAGGGGAAGAATCGCCCCCGATGAAGGCGTCGAAATCCGAGCCGCTGCACAAAAAAAAGAGGAATTTTTGAGGGGGAAATCGATAAAGCACTCTTTTCACCTAATTTCTCTCTTGCTTTATTTGTGGAGAAGCTCCAAGTCTTTTTCTATCGATCTTTTACTCTTTAGACCACACGCATCCTCTTTCCAAAAGACAAAGACATTTTTACTGATTTTACTGATTGAATTTACAAGAATACGGACGGTTAGCGTGAGAGTTTTTCTTCAGAAAATCAAAAATCAAACCCTCTTTGATTAAAGAGCAAAGATTGACGCTTTGAGACAAGTTTTTGGCTTACGGATTTAAAATTTTAAAAATTGGCTCAGTAATTATTTGTATGTTTGGTTTTTCTTATTTTATTATTAACTTTCAGTCTTTAAGACTTGGCTATCCAAGTCTTAAAGACTGAAAATTAATATTAAGATCAAATAGACTCTCTAGAACACACCTATGAGTGTTCTAGAGAGTTCTGACTTTACCTTTGCTACATCAACAAGCCTCTTGACTTCCCAAGAGTCATGTCTAGACTTTTGGCAGAGTTCTGACTTATTCATAAGCAATCAAATATATAACATTCTTGGCATTCATTGTACTGTTGAACCAGTTACAGTCTTCCGTCCTTTATTCACCATTTGACCGTCTCACTAGACACAGGTGGAATTGGTATCACCGTGAAAGAGATTGAAAGAGGGTAAGAGAGGAGAAATCTTTTAGCCAAGAGATGTGCCAATTATATCTATCCACCAATCAAGTGAGAGAGGAGACCTTGGGCATAGTGATGAGACAAAGAGAGATCAGAGAAGCTCATACAAATCCCATAAACTGGGCGGATTTCCCTCCCCAGGATCTTCCCGCCCTTTTGTGTCCTCTGATTCAATGCGAATTTCTCTATTCACATTTTCTATTCTCTTTCTCTTTCCATCAATTCCCATCTTTCCCCTCTCCCCTCACTCCACAGTCTTTCCCTTTTTGAACTTTGCACAAAAAAAAACTGTTCTTTTTGAGCGCGGTTCTTTTTCGGAGAACCCTTAGTAAGGTTTTCGAAATTTCGTGAGCGACGATTACGAAATCTTAGATGGAATGGAAACCAATTTAATTGAATATTTCATTTTAAATTATTTAAATTAAATAATATATAATAAATAGTAAAGAAACATAAAGAATAAATAAATTTAAATAGATTGAAATTTTTAATTTTAATTAGGGTAAAAAAATTTAACAAGAGGAGGAACAAATATGTTGGGTTGGTGAATTGAAAACTGCGGGCTATTGTCATATGTGGACCCCAGTTATTCAATGAGCTTTGACTTTGACTATTGGGTTGGTGAATCGAAAACTGCAGGACTTTAAACTAAAATTTATTCAACATAAAACCATCGATTCATTCCAAATAATTTCCATTATTATTGACGACTTCTGCCCATTTTACAGGCAATTTGCGGATTCCTCTTTCGTAGTAGGATTTTGGTTTGTGTGTGAGACAAGTGTGAGACTCAAAAATCGAGGACTGGAGATGTCCCAGTAGCACTTTTGAGCACTTTCTTTAAAAGAAACCCTTTTTGGTGTCAATAGAAAAGTTGTAGAGAATCAAAAATTAGGCTTATAGCCAAATTTCCAAAAAGATACACTTAGTAGTTTCGCTTAAAATGCAAGCTTTGTGAAAATTCGTAAATTTCGCATTTCTTGAAAACTAGTTTTGAATCGTTCTGAAAATTTGGATATAAGCTTGATTTTTGATTCTCTACAACTTTTCCATTGACACCAAAATGGGTTTCTTTTGAAGAAAGTGCTCAAGCTGTCACATATGAAAATAGCCGGCAGTTTTCAATTCACCAAAACCCAATAGATTGAGATTAGCCTTGATTTGTGGAGAAATCAATGTCGAATTTGAGGATTCGGAGCCGGTCAGATTACTTTGGCAAAGGGAGAGGGAAGGGATTTATGTAAAAGCCCTGCGCCAGACGACGAGCGATTACGTTACCGCACAAAGAACCCACATAGCACAAATTTTAAGCGGAACTATTAAGTGTATCTTTTTGGAAATTTGGATATAAGCTTGATTTTTGATTCTCTACAACTTCTCGTAATACCTCAACTGATGGGTAGTGAAAAAACGAAAGATGATAAAGCTTATCGTTACATCGAGATACAAAATCGAAATTCGCCAGATCTTAATCCCCTCGATTACACCGTTTAGGTTATTTTGGAACGCAAGATCTCGACGAAGGCGTATCAAACAGTGGATGCTTTAAAATCTGCTCTGAAACGAGTCTGGGATGAAATAACTGTTAAAGCGTGCGCCACCATCGTGAGGAACTTCCCAAAGCGTTTAAAGAGGTGTATCGAAGCGGATGGTGGAAATTTCGAGCATTTGTTATAGGTTATTTGTTGTTATGATTCGAATAAAGAGTTTGTTATTAATTTTTAACCTTTTAAAGCTAGTTTTTAAACCTTTAACTATCTTAAGAAGCGGCTCCAAACTTTTGCCGCACCCTGTATTCTAGTTGCATTGCAAGACAGTTGCAAGACAAATTTATCTAAAAAAAAAATTCCTAAACTCACCGTAATCTCCATAACAGGCAAGGGTGAGGAAAGCGATGAGAAGAGCGATCGAGAGGGAAATCGTCGTGAGGAGAAGGAGGACGAAAGTGTGACATTCGGTCAGAGAGCTGTGAGTCACCTGAATATTCGGGGATATCGGAGAAGATTCACTAATAAAGGATAATAAAGAAAATAAATTTATAGACAAGAAAGGGAAGGTTTAAAAAAAAAGAAAGACAATTTTGAGTCAAAAATACGAACTCACTCAATGGATACTTTGGTCTTAGAGTTCTTTAAAATACGGTAAACCTTTAGTTTATGCTACAGAAAGCCAGTACTACAGTATGGCAGAGTGTACAAGTTTTTTTTACAGTATATACAGTTTATAGGAGCTTAATTTATTATTGAAAATTAAAAACGAAATAGATCCTTACCTGAACAGTGGTCATCGTGAAAAGTGCGGTGATCAACGAGGTGAGATAGTTGTCAAAGACCTGAATTGAGGGAATAGCTTCCAGTATATGAAAATTGGCATCATTTAATATTTTATGTGAATTACCTCAAAGTAGAGATAAAATGAGACGAGAATTGCCCAAACGAAATAGATCGAAACGGCCAGAGCGAGCGCTGCGAAACGGCGAGTGAACGGGAACTCGCTTCTCTGCAACAATGAAATGTTTGGTTAAGAACTGTGGTTAGAAACAAACAGCTAAACATCTAAATATCTAGAATATTTTCGAATTTGTTCTTTAGATACCAAAGCTATATTTACATTCATAAATGGGAGCACGAATTGGTGAACGATCGAGCCGAGAGTGAAGAAAATCAACGGGATCCCGATGGTCAAATAGGGGATCAAGAAGAGCTGGAACAGGGCTTTGAAAATTACCTTTAAGAATTAGCTTTAAGAATTAGCTTTTAGAATTAGCCTTAGAACTAGCTTTAAGAATTAGCTTTGAGAATTTGATCTTCATATAAGTCTAATTGAAAGTATATAAAGCATTTTTAGCATTTTCAAAAACGTTTGCTTGATTTTCAATCTAATTCAATCAAACCAATGATCTCAATGCTTTAAACTTACTTGTCCGAGCACAGATTCCGGAATTTTTGCGCCCTGTCCAACAGAAAGCACAGCGCTGTAGGCAAAGTTGATCGAGTTGAGGAAATTCCAGCTGAAAATTTAAATTTCAAAGCTTTGAGTAGATTTTTGTTTATTTTCTAATCACAAAAGTTTCGTTTTCACCTTGTTTTGTTTGGCGGATGAATGTTCATTCGGCCATCGTAAGAGGATTTCAGCTGGTTGAGAAGGATTTTCTGAAGAGTCAATCTTTCTACATCAATTACTTTGTGCTCTTTTACGCTTGAGACTTGAGCTCTTTTGGTTTTGTATCACTTTGACTCATGTCTTGGTTCAGATAATGGCAATGAGTTGTATCCGTTTGAGTCTTCATCAAATTCTAGGTCTTTTAGCTAACTTGATATGCTTTACAAATTAATAAACTTCTAAAAAAAGTAGCATTTGCTTTGGTCAACCAAATGCAGAGCCAAAGACTGACTCTAGAAAGTCAATGAGCCGATTGATTGGTTTAAAGAAACCCTATTCATTTCTTTATTAACTTTATAAGTTAATAAAGAGCACGAGCTTTCATTTCTTTATTAACTTTATAAGGATATCTTTGTTATAAGTATAAGTTGGATATAACGAACTTCGATACAACGAAAAGTTTCATATAACGGACTATTTTTGGTCCCAACGAAGGGTTTTACCTAAAATGACCTTCGATAAAACACTTCTATAACAAACTTTTTGACCAGTCCACTTCTATAACGAACTTTTTGCCAACCAACACCAATACGGTTCCTATTTTGATTAAATACGGTTCCAATAGAACGAACCTTGAGGTTCGTTATATCGAGGTTCGACTGTATGTCTAACAGAGGGTTTTTAAAGTTAGACTGTTGGAGATATTGTACAAATAAATACAAATCTATGTACAATATCTCATTGTACTGTAACCTTTTAGTCATCTCTCTCCTCATGTCCTTTCTTTGTCCTCAACCGTCACCTTTCCCATCTCTCCTTTTCTTCTTCAAGTAACAACGAGGGAAATCTTTCCATTCTACAGGTAATCAGGCTTCGTTCTCTAGAAAAGAAAAGAGCAAAAGCTCCCCCTTTTAAATCTCTCTTCATTTCACCGATCCGATTATTTGTTCGTGCCCATGGCAACAGAGAGCTCTTCAAAGAGAGAACTTTTCCCTCTTTACCATCGGAAACTTACTCAACAAATCATTTTCGGGGATTTTGCTATTGTAGAGAGATGGGACACTTTGTTATTGGTGCTAAAATCGGACATATTGATGATTGGGAAAAGGGAATCTCTAAGAAAAAATTTGGAAAGTCAGTTTAAGTAACTCAGTTAACTTTAATATTTGAGTAACTCTTGCAAGTACTGTTTTTTTCACCAGTAATATAACTGAGTGTTTTCTAAAAGGCACCGTAAGCAGATCGTCAAACTTTATGCAACTAATATTTCAGTTAACAGGTGTTTCACAAGGCTAAGATGATACCCGAATTGAGCTGCTTTATAAACTTTATAAGTACGCAGAAAACGTCGACTCTCTAGTACTGTACTGTAGTATTGTACTGTAGTACTGTACTGTAACAACCGTACCAAACAAAGTTCATTTCCATTTTCACACAAAATCTAACTTTAAAAACCCTCTGTTCCTTTTTTTTTGTTTACTTTTCTCAGTATGGATCCCATTTTCGGCAACTTTAGCCATTTCCTAAGTTTTCCCGAGACAACTTTCGCAAAAGATTTGTTTCTCAGCCACTGATTGGGGCCAAGTTGCCTCAAAAAGGGCGAAAATGAACGAAGAGACAACGGAAATCCGTGAAATTCGCTCCATTTTGGGATGCGGTCTAGGAGGAGAAAGACGCCCGATCGAAACAAAACTGATTCGCTGCCTGGCGCTTGGGGTGGGGAAACACATAACCGCTTTTGTTTGCATGGAGTTAGTTGTGGATTTTTCAAGAGTAACCTCAAAGTAAACTCGGAGTTAAAACAAGTTCTCTGGGTAGCCAGAAGTGAAAGCAAATCTTTCCTGATTAGTAAGAATTTGAGAAAAGTTTGAGAAAGCCTTTTGAGAAAAGTTCGAATGTAAAGCACCTAGTGTAAAGAAATAAGATAGCTAACTGACTAACTTGTCTATCAAAAAAGAACTTGTGACCAAGTATTAAGAACAGTTGGCTTTGTTTAGTTGGCTTAAAGTTTATCCCAAAGGTTTATCCTTAAATTTGACCTGGTATCGTCTAATTTTTGGTGGAGACATTTTGCTAATGCCTTGCCAGATCTTACTCCAAGTAATACTCCAAGCCAACCCGCATCTTTTCTTCTTTATTTCTTTTAGAACAAATTTAGCAATTAACTTAATCCAGTTTACAGATAAAGACGTGCCTAACCTTCTGCTAAATGCAACAATTCACTCAAGTTGATCCTTTTATGGCTTGGAATACAAAAAATGGTCGGCCCGCGACCTCGACCGTGTCCGGATCACCGGGCGAACACTCTACCAATGAGCCACACCGAGACGTGTCCCATTGCCCCCATGCTTTATGCCTTACTCCCAACCTCGACTCTCTCCGATTGATCTTTATCGATGATGATGAGCAGATTTTGTGTGTCATTGAAGATCCGCTTTGACATCAGCTTTGCTTGATGAGATCTAAAAATAACCAGATTTTTCATAAAACTTTTTCCAGAATTTTCAGTTTCAAAGGAACGGCTTTGAACACAACAAAGCCGAATTTGTTGAGAAAAAATTGTCGAAAGACACGCAACGAGTGGTTGTCCATTTTATGGTCAATTTGGAAGTTGTTGATTGTTCTTTTTTGGGGAAAAATGGGAGTGACTCATTCGTTAAATATTCTACTCGATTCTAGAAAATGTAATGTCAAGTTTTTACTTGATATTGTTCGAGTTTCGATACCATTGCCGGAAAGCCTCGTGTTGACGATCGTTTTCGAAGAAAAAGAACACGCAACCGCCTGGAATTGAAAGGAAAATGATTATAAGTATAGTTATAATGTTAATTTATAGAGTTAAACTTAATTTTGCACTTTATCGTGTACTTAGTGGCAACAATGGCACTACAACCTTTCTAGTGTACAATCAGAAGGCATTATTTTCTTGTTGAACTCAAAAAACTCATAAGTTATTGATCGATGATCTTTTTAGTCATTGATCAATGATCCTTTTTTTACAATTAGAACAAGATCAGCCTCTAAAATTACCAAAGAAAATGTAGAGAAGGGCAGCGACGAAAAGGAGGATCGGAGTGAATCGACGAATTTTCGGAGAAGTGCTGAACGCCTTCGATGCCGACTCGCGAACTCGCGCGATCACCATCTAAATTGATTAGGGTTTAGAAAAAAGAACAAATCTAATATTTGCAAACAAAGCTCATTATAATCTATCTAAATAATTCAAAACTAGTTTTACAACTTCGATCAGTTTCTCCGAAGCTTCAAAGTCTAGAAAAAAGAAAAGCTTTTGACCAAAAAAGGTTAAAAACATCTAAAGTATTTGTCTAAAAGTTGTGCAACTTCGTGTTTATCATGAAAGAGATATCCTAACTATAAAGATTTCGTTTTAAAAGTTCCGACTAGCTCACTAGCTCTTTGTCAATGCTTCTATCTCTTTAAACACCCAAAAAATAACCGATTTAGCAGCGATTTTCCCTTTATATCAAATTTTCTGCAGAAAAAAAAAGCAAAGACGACAATGAAAGCTTTGGGAAAAGAAAAAAAGAGATTGGGGGAAAAGTGCAACAAATTTTTTTGATAAAATACTCTATTCAGAAAATCGACAGCCGCCACCGAATAGGTGTGCAAATCTTGGACCATCTAACGGAAGAGGGGAAAACTGAAAAGTATTCAAAGTATTCAAAGTATTCAAAAGTTGAAGACTGAAAAGAATGCTTAAAATTAGTGAGAGAAAAGCTGAAAGAATGAGAATATGTGAAAAACTGGATAGGGTACTAGTGCATTTTATCTCAATCCAACGTTTCAGCTAGCTCTGGCTTGACCTCGCTTGAGGAGCATGAGCTCAAACCTAGCCAGCATTGGAGTTGATCACTTAATTACAGTATACTTTAGACGTCTTAAGTAAAATCAAATAAAATTGTTAGCTTTATATTATACAACACTACTTTAGCTTTTTGTAAACTAAATTCAAAGTTTAGGGCTAAAGTTTTTAAGGGAAAAAACAAGATTTTCATATTCACAATTCACATTCTTGTCGTTTTAAATATTTCAACTATACAGTATGAAAAGAACTACTTATCGTACTAGGGAAGGACCTAATAAAGTCGGTTTTCAAAATGAGACTAACTTGTAGAGTTTTTAAGAGATAAAAGTTAAAAGAAGATTCAGAAAAAAAACTCTGTAAGCTCTAGTTATAGGTCTTGTTTAAAGCCTTGCTCTAGTTAGTCAAATAACGAAATTTCGAAAGGTTGATAAGCTCGTGGATAACCTAGTAAAAGGAGTTCAAGAGTTAAGAATAGGGTTTTTTTTTGAAAAAGTTGTTTCTCTGCTGAAAGGGGATAAGGGGGGAATGTCCTGTGGTGGTGTCGAGGGGAGGGAGAGCAAGGGAGAGCAAGGGAGAGCCCCATGGGGAATCGCCTCCAAGCTCTTCACCCTCCACCCACCCCTCCTCCATTGACTTGGGCTGTTTTTTTGGAAAATCTTTGAAAAAGCGTGACAGCACTGGACGATGATGATAGAATGTGAAAAGGGGAGAAGTTTGATTAACAAAACAACGTCAAATCGAAGGGAAATCAAAGCTAAAAATAGTTTGTACATGGGTAATCTGATAGACTGCTCTAGAGCTCTAGAGCTATCAACCTAGAGCTCTAGAGCTATCAACCTAGAGCTCTAGAGCTATCAATCTAGAGCTCTAGAGCTATCAACCTAGAGCTCTAGAGCTATCAATCTACAGAGTGTAGAATCAAAATCTAATCGTAGTTGAGCAAGGACGGTCTGTTACTGCTTTAGATTTAAAAAAATAATGGCTCGCGCGAAGTTTTAAGAGCTCGAAAAGCCATTGTTGAATTTGTCTTGAAAAATGGTACGCCTGACTCTTGTTTTACTTAAATATTTGCTAAAAGATTAGCATTTTAAATTGTACATTGCAACAGGAAACATGCTTATTCTTTTCAAAAAGCAAAAATCTATTAGTTTTGATTAATCTAGACTCTTTGAGCTTATCAAATATGAGGTTGAAGGGTGTGATTTTTTAGTCAAGTTTGAGAATCAACTACTACCATTTTAGCATTACTACTACTACCATTACAAAAAGTTCTCTTGCAGAATGAAAGAAGCCTTGATGTCAGATTCTCAAGATCATTCTTTTCAAAACATTTTGGCTTTTACCAATTGCTTTACTTAAATATTTGCTAAAAGATTAATATTTTAAAATGAAATCTTGAATGGATGTCTAGATTAAGCAAAAAAAAAACGTTTTAATTAACGCTTTGTTTCTTTAATCGATCCAGAAACTAACTTTAGGTTAGACATGGGCGCTTTGTAGAAAACGTGTCAGTTTCACATTTTAATAAACAGCTCTTATTTTCTAAAGCGTGAATACAATGATGTTTCAAGCTTTAGAAAACAAGAGCTCTTTGTTAAAAGCTGTTCGTTGATTGACTCATTTTCTACAAAACGCCCAAGTATACTTTGGATATTGTCGATGATTAAAAGAGACAAATCAAAGTAGACTCAACCCAAACTGTCCAATATTTAGCAATGATCTTTGGAAAAATGAAAATAATTATCTGTTCTTAATGATTGAAAAAAGTCAATTAAAACGTAGCAAATGAAGAATGGATGCAAGAAGAATCAACTACTACCATTTTAGCGTTTACCCTCGCATTACAAAAAGTTCTTCTGCAGAATGAATGAAGCTTGAAGCTGATGAAGCTGATGAAAACTAGTTCTTTGTCTACTATATAGGCAAGAGTATTTTCTTTATCTTATTTTATTCTATCTGATTATCATTTATTCAAATCGATTAGGCATTATCTAGTCAAGTAATAGTTCTCCAATCTTGGCGCGACCAGAATGCCGGTGAGCCGCTTTTTTTGATGAGTAGAGAAAGATTTCTATAAGCTTCTGTGAATCAAGCAAAAAATGAAAGGAATCATGGCCAAAAATGATGGAAATCAATAGCTTTTAATACTTCTTTATTTTTTTTTTGATTTTTAAGTTTACTTTGTCTTTTTTTGAAAGTCATATCCGTAATAAAATCAAGAAAAATAAAAAAGCTTATGAACAAATTGAGTTAGACTCGAAGTTGGGTAAACAAGGAAAGTCACAGGAATTGGAAGGTAAAGAGAGTCACAGGAATTGGAAGGTAGAACTATTTTCTTCAATCTTGGCGCGACCAGAATGCCGGTGAGCCGCTTTTTAGATGAGTAGAGAAAGATTTTTATAAGTCTCTGTGAATTGAGTGACATCATACCCAACAATGATGAACATTCTCAATCAATTTCATTTAAGCAAAAGGAATGCAGAAGTAGACAAAAGAACCCTCACCTGACTCCGATTCGAATCGATGTTAGTGAAAAAGAACACCATTTTTGCGGGGGGGAATTAATGTGTTTGGATGAGGATGAGGATGAGGATACTTGCTTTTATAAGAATTGTGAAGGATTGAGAGTTGAAAGTGTTTGAAAGAAATGAAAAGAAAAAAGAAAAGAAATGAAAAGAAGAGATTTGACAATGATAAGAGCTCAACTCACGCACAAATCGGGTCTCTTGGGGGAAATAGTAGGGAAAAAGTGAGTTGAGAAATTGGAGTAAAGTCGACAATAGAAGTGATGATGAGAAGAAAAAGTGACACCAAAATCGACTTTTGTCAAGCTGATGTTTAAGTTGATCATTTGAAGAGTGTACTTTGTACTTTAGAAATGGAAACACGTGCTTTCTGGCTCAACTTTGTGCCTAATACGTTCATTTCGAGTGCACCAAAATGGGTGTGTTTTTGAGCACAAAGTAAATAAGATTATTTCAGTACAGAGAGCAAGTTCAAGTTAAGCAAGTTCTTCAACAAGTTTAAGCAAGTTCTTCAACAAATTTTAAAGATAAAGAAGAGATTTAGACTTGGGTTTTTGAATTAAAATTTAATCAAAGAGTCGTTTGGCTTTAGTAGGATTGTTTTCTTTTAGTATAATTATTACAAAAAGAAAGTGCTTCAAAAGAAAGCTCATGAAACTAAAAACTCATTAATTTTTGATCAAAAATAGTGAAGCAAGACTGTCAAGGTTTAATACGGTCTATTTTTTCACTAAAAACTTTTTTATCTATGCAAGGATGCGCAATTTCATCAAAGCAAGAGTTCACCAAAGAAGCCAAAATCACAGAATGGCTCGTTTGGCTTTAGTAGAATTGTTCCTTTAGTAGAAAGCCGAAATCCAAATTAAAATTTAAGCAAAGAGTCGTTTGGCTTTAGTAGGATTGTTTTCTTTTAGTATAATCATAAAAAAAGTGCTTAAATAAGCTCATGAAACTAAAAACTCATTAGTTTTTGATCAAAAATAGTGAAGCAAGCCTGTCAAGGTTTAATACGGTCAATTTTTCACTAAAAACTTTTTTATCTATGCAAGGATACGCGATTTCATCAAAGCAAGAGTTCACTAAACAAACCAAAACCACAGAATGGCTCGTTTGGCTCGTTTGGCTTTAGTAGGATTGTTCCTTTTAGTAGAAAGCCGAAATTCCCATGAAAGTCATCCTCGGAATACACAACAAAAGGGTGTCCCTAGTCTTTCTTTTATCCTTTCTCTTTATCACATCGGGGATGCCAGTTTCCGCTTTCTTTTTGCCGATGTTTCAATCGGCCAACAAGCGAGTGACCCTTTTGGAGCCTTTAGGGTGCAGAAGGGGAATTATAGGGCTTCCATGGCCCATAGGGGGCAAGCCAAGGCCAAGGCACACATACGATAACGAGGTTGCCGAGCGAAGATTCCCCAAAAGTCACCGCATCCTTTTCTTCGCCTTTTGGCTTGCTAAGATTTTTGAAAGATAGTTAGCCCTGTCCTCGTCGTTGCACACCACAAAAAATGGGGCAAAAGTTTTGAAGTCTTGACGTTTGAAATTGGGGATTTATAAAAAACATGGTTGAATGCTGATTAAATAGGTTAATCAGCTCTAAAAATGCTAAAGATGCTCTAAAAAACTATCAAAAATCAAAGCGATTAAATAGGTTAATCAATAATCAAATTTGGTTTACCTTCCTTCTCAAATTTCTTTCCGATTATATGGTTTAGCACATGTTTTCTGTTTAAAATTCTAATGGTTTTGTTTCGTTTCTCTCGACTCCTTTCTATTCCATTATCTTTGAATCTTTGAATCGTTGAATCTTTCTGCTCCATTATCTTTGAATCTTTTGACTTTCTGCATAAACTTAGCTTAACCAATTCTCTTTCTAAAATGCACGAAATATACAAAATAAAATTGGCGCGATTTTCTTGGGTTTTGTGTTTAATTATTTTAGAAAAAGGATTAGTGAGTAAATAGGTATGGGATAAGGTTAAATGGTTAGTTGTTTGTTGATGCGCAAGTTAGACAAAGCACAAGCATTGTACAAGGTCATTGTACAATTGTTGTTTGTATAAGGACAATATTCAAAAGCCTACTTAGACAGTCGTCAAAAAAAGTTTTGGCCGATCAGTGTTTACGTAGGTTGTTTTCAAAGTTTTGTTTTTCCACATTTTCAAAGGTTGTTTAAATGAGCGATTTAGCTTTTCGTTATCCTTTGAGCTAAGAGTTTTATGATCGAAAAACCTTATTTGAGCATAATTTTTAAAAATCTATATTTCAAGAATGAATTGATGACATTGAAAACGGTTTCAATTATAATGGCATTCGATCGTCTATTACTTATTCATTTCATTTTGTTCATTTTATTTATTATTATTCATTTTGTTTTGGTGAAAATGAAAGGCGACTGGCAGTTTTGAAGCCTTGAACAAAATCTGAGAAAAAGGACCTTATCCTCTTATGCAAAAGTAGCTTGAAAAATTCTATTTAGAGCGAAATCAAAACTCAAAACAAAAAATTCTATTTAGAGCGATCGCATCGCTGAATCTCTTGTTATCAGTTTACACAAAATTGGCAGGACAATATTTAGATGAACTTAAGCTTCTGTTGTTGAATCAAATTTGTTTTCAAAAGTGTATTATTTTCAACTTAACAACCCAATAACTAGTATCCGTTGCTAAAAAACTCACTTTTCGTTGTGTGAAGCTGGCATATTAGGTGGATTGAAATGACAAAATCATCCTCGCTAGTCTAAATTATTCATTTTTCAAAGAACTAAACAGCTGACTCACATAAAATAGTGTACATGGTGTTGAAAATGAGAAATTTTGTGAGAATCGATAAAACTCGAGTTCCACTATTCGCATTGGCCGCACTTTGCCCTCTTTCAATCACCGATTGGTATCGCCAGATTCGGATCGACCGCAACTTGTCCTCCTCGGTTTCTCTGAAAAAACAAAGACGTTTTCTGTTGATGTAAAAGTTTTACGAACAATGAAAGCTTTATGATATTATATATTATTCAAGAGATGTAAATGAAGCAAAATACCCACTCGGAGACATTAGCACACCAACAAAACGCAATCTGATCATCAGTAACAGCCGGTTGACAAGCGTCTCTTGATGCCCAAACGGCAAGTGGATCCCGCACAAGAGCTGTCATTTCATCACGATTCGCACAATACTCTGATTCTTCTTTTCCTGAATATTTTGAAATATGAAAATATGGTGCTTATAGAAATTTAGCTTTTGCATAAAATACATAAAAAGTCTTTTTGGTTGTAATTGAATTTTTTCGTTTTTTTTTTTTTAATTTTTTGCCCAAAATCTCCCTCACCAGTCAATCGGTGTTTCAGAATATAGCAAAAACCCATCGATCCACATCGGTGCAGATTGCAAAATGGACACGGGAATTGCTCGTCGATCGGGATATTCACATGAGTTTTCTGGAAAAAAGTAATTAAACATTACAACGCTTTACTTTCAAAATGACTATACAGGATGACCAGAAATAACGTTGCGGCCTAATTTAGCCTATTTTTTTAAAAATCCAAAAAGATTTTGTAACAGAAACAATTTTTTATTAACAACATGATATAAAGAGAGCATAAAATCTATCTTTCTTCAAAGTGGCCACCTTTGGCTCCGATGCAGAGCCTCAAACGCTTGATGAAATTTTCGGCGATGGGCCGCAACTCGGCCGGAGTGATTCGATCTCATTCCCTGGTCAACGATCGCTTAAGAGCCTTCAAACTTTTGTGGGGTTTTGCACAAGCCCTTGCCTCCAAAATTGACCAAACACTGTAGTTCAACGGATTGAGATCGCACGAATACGGAGGCCATTCCTGGGCCGAGATGAAATCCGGAAAGTTTGTCCTACACCAGTCCTGTGTGGATTTGGCTCGAGGGAAGGAGCGGAGCCTTGTTGGAAGGTCCAAAATCCGTTACCAAAATGCTGTTGAGCCCATGGAAGCAAAACATCCTCAAGAATCTTTTTTTGGTACACATCCTTATTGATTTTTACCCCAGAGTCGATGAAAATGAGAGGAATTTTGCCGGTTGCGCAGATTCCGGCCCATACCATGACCGATTTGGGATTTTGTCGGTGCTGAACAATCGCAGAGCTGTCTGGAGAGGACGTTGACCACATCCGATCGTTTTGGTGGTTGTAGCTTTGCTCCACCGAGAAGAGCTTCTCGTCAGAAAACAGGATTCGCTCCCAGTGTGGAGTTGCGGCCCGCTTGAGAAGCTCTCGACATCTTTCGAGTCGAACTCGTTTTTTTTCGTCGTCGAGTTGTTGCCCTTGCTTGAGCTTGTAAGGGTGAAGATTGAGCTCATTTTTGGCCATAAGTCGAACCGATTCGCGAGCGAGCCCCATCTGTCGAGGGATCTTTCTCATTGAGACCTGTGGATTCTGGGCCACGTGCTTCTAAATCAATTTGCGATTTCTGGAGGTGTTGACTGTTCTTTTTCTGCCTCTTCCTGGACGATCTCTATCGTTGCCAAGCTCCTTGTATCGCTTGATCGCTTTTGAGACGAGCTGATGAGAAACACGTAGCAATCGCGCGAACGCACTCACGCATTGACCTTGACGATGACGCTCCAGAATGGCATATCCCTTGTTTTTCATCCTATAAAAAAATGAATAAACTTGAAACAAACTAAAACAAGAAAGAAACTAATAAAAACAATCACAGAGAATAGGTTAAAAATAAATTCGTCTCGCAAAATTGAAACTTTGAGGGTTTTAGGCTGCCGAAAATCCCGCAACGTTATTTCTGGTCACCCTGTATACAGTCGATGGAAGGGAACAAAAAATTGTTCCTTTATATAGAGCTTTCCATTCTATAGAATGCCGTTATTTCTATATTCTATAGCTTAGCGTCGACCGGAACCAAAATTCCATTCCGTTCTATAGAGTTCCGCTAGTAGAGAGAGAGAGTCGATTGTATTTTGAATTTTGTTTTTGATTCCTCACTCACCGTTTGTTCTTTGTCTTTCATCCTCGTCGGAACATATCCAAAAATGAGAGAAATAAGGAGAAAAATTGCAAAATATAGCAAATGCATCATCTCGGAAAAAAGTTGGAACTAAATTTTTGGCGAAATAATGGAAAAAGATAGGGGAGATGGTCAATTGAGAGAGGGGAGAATCCATGAATTTTCGATGAGAAACGAAAGGGAAAAGGATAGTAGAAGGAGGGAAAAGGGGGCAACTTACTACATTGTTTTCAGAAATTTGAGTTTTTTTAGTTGCTGAAATTGATTGTATCTATGGGAAATGGTTGTGGAAACAGAAAACCAGGCAGTGGATTTTGTGGAGATTTAAAAAATAACAATGTTAACCGGACATGGCCCCCTTTCCCCATTGATGGCATGTGCCTCTCTTGGGAATAATCTAACATCCATGATTAACAGTCAAATCGGGGCTCTCTACGATATCTGTAAGTTTTCCCAAAAGTTCCCAAAAGTTCCAAAAATTTCTTGCGAAAAAGGAATTGCTGGGATTAGAGTGTGGCTTTTTTCTCTGGTTCATTTCAAAAAATCGAGACAAGCAAAAATGGAGATTTGAGGGGAGAAAAAAAAAGTTAAAAAAGAGGGAAAAGTGAGGAGAAAAGACAGGGAAGAATGCACCTCTTGGTCCCTTGAATGGGGGTCCGGACATGTCCCCCTTTCCCCATTCATGGCATGTGCCTCTCTTGGGAATAATCTAACATCCATCTCATACGATTCAAAAGTATGAAGAGGGTCATATGTATTGTTGAACAAATTACTTGCTATTTATTTAATTGAAACTAGAAATGGTGATGGGCCGGGAGTGGGAAGAGAGGGAACTGGGTGAGCTGTTGGTGTACGGCGCCACACAGTCGCTTTCACCGAGTACAGTGGTACAGTGCTTTCACTTTGCTTTCACTTTTGCTTTCACTTTTAGATTCTCGGTTTTCGTAGGATTGTGTGCTTCAATCAAGCTCTATTTGCCTGGAGTGTCTTCTTCAAAACTATATAAACGTTAACAATAACCCTTAGATAACGGACAAGAGCCATCTTTTTCAATCTGGTTGCTTTAAAATTTTTTGATCGTCAAGAATATCCAACCAAAACATGCTCAATTTTCATGGCATTCTTTGTTTTTCAGATAAATTTTTCTATGCAACCCTGCAGATTCGTTGTTTTGATTCGTTGTCCCTGCTCACTCGGGTGACGAAAGGGTTATGAAGCTCTATTTTCGATGAGAAACTTATCCAATAAAGGAAAAACTTTGATGAGTTTCTTCTCAAAGCAGAGGAAGAATTCGTCAAAATTGAAAGATAGATGAATTCTGCTCATAATTGGCAATATGGTCTCGTTTCGTTGCTTCAAAACGCTCAAATATTTGTTCGGGGCGAAATACAGAGATCGGAGGGATCTGCTTTACTGGAAAAAAAAGATAGAATAAGATAGATTCGAGTGTTTGTGTACACACAAAACACATCTTACTTCTGAAAATCTCTGGAGTTTTCTTTGAAAAGTAACAGAGCTTTAGTAACAGTAACAGAGCTGGTTTCTGTAAAGTAACAGAGCCAATTGGTTTCTGTTTTGATCTGTTTTGATCTGTTTTGATGATCTGTTTTGAGTCTCTTGTTCTCATGAAAAAAAAGATTTATTATGGTTTTAATCTCGATTTTCTAACGTGAGAGCTTTTATTTTCAGATTAATCGATTAGATCTAGATCTCTTTATTTCTCTTTTAAAGAGAAAACTCTTCTAACTAGATCTCTTTATTTTGTTGTTTGGTTTTGTTTAATGGGTTTTGCTTTATAATAAAAAACAAGTCTGGAATTTTGTGAAGGCAGATGCTTTGTTGAAAGTCAAATTTGTTCTTCATTGTTCTTCATTTCTAGCTGTGTCTTGGTCTAAAGCACTCAATTTCTGCACTCAGATGCAGAGTTGCTATTTGAGTTCATAGATTTACCTCAAAATCCTTGCCTTTTCATTACCTGATTACGACAAGAATGTTAGGATAAGAATAATTCAGAATAAAAAGTTCTTTCATTCGAAATTTGTGATTTGTGACCTGATTTGTGACCTGATTTGTGACCTGATTTGTGACCTGATTTGTGACGATAAATGTGTAAACTTACTGATCTGGTACACTGAAAAGCTCTGGCATTTTCTTTGAAAAGTAACAGAGTCAATTGGTTTAGTTAGGCAGTTAGGCAATTTCTCATTTTATTGTGGTTAGCAGGCGTTTTTTTTTTGATGAATAGCAGGCGTTTTTTGATGAATTGAGTGAAAGGGGGGCGTTTTTTGGTCAATTAGATGAGTAAATGTCTGGCTTGTCTATAAAATGAGTTGGTTCACTCAAAAAGTCTTGACTTTCTTTACAACAATTGTCTACAACTATTAGAGGTCTAAAACTACAACTATTCATCCATTCATTTTATGATTTTTTATCCATGAAACGATTTGTAGTTTAGAATAGTATTGACTATTGCTATAATAATTACCGTAAATACTGTAATAGTACCCCACCCCCATAATGACGGTGCGGAGTGTTGTGTGGTCTAGCTTTGAACGAGTTTTTCTCGACACTGGTTTATGCTACAATGCGCGCTTAGGTATCAAAAAATAGCTCTGAATTTCAGCTATTTTTTGATACCAAAGACGCATTTTTTGAAAGTACGGGCGCTTAGAAAAAAATGAAATACTAAAAAACTTTTGCGACTACGCGACTGTACGAGGGGGGTGGGGTACTACATTACATGTATTACATTACATTACATTACATTATTTACATGTACTACAGTATTGACGGTAAGAATAAAAAGTTTTTTCATTCGAAATACTCCTGGTGGTTTTTGTGTCGATAGTTCAAAGATGTCCCTTGGGAATGAAATAGCCAAAAGAGCCTAAATAGCCAAATCAGTCCTTTTTCCATTTTCTTTCCCTTTCCTTCCCTTAATTGGTATTTCACTTCGAAAGTCCAAGAGTCTTTTCACTTTTTTGGTCAGATTACGTAGCTTTCCGACAAATGATTAGCTTTACTTGTGCTTTTTTTATTTGATCATTTGAAGGCTTGCAACTTAGCCTTTTAAAAGATGAGTAAGCGTCTTGCAAACACAATCGTAATAGCCTAGGAGATCATGGTTGTCTATCTGACTTTTCTCGATCAATCTTGTAATACTGTTAGAAGAATGGGAGATTCTTGTGGTAAGAAGCAGCAAAAGCAAACTTACTATTTGCCAATTTTTGTTGCAAAGTCACTTTTCCACACTTTGCTTCCCTTTCCACCAGTAGAGTGGAAAATTTTTCCTCATTTTTTCACGTTATGTAGGTGGGAATGATTGACGGATTGACTGAAAATGAATAAAATGTGAGATGTGTCTCTAGGATTATTTATTCTTTTCCCTATTTTCTCTACTTCTAGTTTTTTTTCCTTTTTGGTTTGCATATTGGGTGAATTCAAGCGAAAAGATGAATAAAATGGGATTAATTAAAGGAAAAAAATGAGATATGAAAAGCATAGAAATGAGCATCGTTTAGGGTTCGGTTTCTCTTTTTTTTTCTTTTCTTTTTCACAAATGATCGTTCATCATCGATATTTAGGAAAGAGATAAAAGAAAAGAATATAGCTGAATATATAGCTGAATATCGAAAGAATTGAGGGTTTATTGGATTAGATAATTTTTACCGAACTGAAGATCATTTTTTTTGTGTTTTGGTCTAGTTAAATTCTTGAAAATATTGGGTTGTCCAGTTATGAATGCGCCTTTTTTACTATTTTGTAAATTTCTCAAGATACCGAAATCAAGAAAGGGATATATATGAGTATTATTCGAAAGCTGAAGATCTCCTCTACGTTTTGATATAAAAAATTTTTGAATTCATTCAACTTTTTGGGAAATTGACTGCACAAAGGGAGAGGTCGTTTCCGAAAAAAAACTCATGTCAGCTTAGCTATTCCCCAAGTTTTATGGTGTAAAATAACCGCCCAGAAAAGTAAAGATGCTCTGAAATTGTTATATTTTTTTAAAGTTGTATTGATATAACCTATTGGCCAAACATCAAACGGTTAACTCAAATTTGAGCGGAGCCAAAACTTGATCCAAAGGCACGCTTCCATTTTTTGGCCACCTCTTCTTCTGTGCAGTCAATTTGCCCAAAAACTGAACAAATTCAAAAACTTTTTGATATCAAAATGTAGAGGAGATCTTCAGCTTTCGAATGATATACAACACTCATATATCTGTTCATCTGTTCGATATCTTGAGAAATTTACAAAATAGTAAAAAATGCGCATTCATAACTGGACAACCCATTAGCATTTTTTTTTGTTGACTCGTGAAGGAATCGACAAAGTTTATACCGGATCCTTTTTCTTTTGAAAGCCAAATCCGGATTCTTGATTCAAAAGCTGAGCTGTGCGTTCTTTCTTTGTCCAAAACATGACAACTGGCTGTCTTTGAAAGAGGGTTATCTCGATGTTATTAAACGGATCATCGAATCGAAATCGAACAATCGAATCCGCCATTCATATTCGACGCTTGATCACTTTGTATAGAAATAATATTATTTTTAGCTTTTATACAGTCATGGACAAAAGTCTTGGCGGGTCCTGGGTGGCAACTTTCAAACGCAAATCTTTGGTACTTCGTACGGCGAGTTTGAGCGACAATTTCGCTGTCCTAATCAAGAGAATCCCAAAGTAAAAGACAATCCTAAATCAAGAGAATCCCAAAGTAAAAGACAACCTAAATCAAGAGAATCCCAAAGTAAAAGAAAACTCCCTGTGTAAATGTTCTTTGTGCGCGCGCACAATCGCTCTCCATCCGGCACACTCTCCCGACAGATAGATTTCCCTTTTGGGTGTGATAGGTGTTCCCGTAAAAGAGCGATGAGCGACTGAGCCGGTCGACCCGTCCCTTCGTGCGACCATATCCAAACTCGACCAATTCCCGCCCCAAATCCGCCTTGAACCTCCGCTATAAATTCCTAAAATCCCGTTAAACCAGTGCATATCTCATT